GTAGGGGTGTAGGCGGTCCTTTCCCTGCCCTAGCCCTACCTGAGGGCGCCCCTCTAGGGAGTGCTGAAGGGAGTGCTGCTGAGTGGCGATCCTGTGGGCATGTGCTCAGGACAGGGAACTGGGGCTCGTCTGCTTGGGCCAGGGAAGCCACCTGTGAGCTGGCCATGCCTGTGCCAGGCACTAGCCCGAGCCTGTGCATACAGTCCATATCGGCCGTTTTAGCTCGGGCCACGTGCCACCTGTTCCAGCTGGTGAGCGGCGGACAGCCTTGTCCCTGGGTCTGTGTCCAGTCTGTGCTCATCACCACGCACTGTGAGCCACGGACAGCTGCTCTGCTGCAAGCTACGCCTCCTGGGGCTGGTGAGAACCAGAGGCCACTGCCAGGAGGTCTCGGCCAGCCCGGGGCCTGGCTCTGACGCTGGCCTTGCTGTGGCCCTGGTGTGCTGGGCTGGCTCCATGCCCTTGAACCTTCTGTAAAAGTCCGCCCCACCCCTTCATCATCTCCTGCTGGGGTCTGGCTTTTTAAATTTTCCACCGCCATAACTGGTCTGGTTCAGCGGACAGAGCATCAGCCTTCGAACTGCAGCGCCCTGGGCTCGACTCCAGTCAAGGGCATAGGCGGGGCTGCAGGCTTAATCCCCTGTGGGGGGCGTTCAGGAGGCATCCTCTCCTCTCCCTTTCTCTTCCCCTCTGAAATCAATAAAAATATATTTTAAAAAATCTTCCACCAAGGAGTGAGAATAGTCTTCCCATTGATTTTTAGAGAGGGGAAGGGAGGAACATCGGGGGGGGGGGGGAAAGAAACATCGATGTGAGAGACACACATTGATTGATGGCCTCCCACATGTACCCAGATTAGGGACGGGGATTGAACCTACAACTCAGATATGTGCGCTTGACTGGGAATTGAACCCATGACCTTCCCATGTATGGGCCGACACTAACCATTGAGCGACTCAGCCAGGGCGGGGGTCTGGGCAGTCATTCTACGGGGGCATTTATCCCACAGGTCCTGCTTCTGGCTGTCCTGGCGCCACCAGGGCTGAGACAAGGCGGAGGTGGTCCCTGCCCTCATGGAGCCGTTTGGGGGGAGGAGCAGATCAGACAGACAAATCAAACCACCGGTCACACACGAGGAGCTGGGACGCAGGCCTCAGGAGCAGGGCCGTGGGCGGGAGAACGGACCGGAGCTGCTGGAGCGGAGCAGGCAAGGGGGTGATCCTCCCTGACTGCAGGGTGAGCAGGGGCACTGGGCCGGGGCCGAGGCCAGATGGGCCACTGGAGGGGCAGAGCAAGTGCCCAGGGACTGGAGAGTGCGGTGAGAGGGGACAGGAGGGCAGGGGGACGGCCCAGCCTCGGCATGGCGGGCACAGCCTCGGAGGCTTGGGAAGCACTTCTGCCTCTGCATCCGGCCACAAGGAGCGGGGGGGGGGGGGGGGGGGGGAGGGAAGTGGTGCTGGAGGGACGTGCGCAGGGAGCTGGGCACCACCACTGTGGCGTGCTGCCGCCCCGCCTGCACACCCCCCCCCCCCGCCCTCTCTCTGCAGCTGGCGTCCGGGTCCCAGGCTGACGACAATGCGGAGCATCTCTGGCCGGGCCGGGGAGTGCACGGGTTCTATTTATAAGCCGAGGGGCTGAACAACCGCGCGGGGTCCCACCTCCTGTGGGACTGGAAACCCTCCAGCCAGACCCCGGAAGAGAGAGCAGAGGAAGGCGGGGATCAGATGGCCGAGGGTGAGCAGCCAGCTGCTTCCTGCAGCCGACCCCTCGCCGGAAAGCTGGCAGGCCCGTCTGTGCGTGGGGCATGCCACCTCACGTTGCTGCCCAGACAGCCTCTGCCCCTCCCTCCGGGGCTGCGGTTTAGACAGACGATGACCATATACAAGGCAGGAGCCAGCAGGACGGGGGCAAAAAAACACACAGCGGGCGGAATGTCCGCTGAGGCCCACGTCCAAGATCGGCTCAGTTCCACGGGGCAGACAGCACTGCTGTGGTGAGGGCGCAGCAGGGTCTGTGCCAGGCCAGTGGCCAGTGTTTCTTCTAAGACGAATGACGACCCTGGGGAGGGGGCAGCCTGGCTGAGGGCAGGGTGTGGCACTGCCCGGCTCCCTCTGGCTCCACTACCACCTGGCTCAGACTCAGCACACGCTCCTCTGAGCCTCCTGTTCTCACGGGGAGGCGGGTTATGGCTGCTCGCTCGTAGGTTGAATGTGAAAATGTCAGAGAAGCACTTAAGACGGCCAGTACCTGGCACAAAGCATGACGCGGTGAAACACTGCCGTTGTCACAACCACGCGGGCTCCGGTGCGACCAGGATGACCGAGGCCAGCCCCCGATACGCAGATTCCCAGCCGAGGAACATGGGGGCTGCGTGGGCCCCTGGATCTCATGGTGTGAGTGGACCACGCAGTCCACACTGGCACTGCCCGCGGGTGGTCGGGACCGGGAGCATGTGCTCGCACAGCGGGCGGGGAGTGCACGGTGCTTCTGGGCAGCGCCCAGCGACGAGCCCTTCCCTGGATGCGTCCGGAGGTACCGGTGCCAGCAGGATGGCTCCAAGGCCAGAGCGATGGGAACGGCAGCGCTTTTCCTCCACCGATTCCCGAAGTGCCCGTGACTATGAGAGACTGAGGAGCCTTCTTTCCCCACCTTATGTGACCAGGTGGACGTGCCCACGCGTCCCGGGGGCTCTTCCTGGCTGTCCCTGCTGCCATCGGAGGCGCTGGGTATGGACATGACGTTTACATCGAGAAAAGCCAAGCAAACCACAGCTCATTAAACCACCCCCTTTCCTTCCTGCCTTTCCCGTCTCAGGGCCATAGTGAAGTCAACAGCACTGGGGCCCTGAGAGCTGGGGTGGGGCAGCCTCCGGGACAGCTGTGGTCCCCGCTCCTCCCGGGGCCCAGCCCTCACCCCAGCCCTGCCCAGCCTCGCGGGGAAGGCTCCGGCCCCACGGCTGCTCCCAGGCAGGCTGGAGCCACCGCGCTCCGCCCACGCCCGGAAGCTTGGGTTTCAGGGCTGCCCGCTGGCTGCGCTCGGAGATGACCTCTGCCACCTCCAGTGTAACCGACCCCCAAAAAAGGAGCGGAGAGGCCCCCACGCCAGCACCGCATTCCCCGCCGCATGCGTGCTGGGCGTTATCGGCCGCGCAGCTGATACGGCCGGAGGAGCACTGCCACATGCCACCTCGATGGAGGATTAAGCAGAGAATTTGAGGTCAAGGGTTTAGGCCGAACCAGCTTCTATTTATAAAAACGCGCCTCCGGGGGAACAGATGGGCAGGAGCAGGGCTGGCTCTGCGTGTCGGCCGACAGGATGTCACACGCGGCCTTTCCAGTGGGGCCCCATCTGAGCCGCCCATCAAACCCGTCCCTTTGTCTCCGGCGGCTCCTGTGCGACTAGGGCTCCACGTGCAGAACAGCCCGGGCCTGGCTGTGCGCGTCCCGGCACTGCCCCTGCTCCGTGGCTGCGGGGCCTGTGAGAACAGGGGTCAGACCGCACTCCTGGTGTGTCCCCAGGGCCGTGTGTGCACCGCACTCCTCTGTGGTGGGCGCAGCCCGCACTGGGCGCCCGGTGCCATCGTGGTGCGTCCCCAGGGCCGTGTATGCACCGCACTCCTCTGCAGCGGGCGCAGCCTGCACTCTGCGCCCGGTGCCATCATGGGGGCAGACCGCACTCGTCCCCCGGCCACGCTCACGGGCTCGGTGAGCCCCTCCTTTCCAACGTGCACAGCCAGTAACATACCCCAGTGTTTTAGTGTCCCCGCGCGGGATGAACAACTGTCCTTTCCAACGCCCCCCGCTGACGACCCCGCTGACGCCCGCAGCTGAGTGTGGTCATGCTCTGGGCGCACAGATGACGGAACCCCACCCTCCTGGGCTGAGGGGCCTTGTCAGCCGCTGCAGGATCGCCGCCGAAGACAGGAAACACAGACCTGAGAGCCGCGCGGGCACTGAGACACTGCAGGTCGGACTTCTGGCCCGGCCTCGCCAACACTCTGCTGTGACAGCAGGAAGCAGCACGTCTCCTCGCCCCGGGCTGCCAGGGCCCCGCACTGAGGGCAACAGGGCCAGCGCGCACCATGGCACCGTCAGGCCCCCGCTGCCTCTTCTCTGGAGGGGACGGCAGCGGTGGACGCACGGCGCTAGGGGCCCAGGAGAAGAGCCGGGCCGCCCCAGGACAGCCGCTGGCACCAGGCGCTGGTCTGTTCCAGGCCTGCCTCCGCTCCCTAACCTCCGAGGGAAACTCCTCTGACGCCTCTACCAGCACTCCGCGGACGCCTGCGCGAGTGAGTTTCCTCCCCGCCACCCGGCAGAAAGCTGGCACCGAGGGTCTGACACCCACCAGCAGGACACGGAGGATACGAGTTACTGCCTCGGTGGGTGATGAGCAGCCATCAGTCTCTTCCCTGTGCGGAGCCCTGGGCCTGAGCCTACGGGGAGACGGGCCGACACCGGGAGACGGGCCGACACCGTGCTGGTCGCTGAGGACGTCCTGCTGGCCGAGGGAAGGCACACCGGTTTCAGAGCCACAGCGACGAGACCTCTGTCCTTGGCTGTGACATGAAAATCCCACTGACAGACCCGCGGGCATGGCTCAGTGGTTAAGCATCAACTTAGGATTCAGGAGGCCACGGCACATGCCCAGGTTGTGGGCTAGATCCCCGGTGGCGGGGTGGGCAGGAGGCAGCCCATCAATGATTCTCTCATCACTGATATTTCTATCGTCCCCTCTCCCTTCCTCATTGAAATCAATAAAAATATATTTTAAAAAATGAGAAAACCCCCACTTACATTTTGTATGAAAACAACTAAACAGTTTAATGACAGGGGCAGAGGGGGAACAGGCCACATGAAGTAACCACCAGGCGTGTCTGCCGAGTTCTGTTTGTCTGCCTGGGCGTGCCAACAAGAACGTCCGCTTTAAGGGCGGCTTCCGGCTGCTCAGGGCCGAGGAGCCGAGGTGCCGATGGTCCCGGAACCAAGGAGTGCGATGCCCACTCAGCTTCTCCAGCCACCAAAGCCCTGGACAGACCTGCAAGGAAGGCCGGGAGGCAGGTCAGCTTCTGGCACGCGACAGCCTGGCGCCAAGTCTGGGCCCGAGTTTTCACCGTCTTCCAAGTCTCGACAGAAGCAGAGTGAGGATCGCAAGAGAAGGTGAATGGGCCTCGGACCCAGTCCTCCTTCCAGGCTCTGCTGACCGGAAGCCCCCTCCCCTCTCGCACATGGCCCTGGACAAGGCACCACCTGGTCCCTCCTGCCACATCCCTGCCGAGAGGGCCGATTCACAAAGCCCACACCCGCTGCAGACCCCCGTGCCTCCAGGACGGGCTTTCACACAGGAAGCGTGCACACGCAGAGCAAACATCAGTGGTCCAGCTTTCCCCGGGCCACACACTCTTCCGTCCTATCTCATGATTTAGAACTGGAGGTACTTACGAGTTCGATGATCCAAAGCTGAATCCTGGAAAAGATGGAAAGGGTGGAGTTAACACACACACACACACACACACACACACACACGTGAAGGACAAAGGTGACCCTCGGCCAGACCCCCTCCTTCATCCCCATGGAATGCCTCCTTTCCTTAGGGCTCCTCCCTCCTCCCCGCCTGGGGGAGGGGGGGACCCAGAGGTCTCTGGTCGGTCCCCTCACGTAGCCCCACAGTGACACACAGGCCCATTCCGTTAGGGAAGCGTGCTTTCTCTGTTCCCAACCACTTGCTTCCGCTCCGTGCGGCCGGAGCAGCAGGCCCGGGTTCAGGCCTGGCTCTGCTGCTCGCTGTGGGCAAATGCCCCAAAGTTTTATGTGTTTGTCTGCACAACAGTATCGATGCCGGCTCTGAACCGCAGTGAGCGGCCCGGACAGAGCAGAGCATGGCGGGAACGAAGGGCGGGGTGGGAGGTCTCTACAGCTCACTGGGTTTGCTGCTTGGATTTCTGAGCCAGTATCTAGGGAGATGATGACTATCTCGAGTTCTCAAATCTTGAGAAATACTTGGTAAAAAGTGGCACAGTGTTACAATCTACTTCAAACCTAGGAAACACGTTCTGGAAACCAAACCCTCCGTCCTGCCCTCAGGCACCTTCAGCTTTCACAGCGCTCCGCCCAAAGCTGGGCGCCCCCACCTCTGGCGAGGGGCGTGTGTCCTACCTCCTGTGCCCGCCCCGAAGCCGGAGAAGCCCCCGCTCTGGGCGCCGAAGGACGACGTCTGCTGGGACAGCGCCCCGAAGGTGGGCGCGTTCTGGCCGGCCAGGGTGCCGAAGGACGTGGTGCTGCTGCCGCTGCCGAACCTGGGCCGGAGGAACCAGTCAGCGCCGCTGCCCTTGCGGCCGGGCCTCAGCAGCCCGTGGTCTCAGGCTGCAGACCACGAATGGAGGGCGCCTGCTTGGTTCGCACCAGTTGGGGGACAGTGGCAGGCCCACGCGACACGATCCCGTGTGTCCAGGTGTCCGGGCCACTGCCGTCAGTGGAAACGAAGCAGTTCTACACTTTTTGCTCTTTCTGCTTCAATAATCCTCCAGTTTCATTCCACCATTCAGCACTTCTCATTTATCGACACCCCCGCCCTTCATTTGCCTACTCCCTGGGCCTTGACCTTGACCCTATCTACTTCTCACGCCGAGGTGAGGTGTCATCTCCACGCACGAGCAGCGTGGCCCTGTCCTTGCTGCCACTCCCGCTGGAGAGGGCCTCTCTCAAACGGCAGGGGGCTCCTCCGATGTCTGTGGGGCAGAGACCAGGGCCCGCACAAAGGGGACGGCATGTCACCCTGGAAACCGCCAGCCGGCCTGTTAGCCCTGCTCCGCTCAGTGGCGCGGTCTGAGCTCGTGGGGTCCCTGGGTACCCTCCCCGGCGCTTACCCGAATCCTCCTGCGCTGGCAGCCGCCGTTCCCTCTCCGAACACTTTGCCTCCCGTCGAGCCCAGAGGGCTTGTAAAGGCTGGGGCTGAACCGAATGCTGGCACCCCTCCAAACCCAGGGGATCCCCCAAAAGTAGGAGGGCTGCCAAACACTGGAGCAGCACCGAAGCCACCTGAGCAAAACAGAGGCAAACAAACAGAACAGGAAGAAAGGAGGAGACAGGAGAGAAGACAGTGAGCGGTGAGAAACCAAATCAAAAGAGGAAGAAAACGGGAAAATCCGTTAGAATCCGAACACAACGAAGCCCACAAAGGGCACCACCCTTTCTAGCAGCAAAACAGTAATTAAACCCAAAGCAAACCCAGCCACCAGCTCCTCCCTCCGGCTCCAGCAGAGGTCTGGGGTCCCTCGGGACGGCTCCCCGGAATTGTAAGAACCCGCAGCCCCGTATTTGTCTTGAGCTCCCAGCCCCTCCCAGACGTAAGCCGGGCTTGTTAGCTCCAAGTCTTGTCAAATCAGGTCGCCACCCAGAACCAATGTGGTGCACTTCCGGTCCCTTCCTGCCTGGCTGCACTGAGACTCCTCATGGCAAAGCCATTCTCAACGCCGATGCCTGCCCGAGGTCGGGGATGACGGACAGGCCAGGCACAGCCTCCGGAGCCGATCCCTCTCGGGGAATGATGGGCGGCAGCCGAGGTGAGCGGCTCGGCGCTGGCGCTCAGCCAGGCCTGTTTATTTATTTACAGCGATGGCTCTCCCGTCTCTCACCACCGTCTCTCTCTCTCTGTGTGTCCAGAAGAAGCTTTCAGTGTTTCCTCTCTGCGGCCGGGGCTACTCCTCCATAGAGTAGCACCGCGCTTCCCGGGAGGAGCTGCTGCACGGCTGTGCTCACACGGCCCGGCAGAGCGAGCGTCCACGTGGGGCTCCCTCCGCAGGTCCCGGCCGCTGCTCTGGACACAGGCTGGCGGTGGCCACGCACAGAAGAGGGCCAGGCGGGCCCGGAGCCGCTGAGCTGGCCGAGATGCCCAGCAGGCGGGAAGAGGACTGTCCTGCCCGAGCAGGGTCCCAAACCCACAGACAGGGCTAAAATCCTTCTTGACTACCCAGAGACCCTCGGTGAGGGTCTGCTGAGTGAAATGAACTAAACAGTACACGGAATTCCGAGGGGATACTTCTCAGAATGCGTGCTGGCCTGGAGCCACACGCTGAAGGGAATGATGGAGGCTGAGGCACACGCAAGGCGCGACTAGCCTGCCGGGAGCGAGCTCCTTCCCGCCTCTTTAGGAAGTGAAGCCCAGAGGGCCAGCCTGGCCTTACCCACCGCCAGCCTCTGCCCCCGGCCCGTCTGGTTCGCTGTTCTTTCTGACCCGTTACTCGCTGGTGGGCCGTTTGCAGTGGCTGCACCACAGAGAAGAGACTGCTAAGGCTCACGTTGGGTTAACATCCTGAATTTTAAAGCCTTGAGTGAAATTCCAAGCTATGCTAGTGGGCATGCTGGGCTCCAAACATAACGGACTGGAAAAGAAAAAGCGCTAAAACCCTGCCGCTGAATTATTCAGCACTGACCACAGATCCAGTTACTCTCTTCCCAGACACCGGCTGGGGCTTGGGCTAGTGCCTCGCACTCCGCGTTATGCCGGCTTCTGGGTGGAAGGTGAGTGAAAAGTGAGAAGTCACAATGATACAGAAAGTGAACTGTAGGGGAGAGGAGGCGATGGGAACACACAACTTCCCCACGCCCGGGTCCCGGCAGGCAGAGAGGACAGTCATTCTGGTCTTATTTCTGAAGACTGACTCGCGGGGTTTGATTTTATTAGTTGCCTTATTTTCACTATTTCCTTCCCCTGAAGAAACAGAAATGTGCTAATCATCAGTGACAACGAACCATCTGGTTTACTGAGGGCCCTTCACGTGCCAGCTGCTGTAGACCGGTCTGCTGTAATCCAACCCAAAACCCGGAATCCCCACTTCCCAGGTGAGCAAACTGAGGCTGTCAAGACGTCCCGTGTCTGAGTCCAGTCGGCAGGTAGATGGTGCAGCGGGACCAGAACAAGGCTGAGTGACTCAAAGACCCCCTAGCATCTAACCTGTATGTGAGGCTCTCTCCCCCGCCTCCTCTCCCCTCCCCCACCACTATCCCAGCAACTCTGGCCGGGGAGCAGCGGGGTGAGCCCCGTGGACCCGGGCAGCCTGCCCCTCCTCCTGTCTCCCCCAGGTATCCCCAGCAGCATGCTTCCTGATGCCATCGCTCAGAGGGAGGATGGGCACTTCGGAATTCCTCAGAGATGCCTCCAGACCAGCATCGAGTCCCTCAGAGGAAGGCTGGCTTCCCCCTCAGGAGAAAGCAGCCTTGTGGTGCTCGGAGGCTCCGCTCCTACAGCAGCTCCTGAAACGGGGTGAGCTCCCGAAGTGCCTGGCACTGGCTCATTCCGCTCAGGCATCTGCCGGTGGCTTTCACCGTCCAGTCCTTGAACTGGGTGGTTTCATGAGGCAAAACGTCAAGTAGAAAAAATATTCCGAAAGGGAGGTACATTTTCTTTAAGATTGAAAAATTAGAAGCATCAGATTCTCCAATCAACATCTTGATCCCAGGATAAGGGACAACATATAAGAAAACACACCAGTCCAAGGAAACATTACCAGGTTCCTTAGAAACAGTCTTGATAATTAATGAACTAAAATCTCGTAGTCAAGTAGTGTTTGCCTGGTTAACAAGAAACGAGTTTGTAGCACTTTCATTTTAAAATCATTCACTGTCGGGAAGGTTGGGGCAAAAGGGAGCTGCAATGCCCGTTTCTCATCCATTTCAAAATCTAGGAAAAGAGCACCCCAAACTGGCCCCACAGGCCTGAGGGGAGGCGCACAGTGAATCTGGAAACCTCAGCAACTGTGCTCCACGCAGTGGATTCCAGATGCTAATGGGGGCGATTCTGCATCAGAGCCACCTGCACATCTGTCCCCAGTGGGACCCTGAACCACCTACACATCTGTTCCCAGTGGGACCCTGAGCCACCTACGCATCTGTCCCCAGGTGTGATCCTGAGCCACCTACACATCTGTCCCCAGTGGGACCCTGAGCCACTTACACATCTGTCTCCAATGGGACCCTGAGCCACCTATGCATCTGGTCTGCAGGTGGGACCTTCCTAGCACTGGTAGAATTCAGTCTCGCACACATCTGAGCGAGGGAGTGTCCTGCCACTCACCCCTAGGTGCCTGCTTGAAGGAACCGCTTTCTCAGTCAACATCCCTCCTCTGCTTTGTGCCTTAAAACAAATCCTTTCATATAACTGTCCACGCAACAGGGCAGGAAGGCAGACCCACGCAGATCCCAGAGACAGAAATAGGATAGAGGAGGCAGCGACAGAAACGAAATATGTTTTTGTGTCTAAATATAGGATGTCCTTTAAAAACTTTAATTTAAATTTAATGCGTGATTATAAAAAGTCACCATTCACAAATGTATACTGTAAAAGTAATGCTGGGGTAAGAAATAGTGCTAGCAATGTTCTTTATTCTCTATTACATGGGTATTTTCCAATTGTGGGAATTAATTTATGATATGTGAATATTTGAAGTTATATGTGTACATGTATTGTACTAGTATATATAATGTACTTGTTTATTATACTCAATTAAAAACAAAAAACAAGGGACTTGGGAAAGAATGGTAGTTAAATAGTTGTTCGGCCTGCGACAGGCAATGGGCTCCGAGCAAATGTGCGACTCGGACACTTTCCTGTTTACAGCGATGGCTTTCTCCTGCGTTCTTATCTGGCCACTCTGCACTGGCCACCTGTTTACGTTTTCTTCCCAGGAAGACCCTAATCCTCCTAAGGGTTACACAGCTGCATTCTGTGCTTTGTAACCTGTCTCAGGAGACCTAGGACAGTGGAGGAGCACAGTGGCTCTCAGTAAAAATAAAACAGAGCGGGAGTCACTCCATCCCCGCTCCCTTCTGCTCCCTTGGAACCATGCCAGAGCGCCCCCCCCTCCTGCATCTATGCCCTGAGCCCGGGAACCCCCCCCCCCCCCCCCTTCAGGCAGGGCCAGTACCTGTCTTGTTCGGAGAGGAGAACCCGAAGCCTTGGGACGCCACGCTGCCTCCTCCGGCGCTGAAGGTGCCGGCAGGCTTCTGCTCTCCGAACGACGAGCTGGCAAAGCCGCCGAACGTCTTGGCGCCGCTGTTTCCGAACAGGCTAGAGGTATCTGACGAGAGGAGAGACACGTGTGCGAGAGGTCAGAGGGGGAGCATGTCCTCAATTCTCGACAGGGACGCAGGAAGCTCAGCTGGGTGTTTGGGAGAAGGAGGAAGTGGTCGGGAGTGGACAATTCAGGGAGCTGAGCCGAAGAGCACTGGAGCCTTCTCCGATGTGCATGGGCCTTGAGGCCGGATTTGATTACGTGCGAGTCCAGGCTCAGGATTTCCCGACGCAGCTCTCCGGCACCGAAACTCATCCGCGCTCCCGCGGGCCCTGGCCCGTCTGCCCAAGGGCCCAACAGCGCAGCCTCACGCCGGAAGGCCATCTGGGCAAACCCAAGCCAAGCACATGGCTCCAGCGCAGCTTTTACAGTCAGGTCTGGCACGCTGGCTGCTGCCCAGTCTGCTCAGAGAACGCAGACAAAGCAACCCCGGGGCTCCGACCTCTGATCTGACGGGAGCCAGGGATGTTCTGAGGCCGGAAAAGAGGCCAGCAGACTTCCAGTGTGATTTCCTCCTTTTCAGAGTTCAGCTAAGCTCCCGATGCTTATCTAGTGGTCAGTCCTTCCCACACACACAAAGAAAGAAAACTAACGACTAAAACCAAGATGGGTGAGAAGTATTTGTTCGATTCCCCACCACTGATAGACGGGTGTTTTATTAAAATGAGTTGGTAGCACTAAGCCGGTTTAGCTCAGTGAATAGAGCAGTGGTCAGCAAACTCATTAATCAACAGAGTCAAATATCAATAATACAATGATTGAAATTTCTTTTGAGAGCCACGTTTTTTAAACTTAAACTATATGGATAGGTACATTGTTATTAACTTAGAGTACATGATATTTTGTGGAAAAGCCACACTCAAGGGGCCAAAGAGCCACATGTGGCTTGCGAGCCGCCGTTCGCTGACCACTGGAATTGATCTGCAGACCAAAGGGTCCTGAGTTCTATTCCAGTCTAGAGCATGTACCTTGGTTGCAGGCTCCTCCCCTCCCTGGGCCCTGGTTGGAACTCGTGCAAGACGCAACCAATTGATGTGTTTCTCTCGATCAATGGGAAAATTATCCTTGGGTGAGAATTAAAAAAAATAAAATCTCTCTCACTCTCCCTTTCTCTCTATATAAAAGCCAAGCTACTGGAACGGTGCAATGACGCATACTGTGGTGGCCAAATGGCCGGATGGGGTCGATCAGCACCCGTAACAGCCTGTGTCGTCCCCCGAGGGGCCCGCCTTCTGTGTCTCCTCCCTCCTTTGTAAGTTGTTCACAGCACCTTATAATGGAACAAGCATGCGCTCTGCATTCAGATGTGGCTTAGACACCTCAGAGCTATGATGCTGGGCAAGGACTGAATTTCCTGAGCCCCCGTCCCGCACAGAGCTGTGAGCACGCAGAGCTGCGGTGAGGAGCTAATGAGTGTGCGCGCAGGGCACCTTGTTGGGCATGTGCGAGGTCCTCAGGAAACACCACTTCCCGTCCCTGACTCTTCCCCCTGCCGCACCCACTCATGGCCAACACAGACAGACAGCAGGTCAGCTGCGGAGCATGGAACCTGCCCATTTAAAAATATATATATATATATATTTTATTGATTTTTTACAGAGAGGAAGAGAGAGGGATAGAGAGTTAGAAACATCGATGAGAGAGAATCACTGATCAGCTGCCTCCTGCACACCACCAACTGTGGATGTGCCCACAACCAAGGCACATGCCCTTGACCAGAACTGAACCTGAGACCCTTTAGTCCACAGGCCGACACTATCCACTGAGCCAAACCGGTCTTGGCACTCTGCCCATTTTGCGAAGATAATGAGGACGCGATCGTGCACGGAGTGGCAGCTGCCATTTGCAGTCTCAAAAGCAGCCCAGCATAGGGGACGTGTTGGGAGTGACTGAAGCTGCTCTGAGACCAAGGCGGAAGCCACGTCCGCTCTGCCTCTGCAGTCTGTGTGTCTCTCTGCTGTCTCCAATGGCTCCCAAATTAAGAGTCTCTAGTTCTTGAAAAAGTGGTCGAGACTCTCGGTTGCTGGAACAGTGTTTCATGCTAAGATTCCTGAGTAAGCTGGCCAGTAAGGAAACTGGTCTCCGTGGAGCCCCTGGACGACCAGCTGGAGGGGAGGCAGGCGAGGGGAAGGCAGTGCAGGTGAGATGGGGTCTGCTCTGAGCCCGCCCCCGCTGCAGGCACACGGATCCTCACCCGTCTTTGATTTGGTAAAAGGCTACATCCCCTACCATCACCATGTAAACACCACCGCAGAGACCAGGTCCCGTCCCCTCTGCGGGCTCCAGGCACTCAGGAGGACCCACACTGAGATGAGAAAGGGACTGAGAAACATCCGCCCAGGCCACTTTCCTAAGAGACACTGTGAGGGGACCCTGAGCCCAACAGACTCCATCAGCCAGCTTCCTCCTCAAGGGAGTCTCCCAGCGCCGACACAAAGCAGGTGCCCAGGACGGCGCATCCCTCCTCAGGCACACTCGGGAGGCGGGAGGCCTAGCTGTCTCCAGCACCATCAAGTCCCACACTTAGTTTAAAAAAAAAAATGTTAAGTCGTGCGCCCTTTCAGAGTTACTTCAGTTTCCCCGCGGCATACAAGTCAACTGCTGGGGAGCGGCTGCCCAGGGTCAGGAGACAGAGACCAGCAGGCGTCTGGTCCCAAGAATAGGCGCGCCGATTTTAAACCAGAATCATCGAATTAGAAACACGGCGTGCCAGGCAACAACAGGCTGGGAGCCACCGCCCGTGTGCGCGGTAAACAAACACTCCTGTGGCCGCGAGCGTGAGCTGGGGAGGTGGCACCGCGGGCCTCCAGAGCGGCCCAGCCCCGGGAGGGCAACCCTCTGATAGGTAGGAGTGCGGCACTGAGAGATGAATCAGCCAGGAGGAAAGGAATTTTTTCTAGGATATGCCCCGCCCACGTTCTAACAAAACAGGCTAGTCACACAATCTCAGGAGATAACCTACCCGGAGGGTAAACCCACGTTTCTAACGAGCATGTTACCAAGCGCCTGGTGGGTGCCAGAGGCTGTTTGGCACATTGTGTAAGATGTAGCTGAATTCCAGACCTGCCACTTTCTGGCTTTGTGACAAAATAAACTGGCAAGTGTGGCTCAGTGCCTGAGTGCCAACCTATGAACCAGGAGGTTGAGGTTCAATTCCTGGTCAGGGCACATGCCCGGGCTGAGGGCTTGATCCCCAGGGGGGAGTGTGCAGGAGGCAGCGATCAATGATTCCCTCCCATCACTGATGTTTCTGTCTCCCTCTCCCTTCCTCTCTGAAATCAATGGAAATGTATTTAAAAAACAAAACCCCAAAACAAATCACTGAACCACGCTGAGCTTGTTCTGGCTGAGAAAGGGAGAGCTGTGAAGGACCGTGCTTTCAGTCGGTGCAGGGACCCCTGAGCTCTGCCACAGAGGGGAAGGAGGGGAAACACCCAGGTGTGGCTCTGGTTCTGACCCCTGCCTCTGAGCAAGCTAGTTCTGTCTGTTTTGCAAGTCAGGATTCTGCGTACGAGTTCATCTGCAGAATTGGTTTTTGAAAACTATTAGACTTGATTTCTAAAAGCCTTTCATTCTAGGATTCTACCTTCTTCCTGGCAGGCTGCAGAACCACACCTCTGATGACTTAATGGTACAGATGAAGAGGCACGTGTCTCTGGACCATGACCTCTCTTTATACTCCCAGTCGGACAGTGACCTCAAAATAACAGACCTGGGAATCCAGGGGACTCGGAGTTTTGTTTTAGCTACAGGAGCTGGGAGCACGGAGGAGGCATCTGTTCTGTCGGTGGGCATGTGCTCTGGGTTCACAGAGGAGCCTTCTGTGCAGCGTTCTGCATGGGCGAAGCTAAGACCAAGAGGACAGGGTCCCACCCTCCCTTCTCAGCCCCATCAGCAGCAGGATATATATATATATATATATTTAAAGGTTTAAACAAGTCAGTTTCTTTCATTTCCAACCATGAAGAGACAGATCAACAAAGTGCTTTGGCAATGAGCTGAAGAAGAAAGTGCCAGCAGAGATGCAGCTTCACTTGAAATAAGACAAAGGAGTGATGAAGGCTCCACTGTCAGCGACACTTCTGACAGCAGCTGGGTTTAGAGGGATTCAGAGGGCGACACAAGTGCAGACCCAGACGTGCCCGCCCCAGCACACCAGCATGCTCGGCCGCTCGCACTCGGGCCTGTCTGCCCGCGTCCATCCCCAGTCACTTCAATCTAATGCATTTCAATTCTCTCCCTGCAGCGCTGATGTCTTTCCGTGATTACACAGGACATGTCATTAAGAAACTAAAAATAAAAACCACGATCCAACAGCTCACACTGCCTTGGGGTAGATATTTTACACTTGATCGCAGGCAAAAGGCCGAGAAGCAATGGGGGTAGGTATTTTAAACGGTCCTTCTGGACCTTTCTGTCCTATACTTGTCAGCGAAGCGCTGATAACCATGAGGACGGCAGTGGCAGTCGGGGGAGGGGTCGGAGAACTTTCTCCACTTACTTGGGGTGGCCGAGGAGCCGAAGCCGCCGCTGGCCGCGCTGAACGGGTTTTTGTTGGCGGCGTCCTGGCTGGGTTTCCCTCCGAGGCCGCTGAAGAAGCCACCCCCTCGGCCGGCGCCGCCGGACCCGAACACACTGCCGCCGGAGGACGGTGACGGCTGCAAGAGAAAGGCAGGAAGCAGTGGTGAGAGGTCACCGAGCGGCAGGCCACCTCCCGGGCAGGAGCGGAAGCAGCAGAGGCTGATCAGTTTGGTGCGGATGCTCTCGCCACCACAGGGAGCTGGCTCCGGCACAGGCCTTCCTGCCCAGCAGAGTGCTCGGCCAGCCCGCCCTGCGGCCCCTGAAAACCTGACTATGGAGGGTGGGAACTTTATACACACACACACACACACACACACACACACACACACACACACACACACACACATATTTACTGGTTCATTTCAGAGAGAGGGAGAGGGAGAGAGACAAAAACATCAATGGTCAGAGAGAATCACTGATCGGCTGCCTCCTGCAGCCCCCTCACTGGGGATGGAGCCCACAGCCTGGGTGTGTGCCCTGGGCCCTGACCAGGAATCAAAGTGTCACTCAACCCCTGAGCCCTGCCGGCGGGCTGGGTGGGAACTGGAAGGTCTCTGCCCTGCTGCCTGCGGTCCCTGCTGACGGCGCCAGAGGCAGGAGCGCCCCCCTCAGGAGCTCCCCACGTGAACAGCTGCAGGGACATTTCTGGGCATCCTGGGCACCTTATTCCGATTCCTCTCGTGTTTGGCTGAACTCATCAGCAACGGCTGCTCAGTGACGACGCTCCCCTCTCCCACACGAGCACTTGTGCTCCGTAATGACTTTCCCAGCGCCGCAGAGGCTTCAATTAGCTCCATTGTTGGAATGGCGGCCACAGCTGAGTTCCGTCCTGTGCGCAGACCCTGTACGCGGGGCGCTGCTCGCCCAGGGTGCGCTGACTCACGGCTGTGGCAGGCACCGCGCTTCACTTCTTCTGGAATTGGTTCTAGAAGGACCAGTGGCAGGTCTGAGGGGCCAGCAGTAGCAGAGCTAAGTGTGCGATGCTGCCCGTGGCTGACAATGGAGGGCACAATGGCTTTTAGAACTGGGCTGTCTGTCTCAGCCCGGGCCTCCCGAGCGGGGAGCGGTGCAGCCCCTCACGAAGTAAGGAGAATAATGACTCCTCCCGCTCACTCATCCTCGGCGTTCTGAGTGAATGGACAGTGACTACGTCCTCATAATTGGGTTAGAGAGAGTCCAACTGGTTTTAATTGCTAAAAATAATTGCTTTTAAAACTTTAAGTTATGGGAACTCTCAAACATGAACCCTCTACATGCCCATCGCCCAGCTTCAACAACTAACTCAGAGCCACTGGTGTTCCCTGTACCTCCCTTTACTTCCCTCGTCCTTTATTAGTATGAAGAGAACCCAGTATCATTTCACCCACTGATTTTCCTCCAAAAATCTCTAAAATATGAACCATAACCATAATATCATTATTGTGCCTAAAAACGAACAATTCCTTTATATGATGAAATAGGGAATTAGTGTTCAAGATCCAGCCCTATATTGCCAAAAGAGAAAAGGAAAGAAAAGAAGAATAACCCAGCCTGAACCTCATCGGGCCCCAGCCCAGCCCCCCCACAGGCCGCAGGGAGGGCAGAGGAGCAGCAGCGGGGCTGGAGGCTCTGCTTGGGGAGCAGCAGCAAGCAGACCACCGGGGACTCCAGGACACACGCTGCTTTGTCCAACCACTGCATCATGAGGAAGCACCCAAGGGAGAGGGACCTGCGAGACCCATCAGCAATCTCAATGTGCGAACACGGCGTGATCCGAACGGGAAGAAACAGACGTAAGAGACATTCCTGAGGATTCTCCAGGAAGCCATTTCCTAACTCATCTTTCCTGATTCGCTGCCCCGTCTTATTCTTCTCTTAGTCTTTAAAACAACCTGAAATGCAAGTGGTAATAAAGGCTGGTTCCCTCTATGAAACAGGCACTGGGTCTGTCTTACACGGAATTCCTGGTGAGTGGTTAATTGGGTCAGCTGTGGTTCTGTCATCTCCTTGCCAAGCACTGTCACTGTAACAATATTAACTCTCTGATCCATGATCACGGATGTTCTTCCATTTACTTAGATCATCGTGAATTCCTTTCAAGAACGTTTTGTAATGTTCAGAATAGGTTTTGCACTTCTTTAATTTAAAAAAATATATTTTATTGATTTTTTATAGAGAGGAAGGGAGAGAGCTAGAGAGCTAAAGACGCCGATGAGAGAGAAACATCTACCAGCTGCCTCTTGCACACCCCCTACCGGGGATGTGCCCGCAACCAACGTACATGCCCCTGACCGGAATCGAACCTGGGACCTTTTGTCAGCAGACTGATGCTCTACCGCCGAGCCAAACCGGTTTTGGCTGTTAAATTTATTTTTAAGTATTTTAATTTTTGATGCTATCAGAAATGGAATTTCCTTAACTTTTAGATCCTATGAAGTATATGGAAAATAATTGATATTTATGTGTTGATCCTGTGTCCTACACTCTCACTGAGCCCACGTATTAGTCTGGATAGTTTTTCCCTGGATTCCTTAGGATTTTCCCAGCACATTATCTGCAGATGGTTCTGCTGCTGCCTTTCCAACTGGGAGCCTGCCATTTCCTCTTCTTGCCCAGCTGACCTGGCTGGAATCAGCATGTTCTCCTGAGGTTCACCTGCTGCTGCACGCAGACCCTCGCTCTGCAGCTGAGCACTCCCTGTGAGGAGGACTGCCTCCGGGGATGAGCAGCTGGGCTGTCTCCAGGTGCGGACTGCGATCATCATCATAAACAAACGGACATTCTCACACAAGCCTTTCTGTGAACATCTATTTTCTTTTCTTTTCGGTAAATACCTAAACCATAAAATCAATGTATATTTCACTCCAGGGCCTGCCGATGACTTTCCAGTGACCACACGGCTTCACACTCACAGCAATGCTGCTCTCGAGCTCTCCCACATGCGACAGTTGGCTCTTAAATTTCAACAATTCCAGCGGGTGTGAGGGAGTGTCTTGCTGTGGCTTTAATTTGCATTTCTCTGATGACTAACAACGCTGAGCTAGTGTTCATGTGCTTATGGGCCACTCACATATCCTCTTCGGTAAAGTATCTGCCCAAGTATTTTGCATATTTTTAAAACCAAGCTGTCTTTTTATTTTTGACTTACGAGTTCTTTATACATGGGTGGGGCAACTGTAGTTTTACAGTTGTATGTGAAAGTTTATTCTTGTATTATTATTAATTAGTGTATTACTTTCCAGATGTAAACCTCCTTTAGCACCACACCGAATATTCTAGACGGAAGCCCTCTGGTTTGATGTGTCCTAAATATTTTCTTCCCGTCTATGCCCTGCCTTTTCCTTTTTGATGGCAAGTCTTTTGATGGGCTCTAGTTTGTAATTTTAATAAAGTCCAGTTTTTCCATTTCCTTCTTTTATAGCAAACACTGTTGCTACCGTTGTCATATATTTCCTATCTTGTTAAAGCCACACAATCCCTTATGCCCTCTTCTTTCTTTCGCTGCTTTAAAATTTACCAATTGCTTTTCAGACGCTTAACTATGATGTGTCGAGGTGTGGCTTTCTGTTTGGGATTCACAGGCTATTAGATTTGTGGATTCCTGTTTTTCAACAAACTTGGAAAAGATTGGCCACAGTTTCTTCAAGTGTTTTTTTCTATCCCATCTGCCTTCTCTTCTCTGATCACAGACACGCTGGACTGCTGATACTGTTGACTCTACGTTCTTTTTTCCTGTCTCTCTGAGCTTCACGCTGGGTAATTTCTGTTGACATGTCTTCAAATGCCCCGTTCTTCTGTGGCATTCGCTCTGCAGTTAACCTGCCTAATCACATATTTGAGGTGCTGGATGTAAACTTCAGATTCAGACCACTGCTGTCTATCCCATGTTTGCTGAGATTCCTATCAAACATTCCTTTATTTTCTTGTAAATCCTGGAGTACAATAGCTATTTAAAGTCTGCTGATAGTTCCAGGTGTCTGGATCATCGACAGTTGTTTCTTGCTATTTCCAAAACAGGATTCCCTTTTTGTTTCTGCTACTTCATATGTTAGTTAATTGGGGGGGGAGGGGACACGGTATACTGATCTTGTACATAAAAGATACAGTGTGCGGTGACTGAAGAACACCTCATGCTCTTTCTGGAGAGGGAACCCTCTTTTTCATCTGTACCCTGGAGTGAGGAGGCAGTCATTCGGACTTCACTAAGCTTGAGCTGATGGGGACCGAGTGCCGCCTTGGTTAGCCCATCTGTGCTCAGGGGTTAGGCCATGGTCTTACTCCGCATGGAGCCTGGGCCCGGGGGCAGCTGGGTTGCAGCATTTGGATTCAACAGTGGCAGGCACAGTGGCAGGCACAGGGGAGTACGAGCTGCAAGGTCTTTCCTTTCTCATCCTGCCGGACTTCCTTTTTCTCAGCCAAAGTGGGGGAGGGTGGACAGGGAGATTTTACATTCAACAACTTGCTGTTGTCCCTACATGTCTTTCAGACCCCAATTTGTTTCTCTAAAACAAAACAATCAATGGGATATAACTCATATACCTCAACACTCACTGATTTAAAGAACATAATTCAATGGTTTTGGAAAAAAAATATATGTAACATAAAACTTGCCATTTAACCATGTTAAAATATACAACGCAGTGACATTAATTACAGTCACAATGCTGTACAACCATCACCACGACTTATTTCCAAGGTTTTCTCATCACCACACCAAAATTCTGTAAGCAGTAAATAATAACGTCCCACCCCTCCCCCCCTGCCTAGTCTAACTTTTGGCTCTATGAATTTACTATTCTTTTTCTGTTTTGAAAATAATGTTTTTGCTCCTTTATTCTTTTGTGTGTGGTAAACACAGATATGATAAAACTTACCACTTTAAGAGCACAATTCAGTGGCATTAAGTACAATCACCGTTGTGCAACCATCACCACTATCTATTTCTAGAACTTTCTCATCATTTCAAACAGAAATTCTATATTCCTAACACTAATTCTCCATGTATGTAGTCATTTTTAAGTGATTACTTTTTATTTAACCTATCCTAAATATGTCACATTAAATCAAATCCTATACCATTTGTTCTTTTAGAAGAGGCTTATTTTAATTAGCATCACGCAGTCAAGGTCTACCACATAGACCTTGTGGTAGGAAAAGACCTTGTAATAGGAATCAGACCTTAATTCCTTTTGAAGGTTGAGTAACTTGCACTGCATATGTATCGTCATATCCTGTTTATCCAGTCACCTGCTGATGGACACCTGGGCTGTTTCTCCCTTTTGGCCATTGTGAGTAACGCGGAGTCCCTGCCGACAGTGCCTCTGGGTACCTGTACCAACAGCGTGTGCTCCCGAGTCCTGCTTCTTTCACTTAACACTATGCCTGCGGGACGCACCCATTTAGTTTCGTACTGGAGCGCTCCTTTCTCTGTACTGCTCTCCGGTCTCCGCAGTATGAACACACCAGTGACTCAACCCATTCTCTAGCAAGAAGCCCTGGGGTTGTTTCCTATGCTTAGCGTTTATGAATACACCATGAGCTCTCTGATCACATGCTCTGAACAAAGGCACTCATTCCCGCTGGCTCCACACCTAGCAGTGGATTTGCTGCTCCAACAGGGAGTTTGTGTATCTAGTCTTGATACTTCCCAGAGGTTTTCAAAGGGGGATTTACCCCACATTCCAACACGTGGGTGCTCCCGCTGTCTCTGCCTTCACCGACACTGGGTGTTGTCAGCTCTGTCCATTTTAGCCATGTTGGTGGCGGTATAGTTGTCTTTTCTTTTTGATTTGTATTGTTTATATATTCTGAATACAATTATTCTTTTGGTCCTACATGCTACAGTTTTCCTGGTTCATGGCTTGTTTTATGCTAAAATTCAGAAAGCTGTCATTTTAACGAGGTCAAATTTTCCTTCTGCCTGAATAATTTTCTTTAGAATTTCCGTGAAGCCTCTTAGGCATAGATTCTCTCAGTATCTGTCTAAAAGAATGCTTTGATTCCATTATAGCCTATAAAGGTATTTTTTGCTAGGTAGACTGTCTCTGGCTCTGTCACGGTCGAGAAGTGAGCTATCAGTCCAACTCCTTTGAAAGTAACCTGTCTTTTTGTCTCTGAGTATTTTTAACATTTTATTTCTGTAATTTTGCAGCTTAACTATGATAGATCTTAGAATCTACTTTCTTTTATACATTCTGCTTGGCATTTGTCTGACTTCTGAATCTGTGGCTGTTTTCTACTGGTTTTGGAAATTTCTGTCTTTTTCTCTTCTAATATTACCACATATTTTTCCCCCCTCTTCCTTTACATTAAATGTATTTTGGACTCCCTCTTTTAGGATTTTTACTTTCTTTTGCATTTTCCATTTTTCTTTGTTCTTCATAAAGCAGACCATATAACTTAATCTGACCTACCTTCTAGTTCAAGGGTCAGCCAACTATATATAGTCCACAGGCCAAATCCAATCTGTGGGTTTTTGTAAATGAAGCTTCACAGAACATCTCATGCCCTCCATGTCTAAATGATTACTACCTGGCTCTTCACGGAAGTTTGCTGACCCCAGGTCTAGCATATGACCGTTCTCTTCACCTGGGTCTGATCTGTCGGTATTAAATTTTACTTCTTATACTCTTCCACAAGTTCCATTTGGTTCTTTTTCAAAGCTGCTATGACAGTTCTTGCAATTTCCTATTCTTTATTGGTCTTTTCAAGTTTGTCTTTCATTTCTTTTAAACGTGTTAAACACAGCTGTTTTACAGTCTAGGAAGTCTTTGCAAATGTATGTCTGATGTTTATTCTTGATCATAATTACTTGTTTCCCTTTATGACTAATTTAGGCCTGGAAATCAGTGTCCTTAGAAGTTATTTGATGTGAGGAGAATATAACCGATAATAGTGTGACAAGTTTATGTGATAACAGATGGTTTCTAGACTCAGTGTGGTGAGCACATTGTAAAACAGACAAACGCCAAATCACTATGCTGTAACTGTACCTGAAACTAATACAATACTGCATGCCAACTGTGCTTTAATACATTTAATGATTTAAAAGAAATCAGTTGCCCTAAATTAAAAGGAAAAAAATTTAATGATTTGAGGCCGAAAGTAATTTTTCTCCAGTGTCTGCTGCTCCGCCACGCACCTGCAGACACCGCCTCCCAGGACCTCGCCAGGCCACCTGCACGCTGAGGCCGGGGAATCTGAATCCCGGCTCACTGCGGAGAGGATCTCTCACTTCGGGCAGAGCGTGGTTAGTGATTTCTGCTTCTGTGCCCTTCCCAGTTATTAAAATAGGAAATTCAAATTATACTACTAAATGTTCTCAGGGCAAAACTGGGTTCTGTGTTCCACTCACTGCCAGAGGTTCCTTTTTCCTTTTAACGTGGCAAACACCTTGTCGGCTTTTCAGTGCTTTAAAAATTGTGATGTTTACGTTTCACCTAGCATTTTAGCTGTTTTCCGTGGGAGCGTGATTGGAATGCTTGGACCGCCACCATCAGACACCGAAGCTGAGAGGCTTCACTTCTCTCTGCCAAGGATCCCTGCCTAGAGCAAGGACTCATCTTCAAAGCAAGAGGACGATACAGAAAATCTCTTACTGAAGATGTACAAAGACAAAGCATGTCCTACCGCCTGGAGAACCATGGACAATACAAGGCCACAGTGCCGAGTGCCTTTCCTCAGGCCCCCTGATGCGGGCACAGGGGTCTAAAAGCAGCAGCCTCGCTGGGTCCCCAGTGTCCTCACCCGTCACGTGAGGACAGTAACAGCATGTGCCTTCAGAAGTACTATGATTACAGGAGTCAATTGTATAAAGCCCTACCACCACGCCCGGCACAGATAACCACTAGCTGGACACACTGAAACAGCTTCGGTCACCAAAAGAAGCATTTTTCTCTTCTTTTTGTTTAAGTAACCATTTGGAAAGGTAACCACTGTTCTTAGGTCAATGACCTTAAAAAACACACACACAAAAACAAAAATGGAGGCCAAGGAGCGGGTTTAATCCGTGGCCCTCATTTGCCAAGCCCTGGCCTCACAGAACAGGCGGAAGACGGATGGAAACCAGGCAATGTGCTTTCAAAGCAGGATGAAAACTGTAGTGATTCTCTCGAATCAGAGGCTGAGACCTCCATGCCTACGTGAGCTAAGAAGGCGGGGCTTGAGAAGCACACAGGCTGCTTCCTGGGTTAGGTGGGCAACACAAACTGACTATAGATGCAGGAAGGAGGATGGGGTGGGTGGAGCTGACACGAAAGAGGCAAACACACATACTTACCTGGCCAAACACTGTTCCACTAGTATTGGATGCTTGACCAAACAAAGAACCAGCATTACTGGACCCAAAACCTATAAAATAAAAAGAACAAAAGTTCAAATTGGAAGTATTTTACATCAAAGTGGAGTTTTTTTTGTTTTTTTTTAGAATGGCATTTTGGTATGTTAAGATAACCAACAATAAATCAGTCCATGAATAAAATGTGGCTTCCTATCTAGGAAATGAAGAAAATGATCTACACTAATAAAAGAGTAAAGATGCAAATTGACTGTACCTTTGCAACGCCCACCAGTCAATCAGGAGTGAGCACGCAAATTAATCTAACAAAGATGGCGGGTTGATTTGCATACACAGGTGCCAAGCAGCTGGGGGCATCCTGCATCATCCTAGCTGGAGCAAGGCAGAGCCGGCCGCCAGGGGAAGGAAGGCCAATTTTTGCACAAATCTTCGTGTATCGGGCCTCTAGTTTGTAAATAAGTATCTCTTTGCATTGCTAACACTTATAACTTTATTTATAATAGTATAATAAATTCCAAAGTCTCAAGGGCTAAACCCTGCCTCCTACTGAACCCCAGGGGCAGGCACTAAGATGGTACACTCAGAGCAGAAGTTCCCTAAACTTCACTGCCAACAAGTCTTCCCAATGACTGAATGTCATGAACATTTCTACTTCCTGGTTTCCTCCAACCTCAAAGACCAGATTCATGCAGGGCAGTTTCTCTCTCTTTGGTGGGACACAACATGGCTGAGGGGCTGGGGAGACCGGCAGCGCTATATGTGATCACAGCGCCCTGTAAGGAGTAGAACGCAGGAGTTCCATTCTCATTTCTGTCCTTGGTTGAGGCGAGGAGCTCAGGCAGTCTCCACTCCTGCCTGGGGTGGAAGGACTGCCCAGGGACCGATCCATAGCTACTGTGTTAAAGAAGATTCCTTCAGAGGCTTGTGATCATGCTGAGGTAGTTTGATCACACGTGTGTATGAGGGACTCTCAAGTGTTGACTGAACAAAGGATGCACTGGAGATGGTATAACACTGACTCCCTCCGAGACTCACAGTGCCTCTTCCCTGCCCATTCTCTAGGCCACGTGATCACATTTCCCGTCACTCCCATCGGCCACCCGGCCTCCTCACAGGCCATCAAGTGGGTTTTAAAACTGTCTTTCCCACTGTGTCCTTGCAGCCAAATGCAGTGGGAGATGAGCAGACATTTGTTGAAGAAAGAAAAGACAAGATCTGTTTTCTAAAAAACTATGAACCATTTTCAAATAAATTATCACCAACGGAATGAGTTAGCAGTTCCTGCCTACCAAGAAATCAATAATCCTTGTTTCCCCCAGAGCCTCCTCAAGGAAGAAATGCCTTTCATAAGATGACTATCAGAGAGAGGCTTAGGAAAAGATTTCAAATTGGTCCGCCTATTACTAACATTTAGAAGTAAAAGGAGCTGCTAAAATTAGATGAGCAATAGGGAGGATTACGTTTTACTTTTAAATATTTTAAGATTTGGATTTTAAAAAAAAAATTACAACACTGAAAAGAGAAAAAAGCAAACTTTTCACATGTCAGTATCTGCCCTCTGGTGGGAAGACAGTGGGGAGGAAGCAGATGGGCTGGCAGGGCGTGGCCGGGGAGGAGCGGTGCAGTGCCGGTTCTGGGAGCACTCACCAGAGGATCGGTCCGCCTACGGCCTGACAGTTTGGGCATAATGACCTCCAAATACCTCTGACTTAAACATTTCCTTTTTCTGAGTCACTCATTACTTGCTGACCTTAAGCTTTTTTTTTTTTTTACCCGTGAAACTGGCACCCGATGGCTGGGATAGGGGAGACCTTCCTGAGAAGCAGAACTGGACTGACAATGATTCGGCCAAAGGCGTCAACCAGACACCAGCACCCCCACTCCCTTCTGGACTTCAGCCGTTTTCGTTTTCCCTTTCGTTACTAAGGTGGTACGGTTTGCTGCAGAGGTTTCGAACGCTGCAGCGGAGAGTAAGGTAAAACACTTCCATCAGTTCTTACCTGGCGCTTGACAGAAGCTGAAGCCAGAGGACGCTGCTGTCGTGGTGGTGGCCGAGGTGCCGCCAAACACAGAGCTTCCCTGCCCGAAGCCCGGGCTCTGCCCAAACGCCGGCGGGCTGCTCTGGCCGAACACGCCCGCGCCGGTGTTGGCAGAGGACTGGCCGAACGAGAAGGAGATGGAGCTGCTGGCGCTCGAAGTGGCACCGAAGACGCTCCCGCTGGTGGACGTGGTCGGGGAGGACACGGCCTGGCCAAAGGCGGCCCCGGAGCTGAAGCCGGGCTGGCTGAAGGAGAAGCTGCTCGCGGGGCTGCTCGTCGCCTGCCCGAAGGCCGGGGCCTGCCCGAAGGCCGCCTGCCCGAAGACCCCCGTGCCCGAGGTGCCGAAAGCTGGGCTGCCGAACCCCGAGCTGCTGGCCGGCGGCGTGGCGGTGGCCGTGCTGGCCGTCTGCTGCCCAAACAGGCTCGATGCGGTGCTGGCTGCCGCCTGCCCAAACACAGGGGAGGCCGTGCTGCCGGGGAGCTGGCTGAAGGCGGAGCTGGAGCTGGCAGCAGGTGGCTGAGTGAAGACAGAGGACCCAGAGGTGACGGTGCCGAACGCCACCGACTCCGCAGCGGGGCTTGCAGCAGCGCTGGCAGCAGCACTGGCGGTGGCGGGGGCACTCGGTGCTTCTGTGGCCACAGGGCCCGCACTCGGGGTTGAAGCTGTGGTGACAGCCGGCTGCCCAGGCGCCGACAGGGAGGGAGGAGCTGGTTCCGTCTTGGCGTCAGGGACCCCGGTGGCTGCTGCCGGGGTCTCTGCGGAAGGTGCCGGGGGGCTGGAACTGGGCGGCACGGCCTCTGGGCTGCTGCCTGCGGGCTGGGCGGGGGCAGGCTCCCTCGCGGCCTCGGGGGTTTGCTGAGGGGCCTGGGGAGGCGGCGCTGACGGCTGCGGCCCCGGGAGCGAGGCTGCAGGTGCCGGGGCCTCACCGGGGCCCGGCTTCTCGGGCACGGACGGGGCCGTCGCCTCCTCGGTGCCTTCCGCAGAGGGCACAGGCGGGGTGGGAGCAGGCGCCGTACTGAGGAGGCTTCCGAACGACAAGGCGGAGAACGAAGTGGGGAGGGGAGTGGCGGTGGTGGCCGGTGGTGCGGCGGGTGGGGGCGCTGTGCCACTCGTGGGCTGACTTCCAAATGAAAAGCCAGTCTTGCTGCCACTCAGAGATATGCCGCCAAAACCCAGGCCCCCAGAGCTGGCGAGGGGCAGGCCGCCGAAGACACCAGGGGAGGCACTGCTGGTGCTGGTGCTGGTGCCGGCTGCTGGTGCCGCCGTGGTGGCGGTCACAGAGGTCAGGGGAGGCTCCGCGGGCTTCCCCAGCGCGGGAGGGCCGCCGAAGTTAAACCCCGAGGAGATGAGGGGAGTCTTGGCGGGCTGGGCGCCGCCCAGGCTGGCGGAGGGAGCCTTACTGGCTGGCTTTGGGGAGTCCTCTGCCTGGCCGACCCGCAGCCCCGAGAAGCTCCCCAGAGTCTCCCCAGCCAGAGAGCTCGGGAAGAGGAGCTCCCCCGCCTGGGACGGCGCGGCTTCCAGCTTGCCGGGAGGGGTGGAGAGGGCGATGCCAGGAGGGGCCGCAGGCCGGCTGCCCGGTGGAGCCGGCTCCCCTGCGGGAGCCGCGGGCGCGGCCGCCCCTGGGGAGGGAGACGAGCTCTCGGGGGTGGCCTCCGCTAAAGGTTTGCCTCCCCCGCCGAACGGGAACGTGTCCGACGGGCTGGACTCTTTGGCAGGGGGTGCTGCCCCTGGCGAGACAAAGAAACGAGGAGATGAGCTGGATTTGGCACTCTGACCCGGCGCACCTCCGCTGACTATTTCTAAGCCTCCCTCCCCCCCGGCACAGGCAGGGACGTCCTGTCCTGAGCGGGGAGGACAGGACGGATCCCTCCGCCTGAGCCATCTCACTGGGGTGAAAAGCACAGCTGTTCTTCCCATGACCATTAAGTCACAACAAATACGCCGCATCTAGAATGTAAGACATTAAGGCATTCTCCCCTTACTTTCCCACCGTGCTTCCCTCGCGGACAGCCCTGGCAGAGGAGCTAGGGGCAGCTGGCTCTAATGGAGACACTACCACACTCACTGCACATGCTCTGGCAGGACTCGGAGCACGCACAAGGCAACACATGGGTCAGAACCCTGCCCGAGCTCCGGGCACACAGAGGTCATGCTGTACAGCGGAGACGGTACCTGGTGCGGCAGCGAAAGTGGAAGATGGTGTTGGCGTGATTATCCCGAAATTGAAGCCAGTCCTGGGGAGTGGGAGAAGAGAGGTTAATAGGGAACACTGTGTAATGCGCTCACACAGTCTCTATCCAGGAACTTCCAATCTCCCAGATACACAACCGAGGAGAAGCATATTTCTGCAGAGCAGTAAGCCACTCCAAGAGCTGAGCGGGGAGAGGCAGTCTGTGGGGGAGGCAGGGGAGCAGCATGGGAAGCCTGGACAGACGGCGGGGCTTCCCCAGGCAGAGGTTCAGGTGGGGATCTCGCTCAAGGGAGGAGCGGGCTGCCTGGTGAAGGAGACAAGACAGGCCGGCGAGGGGAGCCCTCTCATAACCCACCCGGTATCAGCGTGCCAGGACAGGGCCACGTTATAGGGACACATGGGGAGCTTGACACAGAAGCCAGTCTGCGGTTCTGGCACAACCCTTGGAGATGGGCGGGGAGAACTGGGTTTGGAAACTTTTCTGACTCCTTTCCTGTCTTCTCTCTTTCTGTACTTCTCTGCACTGTGAGTAAAGACACCATCACCAAAGAAAAGCCAGTCCAAGAGTAAGCCAGAATAGACTATTCATGGTGATAAAAGCTCAAGTAGCAAATTTAAATCAGTCTAGTTTTAAAATATAAGGGACCTCCCGGCCAGTGTAGCTCAGTGGTTGAACACTGACCCATGAACCAGGAAGTCAGTTTGATTCCAGGTCAGCGCACATGCCTAGGTTGCGGGCTCAATTCCCAGTGTGGGGTGTGAGGAAGCAGCCGATCAATGATTCTCTCCATCAGTGATGTTTCTATCTCTCTCTCTGAAAGCAATAAAAATATATTAAAAAATATTAAAATACGAGGACCAAGCATATCAAATAAAGTAAACAATGTGAGAATTTAGATTTTTTTAACCCATCATGGCTTTTGTCTAGTGAACAAAGACCACCTAAAATGTGTTAAACATTGTATCTATCACATTTAAGAAAAACCCTTTTTCTCTGTCTCAGCCTTGGTGAAGAAATTTTATATAAAGAGATAAACCACTGACCCAACCTTTTCAGCTTATTTTAAAATTGGGAAGAAGAGTATCAGTGTCCGAGGTAAAGGTGAGTAATTAGCGTTTAAAAGCTGCACTAGCTCCCTGCACCAACCTGCTTTGTAAAATCTGCCCCCCACTGCCACTGGGGAGCGCACACATGGCTCGCCATAAGAGGAAGTAAGAACAGCAGGTGCTAGTCTGCCCCGCCTCCATGGGGAGAGGATGCTGGCAGCCTTCGGGGCCCAGTGTGAGCGCCTTCCCCAGCTGAAGTCCTTGCCGCCCCTTACAAGGCTAGCACGTTCACCTCTCAGATCAGTAAAGCCAATCCCAGCGCCGATCTAGTCCCCAAACGGTGCCAGAATGAAAACTGCTCCGCAGACAAATTAGGCCAACCATGGAAGCTGGCACAGACCCGCTACCCAAAGAAAAACGAGGCTCATCCTATAATAGCACATGTATGAACTTGAATCTAAAAGGGGAAATAGACTCCTATCAGGACATGAAGCTGCTATCATCAGATGTATTACTGCATGATAAGAAATCTGGGCTCAGGCACATTTGATAAGCATCTTACTGACCGTGAGATTTGGGGAAGCTATCAAGTAAGTGACTTCCCACAGTTTATACTGACCCTGATGAAGAAAATGAGAAGGGCTTGCTGAACTGCCCGGCAGAAGATGGAGCAGAAGTCACAGCGGTTTCTATCTTGGTTGCCCCTGGCCCTGAAATCAGGAAAAAGAAAAAAAGAAAAAGAACATTACAAAAGCCAGTGAGAAACACGGTTCAAGTTTGTAATTCTTGCAGCACCAGCAGTGTGTGCAGACAGTGGCCCCAGGCCTGCAGGCCCAACACGCATCCCATACAACCAAGGGGCACATGGGCATAAGTCACACTAAGGGTCTCAGACCTTGCTTGCCCTTTGGCTCTGTCACATTAATTCCAAACCAAGACCACCACAATTTCCTTCCCAGGAAAGAGATCACAGTAATTCTAGCGCAGTTAAAATGTAAAGCTTTAAAAGTCGCTTGATAATTACTGAAAAACCCAAAGGAAATGGTTAGAGCAACTGTCTCTGAGGAGTGACCTCATGTTACTTGTTTTCTCCCCCCACTTCTGTATTTTCCATTGTAGTATTTTTACACTTAACAATCACAACTTCCTTTTTTAATTATGGAGGCAAATATAATACTCAAACATGGAGCACTGTGTTTCAGGAGGTCATGGTGCACAAGGGGAATCTTGTGATAACTTAAAACGATTACATCTACTTTGAACTCTCACATTGAAAGAGATCGTTTTGCTTTTCTTTAACTGGCTTCTGAATTGTCATTGTGAACTAAGTTTTTTATTCCTTTTAGAAGAAACTGAATCCAATGTTCCAATCCACTCCTTCCTGAACTGATCATCCATAAGCAAGTGAAGATATACTATGGCCCATTTTAAGAAAAACTTCTACAGGAAAGTGTGGCCTACTGCTCTCCAACGTCAGATGTGAGCAGTTGTGGGAGGGCCACTAACGTCCTGGAAATTCTTCACCAGCCAAGACCGTTTGAGGGTCTCTGTACGTGGCCTCCTATGCTGTCTTTGTGATCCAGAACAGTTACCTAAGCTGGAGCAGTTCTTTCATCTTTATTTTAATTAAAACAAAAATGCAACTGACCTGAAGCTTTATCACCGGATGACAATTGACCAGAGGCTGATGTGGGCCCCGACAGCTTTAGGGAATTTATTAGTGATCCCTGCAAGAGAACACAAGCAAAACGTACGTGTGAAACTGCTAACCATCCTTTGGAATAAAGGAACATGGAAAATGATAACACAGTTTATAGTAAACAAGCACAAATCATGTTTAGTAAACCCATTTGTTTAGTTTAACATTTTTCTTTTCTTTTTTTTTTAGTTCTAAGGTAAGTCAGTATTTTAATTGTCTGTCACATGTAAGATCATATCAGAGCGGAATATTCATTCTGTGAGTGACCAGGAACAGGCCATGCCCGCCTGTCTGTCTTCTCAGTGCCCCGCACAGGGCCTGGCACACAGAAGACGTTGAATATTTGGCAGACGAGTGAAAGCAGCAGTAAATGAGCTAAATGGTTCTGGTTCTCAAAACATTTATAATGAAGTGAAAAAGCAAAACTGTTTGACTGGTATCCACCTCCAGGCAATGTTTCTTTACTCTTGTTTGTTACGAGTGATGCCTTGCCCTGTGTCCTTCAAGGTGAACATGGAGGCTTCCAGAAGAGGGACCAAATACTAAATGCTTAAATGTCATATAGACACAGCAGAGAAGGAGCAGAGAGCCATGCCTAAGAACTCACAGTCGGCAAGTTCTGGTGTTCAATCTAAGGCTGCCTCAGAGAGATGGTGGCAGAGCACCCGGCTCCTAGGGGAAGCTGCAGCCACAGCTTGGCCTACCTTCCAGCCATCGTCTATTATTTAACTGCTGACAACATAACCTATTTTTTAAGAGACAATGTTTACCAGGCAGAAGCCTGGAAGTAGACATAACAAACATCACAGACTAGGCGAGCTCTGAAAGCCAGTGTGCAGGAGAAAGCAAGGGCACCTCTCCCGCAGACACGAACCCTGAAATGTCTAATGAGAAAAGCATGATGGGAAGAAGTGGGAAGGCTTGGGTCCCAGCTCTGGTTCACCATTTCCTGGCGGGGTGGGCCTGTGTTAGTGACATGAGCCTCGGCCTCTCCATTAGTGAAGCATATCTGAAGCTCTCTCCAGTCTGCTGCACACGGCCGTGGCGCGGGTTAACAAAGGTAATGTTAAATGAAAGGAGCTGCAAATCCAATACTCCATATAAATATAAAGCATTAAACGATGACCCGCGATTGCTAGCAGTAGCCTGGATACACAGTGGGGCCAGGACTTACAGTTCCTGTAATACAAAGTGAGGGCTCTTAGCAGGATAGTCTCAGTGACCCTGCGTGGCTGTCAACAAGGAAAACCAGTGACTTACCTGCTTGGATTGGTTACTCGCAGTCCCGGGAGCCAGCGCGGGGTGCGGAGTTTTGGCTACGGAGTGTGACACCGGAGACCTGAAAAACATGAGCAAGCGCTCAGGGGAAGGCGTGACTGGGGAAATGACATTCACCTTGAGGCACCCTCCAGTCCAGCAAGTAACATCAATTCTTTTCTATCACAGTATAGATGTCTGGACCCTAACCAAAGTCACTCTACATTTTTCAGATTGAAGAATAAATCTTTAAATGAAATCTGGGTCTTTAACATAAAAATCAAAGCGGTACATTAACATTTATTTTCTTCCAACAATCCTATAAAAAAAAAAGTTCTAACTGGTCAGAAGTAGGTCTTTTTCTGACCTGGAGTGTACGCCCTCTCCACCCAGCCCACCACCCGGGCCCCAGCTGCAGACCACGTGGGCAGCTCCTGCTAGTTCCCAAGCCTGAGAACACGTGCACGGGATCTGTGGACTGCACGGGATCTGTGGACTGCACGGGATCTGTGGATCTGCAGAGGCTCGAAGGAGTTACTCTAAGAAGAGAGAGCTGTTTTCTCACAGAAGCACCGAGAGCCCAGTGCTCACCAGGCTGGCACACAGAGAGCTGACTGCGCCTCTGTTCCAGGCCCACCCGTACCTTTGCTACAGGATGCAAGTGCACCTAGTATTTGCAGAAAGCGCTCTCACCATCTATTGCTAGCCCTGAACACAATATGCAAAAAGCTGTTATTTCAACAACTATGTAAGAGTTAACACGTGAGAAAAAAATCTGCAGTTGAATGCAATCACAGGTGAAAGCTCTATTGGTGGCTCTTGGGAGCAATTTTTTTAAATCAAATGACGTGTTCTCAGTCCTGAGCGACTTTGATTGGTATGTACAGCGGTCGTAGCTATAGAATGTGGTCCGATTTTTCAGGTACCTCCCTAAAGTTAGGAGGACTAATATCTTTTCATCAAAAAATCACCTGGGAGGCACTGGCCGGGTTGGCAAGAGCATCGCCCCAATATGTCAAGGTTGCGGGATTGGTCCTCTGTCAGGACACATACAGAATCAATTAATGAATGCAAAAATAAGTCGAACAATAAATCAATGTTTCTCTCTCTCAAATCAATATAAATAAATAAATAACTAAATAAAAAAAATTTAACTTGGAAGAGGAAAGACAAAAAAAAAAAAAAGCTCATGCCTCGCAGAAAAATGAACACTCTCACAAGCACCTCCAGAGTCTCTGCTGGAATCACAGGAACCTTCCCGCACCACCTTCTCAGACTGGCAGAGAGGAGATAATGGAGTTATTTTCAAAGCAACGAAACTCCCTTTGTTCTTCCCCTGAAGACAGAAGCTATGCACGTGTCTCTGAAGAAACACCTTCATGCTCCCCGAGATATCCTAACGGGTCCCCAGCCCAGCGCTCCCGCCCTCTGCACCTCCAGCGGAGAGAGGAATGTGTGAGCGAGGCCACTGGGACTGGGCTCCCCGAGCAGACACGGCCGACTTGAGCAGAGAAGTGGTTTGGGCTCAGGAGAACCACAAGGGAAATGAAAATCTTCCAGGAGAACGCAGAGAAAAGCAAAAAAGAAACTAGAAATAAAAAACAGAAGCAGCAAGTTCATCCAATTTTGGAACATTTTTCCCACCCCAATTTAGTTATGACACGATGGTATATTAAATCACGCATGAAACAGACCGAGTAAGTCACTGTTCTATTTGCTCGTGAAAACGCTACACCTCTCCTGAGTATCCTAAGCCCCTGCACACAGCCGTGTGACAGCCCTGCAGAGACACGCACTCAGAGCGACCAGCTCACAAACCAGCTAAGTCCATCCACCATGATCCAAAAGCAAGCAGAACATGACACACTGCTGATGAAAACTAGTTCAAAATGGATCAAAGACTAAGTGCAAGAGCTTAAACCATAAAATAAGCCACACCTAAATTTCACCACAATTAAAAACAACATTTCTAGGACACTATCAAGAAAAAAAAAATCCAAAGAATGGGTGAACAGTATCTGCAAACTCTATATCCAAGGGACCAGAATCTAGATTATCTAACAACCGAGAAAAAGGGCCCAATAAAAAATGGGCAATGCCCTGGCTGGGTGGCTCAGTGGTTGGAGCACTGTCCTGGACTCCAGGTTGCAGGTTTGATCCTCCATCGGGGTGTGTACAGGAAGCAACCAATAAATGGTTCTCTCTGTCTCTCAAATCAAGAAAGACATATATCATTGAGCCCTAACTAATTAAAAAAATGTGCAGGATCTAAGTAGACATTTCTCTGAAGAAGATACAAATGACCAATGAGCACACACATAGATGTCCAACTAATGACTAATGACTAGGAGATGCACATCAAAACTATAATGAGCCCTGGCCAAGTCACTCAGGTTGTTGGAGCAGCATCTGTCACACCAAAAGGTTGTGGGTTCGATTCCCATGAGTGAGGCATTGGCCAACGTTTCTTTCTTTCCCTCCTCTCTCTAAAATCAACAAAAACATTTATCCCTCCCCCCATGAGGATTAAAATTAATATTAATAAAAACCCCACAATGATAACATTTAATATGCACTAGGATGGCTATCATAAGAAGGATAAATGCTGGTGAGGATTAGGGAACTGGAACCCTCACCCATTGCTGTTGGGAATGTAGAAGGTACAGCCTGTCTGTGGAACAGTTTGAACTACATTTAGCTCAGAAAGTTAAAAAGCAGTACTGGGTAACCTAGCAATTCCACTCCTAAAACGTTACCCAGAGTAACTGAAAGCAGGGGCTCAGGTGGATCCTCGTACACCAGTGTTCACTGTGGCATTCCTCACAACAGCCAAGGGGTTACACCCACGTGCTCACCAGCAGAGGAATGGGAACATGCACCCAATGGAGTATTAGCCAGTCGTAAAGGCATGGAATCCTGACATATGCTACAACATGAATGAATCTTGAAAATTCAAGTGAAATAAGCCAGACACAAAAGGATTCCAATTTTCTGTGCCTGGAGCTGTTTCCTTAGGATATCCATGAGACCTGCTCTCTGGCCTGTGATCTTTATCCAAATGTCAAGTGTCAAGAGCCACCGGAAGGTAGAACATTACACCAGACAAAAACATCCAGCTGGAGGCGAAGGAAACAGGGTCTGGTATTTCGGAGACATCGTAGCCATTAACCAGGAGGAGAAACACCCGACTGCCTGGGCCACCCAACCCAGACAGCAGTCCTACACCTTCTACTGCCATTGTCTCCGTCAGACCTGCCACCATCTAACACAGACACAGTCTGTGGGTGACGAGGGCAGGTGGGTGTTTGTGCCTGTTTGGTGAGCTGCTTTACCCCCAGCACCGAGAACAGTGTTCGGGATACAGAAAACACTCATTTGTTGGGAGTAAAAAATGAGCACACGAACAACAAAATTCCTGAAAGGGACAATGTGTCTGGTGTGTGTTAGCAAAAACAAACCAACCAGCCAACCTCCCACCTCATCCAGCCCCCCTTCTCCCCTCCCCACTTCCTGCCAGGCCTCTGGCCACAAGGGCCTTCTTCCAACTCCACTTCCAACACTGTCCTCGCCCAGATCTGCCGTCACACATTCCAACCCCCGTTCAGCACTCCTCTGCAGTCTTCGCCTGGAAACCTCCGGCCACTGTTTAACTAAGACAGCGTTTCCCTGCCAGCCTCGTCGGCCCCCAACTCCCCCGGCCGGCGACCCCGTGCTTTCTGAGCAGCTGGTGCCGCTCCCTCTGAGCTCGCTGCACTGCAGAGAAATACCGCTGTGCATGGCAGTGCAGCGGCCGCCTCCTGGCTAGAATAGGTGCCACGAAAGCAGGGACTGGTGTGACTTACGCACTGGTGTGCCCTTAACACCCAGGCAGCATCGCAGGCACCCCAGACTCTGCTGGACCGGGTGACTGAGCTCCGCACGGGAGCCCCACAGCCCCGGGTTTGCTCCGGGAACCCTCTGCCTTGACGCAGGGTGGTCAGTTAGTGAACAGAAGTGGGTGAAGCCGATGAACGTAAGCTATGCCAAGGGCAGAAATAGGTAAGCTCATCTTCCGGTTCATCTCCTATGACACTACTCTAAGGAAGTTAAATGCGACATTAAATATTTAAAAAACATCTAAGAATGTTTCACAGGACCTGATCATGAGTGCATTCCCTCTGAAGCTTTTCACTGGGGGAGGCGGTGAATACCAGTGCCCACTCACTGATAATGCTTGGCGTTTGCTTGTTATCTGAGAAGTGGTTATTAAAAAGGAATTACACGCAGGCACCATGCTGGGCAGACAAGTTAAATCACTGTGGGGAAAGGAAGGAAACGTTTCTTCAAGATTCCCTCTGAACTCCTGTGTCTGTTTTTCTTAAATCAGAAAAAGGCAAACTCAGAACTGCTCTTCCAGCAAGCCCTGCTTTCAGAGCAGCCCAGCTGGCCCATTCGAGGGAGCAGCCTGAGAAAAGGGAGGTGGAATCACAGGAGCTGGTTCTCCTCCTGGTCAGCGGCTACAATGTCCCAGAAACCGCGACTTCCTGGCTTTCCCCGTGAAGCTGCTTGGCCATTCAGTGGCTTTTCCTTACCTCCTTCTCCGAGGAATCTGGCTACAATGCCCAAACCCAATGCGCAGTTTTTTCCCTTGTGAATTCTCAACAACCACAAATGCCATCTTGGCCCAAATAGCATACCAAAGCGTCAAGGTCACTACCAGATACTATGTGGGTTGGCTTGTTATGGCTTTAGTAGCCCGAGATAATGAAGCAATTCCTGGGACAGACTGTCGATAAGCAGACCAATGTGGAAAAGAGAAGGCAGTGGACGAGGGAGGCAGACCGGGGAGCTGACCGACCCGGTGGGGGGAGCGGGCACCATGTGGGAGAGACACAGGGTCTGTGGCTGCTCTTCCTGCCGTGGACTAACCATGGGCACCCGACACTAACTCCCTGGATGACACTGGTCACCATGATCCCTACACACAACCCGAGGGAAGTCACTGGCCTCTCTCCTGTGCCACCGGGGAGGCTGGGCGGAACCCCCGCGTCCACAGCTACCATACACGCAGGGCAATGGCAGAAGACAGACTCTGAACGGAGCTGCCGAACTGGAGGGGGAGCCAGTGCTGTGGATTCTAAACAGAGATCCAGACGCGAGAGATGCCTCAGCCCTCAGACACAGCAGAGGAGAGAAGCTGAGTCTCCAAGCAGAGCTGCTGCCTTTTAAGACTGTTTCGTGTTTGTTCTTTTGATACAGAAGGCAAGAGAAACTTGAAAGAACAGCAATGCCTGAGAGAGGGGACGCGGGAGGAGACTGTTCATCTCAAGACCACCACTGAGTTTGCAGAATCCAGTCTCCATGAGAACGGAAGCATCAACCCTGGAACCCCGAGAATATAAAAATACCCATGTAAAAAAATCAAGTCCCACCCCGACTTCACAGCCCTCCTGCGCAGCACACAGACGGACACGTGGCACGGGCTCTAGAGGCTCAGGAAGTACCTGTCACTGGCAAGGTGAAGACGACAATCTCCTGAAAACCCAATCGTGTATCCAAGATTAGATGTCCACCCCTTTTAGGAGCTGAGGCTCTCCAGGAAAAAGAGCCTCCCTGTGCTGGCGGCAATGCTGCCCCCTGCAGGCAGCCCCTCGCTATTACAAGTAACTCACTGGCTGACCTACACAGCTACAAAGGCGTAACGTACCCCAGCGCCGGAGATGAAGGGTTGTTCTTCAGTTCCTGCACATTTACCACTTGAGGGACAGTCTTCAGAGTTGATTCGGTCAGAGTGCTTACAGCTATTGGAACAGAGAGCAGAGAGGCATGTTAATCGCAACAAGGGATCAAAAAGCCTAGCCCTGCGTAAACCACCAGGACAGAAACTCAAGCAGACTGCAACCCTATTAGCGAAAGCACAGCTACACTCGGCAGCCCTGCAGCGAGCACCTGGCCTCCATTCACACGGATTATGAGATGAAGATGCTTGCGACGTAATCACTGCCCTCGTTCAGGGAAAGGTTCCCTGGGCACAGAGAGCAGAGCTGAGATTGCCTGCCGTGTTGCTGGCTCACCTTGGCAAAGGGCAGAAAGAGCTAGAGCATTAGCATAGTTCAGACTAAGGATTTTCCCACCCCCACGCTCTCATTCAGCCATCCTTTCACATGGCTTTTTATTGCCAGACGGTTAGGTGCTGGGTTTGGGGTTACCAAAAAATGTCTAACATTCATTTCTTCCCAAAGGAGCTCGCTCACGGCTTGGTGAGACAGACACGGTGAGTAAAATGTGGGAAATGGAGCCTAGACAAGAAGGGGGGAGGCCGAAAGGCCTGAGTTAAGGAATGGCAACTGGGATTAATGTGACACCTACTTACCCATGTCAGGCTTGTCAGCTTTCACATCTCTGTCTCTCAGAGCTGAAACTACATGCCAGAACTTAGTGATATCGTAACACTGTTAAGAAGGCCGGAGAAAGCTCTCGGATCTCTTCCACCTACATATTTGGTGAAACTGAGCGCGGCAGCCTGGAGGGACGTGGGTCTGCGGAGCTCGCTCTGCCCTGCTTCAGAGAAGCAGCGGGGATGTCCTGCCTACGACTGCACATTCCTCAGCTGGCACACTCAAAGGTGCCTACACCTTAGAAATTTCTGCTTCCAAATGATAATAGAATCACACCGCTCCTGCTGACAGCGGGATAATGCGACATCCCGGCAGATTTCAGTTTATAAATAATCACTCTATCCGCGTGACTTGGGGCCTGTTCGGCACAAGGCCAGGATTCCGCTGGGTCCAAGTGAAATTTAAAGGAAACATCAAAGGGTTCCATTCTTTCGGAAGGCTCGAAGAAACCTTGAAGTTATCTTATTTATGCTCTTTCACATCTAGTTTCGATGCCTTGATAAAGGTTTTAATATTTGAACTTTTCTGAGAAAATTTTATCACTGTATAATAGTAATTCTCTTCTGAAAAGCAAACCATGTCTTTTTAGTCTTTTTTTAAAAAAAAACCTGTCTAGCCAAAACCGGTTTGGCTCAGTGAATAAGAGCATCTGCCTGTGGACTGAAAGGTCCCAGGTTCTATTCCGGTCAAGGGCATGTACCTGGGTTGTGGGCACATCCACGGTGGGGGGTGTGCAAGAGGCAGCTGATCGATGACCCTTTCTCATCAATGTTTCTAACTCTCTGTTCCTCTCTGTAAAAAATCAATAAAATATATTTTAAAAATAAAAAATAAAAAAACCTGTCTAAATTGATATGTGTTTCAAGCAGTGATAAAACAAAAAAATAATTTCATTCAGCTAAAACAAAAATACCGTATTTTCCGGTGTATAAGACGACCCCCTAATTTTACAGTTAAAACATAGGTTTAGGCCTATATTTGCTGTATAAGACTACCCCCCACTTCCGAGGCAACACCAGTTCTTTTTTTAATAGACCGCCTCTCTGACTCTGGCCAATCTGAGCAGGCTTTTTTTTTGTTTCAAAAGTCGTCTTATATGCCAGAAAATACGGTATTTATTTCTCAATTTTGGCAGGACTGGAATTTTGGGGCTCGATAATCCTTTGCTGTGGGGGTGTCCTGTAGGACATGTTATCCAGGAGTGTCAAAGGGGTCTGGTCATGAGGAGTGTGCGGTGCATTAGTTATTCTCCCCGGAGGAAATGCGGGAGGTGACCGTGTCTTCTGAAGGAAGCTTACATAATGCTCTTTTCCCCTTCCTCCAGGCCATTGGCATTATAACAGAGAGCATTTGTAACTCGGTGGCTCCAAAGGAAGGAAGAGGTGCTCAAAGGAAGAGTGACGTTATATGTTTAATGTATGAGCTGTGAAGGTCAAGATGAAAGTGACCACACGTATCGTACCTGCTCATCCTCTCCCTTTCTGACTGGACGGGCTCCCACACTCGCACGCACACATCATGCACCTGGACAACCTTCACGTTAGTGTGACTGGCTCTGTCCCGAGGCTCAGCAGTAACATGGGAAGGTCCCTTTGGACACTAACCTATGGGAGGGGTCTTGCCGGACAGAACTACAGTCTGCCTCGTGGTCCGGTACTGCACTGGTGTGAACAAAGTAAGGAGGTGAAGACAGAAAGAGTAGAGTAGGGAATTTTAAAATTAAACGGCTTGTTACTTTAAGCCACAAAGCTCAGCAGCAGGACCTCACTCACTCTAACTAGCCTTGACGTTGACACGGCTGTGAATGTATTACTTTCCTCTGTTGTGACGTCCATGCCCTTTTTTTTTTTTTTTTTGGAAACAGCTACTGTGTAAGGTAAAATGTAAACTGCTGTCAATTATAGTAATGATGCTTTTAATAAAAGTGACCCATGATATGCAAAAAAAAAAAAAAAAAAGGTAATAAATTTTTAAAAAATGTTTTTTTGCAGTCCTCCTGGGCTCTACCACCAACATTGTCAACTGCTGGGGAGCAAGGGGTGTGTGTGTGTCTGGGGGCAGGGGGCACAAAACCACTGGCTTGTACAGATGGAGAACAGGTGAAGTCCTGAGTCCAGCTACCCAGAAGTCCCGGTGCAGGAAACATGGACAGCTACGGACACTGACCAAAGGCCGGCTCACTGGAGTCCCCGCCTCTAACTGCCACAGCTGCCACCCCAAGCAGCAGCTGTACTGCAAGAGGCAGGCCTCGGGTTGGGAACTGGCTCTGCTTCTCATCAGACGGGTCACCTTCCCTCTCTGAATGTCACATCACTCAAAAGCCAAACAGGCACACTAATACCCACCTCCCAGGGCAGCGAGAGCCCTAAGATACCACGAGACACTCTGAGTGCTCCCAGGTGATCTAACTGCAAAGATGGTGGGCTTAAAGCAGACGTCTTTGCAAGGCAGGGATTAGCACTTCACCAAAACACCAGATTTCCTGCTTACCTGCACGTGGCAGACCTAGCACCTCCCCTACAAGGAAGTCTGCTTCCTGGGAACTCCTTCCAGCAGGAGAGGCTGCACAGAGGGCTTCACTCTGAACCGTAGCGGAGCCAGGTGCTAGCTGGCACCTGCCACCCAAGCCCGAGACAGACAGCTCGCCCCAGCCCCTGCCAGGGGTGGGCCCCTCTCACCTGGCGCCTGGCTGGCCATCTGGCGTCTCAGTGCCGCGGCGGCGGCCGCCTGCGGAGCCGGGATGGTGTGGGAGGGGCCCGGTGCACCGTGCTTCACGGTTTTGGTGGCGAGCATCGTGCTGTCGGCCCCTTGAGGAATGACTTTGCTGGCAGACGGAGATGCTGAGGGGAGAAAAGGAGGTCCGAGAAGAGGAGAACACGAAAGTTAAAATGGTCAGGTCTCCATGTTAGATTGAGGGAAAACGCTAAGATTAAAAACACAGGAAAGTACCAGTAAATGGACAGCTGGCATCCACTCTCCCAAAGATGCCAATGCAATTTGCCTGCCAGCCTCTCCTAACTAAGACACTTCACGTCAGCGGTTTTCAGCCTGTGTCATCTCATGGCACATAAACCAATCACCAAAATTCTGTGGCACACCAAAATGCATGTTTTTGCCAAGCTGACAAAAAGAGCTGATTTTGGTTCATTCACACAGACAGCTATTGCTGTGTTGTGTGTTGTCACAGCCCAGGCATGACACGTTTTACAAATTCCTGAGGCACACAGGTCGAAAATCGCTGCTCTGCATGACCATTTCCCGGACACCGACGGCGACGGAACCTCTGCCTACACAGGTCAATCTGACCGATTTCCACACTCCTCTCCGTCCTGGGCCACTCCACACCATCCCTGCTCATTGGCACTGTCAGAGGTCACTTCAGTGCCCAGCCCGACACTGACGCCGGTCACCGCAGTGAGCCCACACTGACCGGGAGCACAGACGTGCCGCTGAGCAGGCAGAACGTGGCAGGAGCTGGGACGTGCAGGGCACGCGGTGGCCGCTGCTCCACACGGAGGCAAACAGCTCGTGCCATTCCTCCCGAAGACCTTCTAAATAAGTGCACACCGGCCGCAACAGTAAAGCTGTGACAGTGTCAGCCTCGGTCTCCCTTCCTCACAATGTCCCACCACCTGCTTCTAAGGGCTCACACCTCCTCTGGCTGTCTTCACGTTTCTGCACTGTCAGCAGGAATGGCCAGAACCAGGGACCCAGTGGGGTGACAGTGTAAACCCAGCTCCAGCTCCTTCCTAAGTTCAAGCCTACCGGGGAGGGGGAGGGGGAGAGTTTCCTGTCCCCTTGTTTCCTTACCGGAAGCTCCCAGCGTGCCGGGTGGACCATGACCCAGGTGAGATTTGGCAAAAGGCGCCGCCGGGGGCAGGAGGCCGGGCTGCACGGAGGGAGTGCGCACCACGGGTGCGTGGCGGGGCACCTGGGCCGCGGCGTCGTCCTCTTTGCAGGGCGCCCGCGGGTCCTCGTTCTCCAGGGACTGAGAGATGGAGGACGTGGAGCTGGCTTCATCCAGGTCTTCGTAGTACCTCTGGGACAGGAAGGCCGACCGAGACAGGCTGGCTGCAAAGCCCCAACAAAACGAACGTTAGTAAGGAAGCAGCCTGAGGGCTGTGATTTTCACTGTGGACAGACCAACAGCCAATCTGCAAAGTGATTTAATTTTTACTCATTTTAAGTGGAAGCAGCTATTGTCGAATGTGAATCAAGATGGTTTTGGGTCTCTGCTCAAACGGGGCTTTGAAATACCGAGCCACGTAGGACGAGAAACACAAAAATGTCAAGTGAGAGGCAGACGGAATGCTGGTGTGAAGGGGGAGCTGGTGCCCTCAGCGATCTCACAGGCAGAGGAATAACATGTCAGAAAAGTAACAGAGAAGCTTCCGCACCACGGGGAAGTCGCACCACTGCGGTTCCTCTTCTAACAATAATTTCTAAGAACAGGCCCGATGCAAACTGGGAAAACAGAAGGCTTCAGCCCTGACGGCCCCAGACATTTCCAGCCAAATCTAATGATTCTTTGGAATCAATCAGGTCTAAAAATACTGTCCCCATTAAAAACCAACCCCCCATTCTGCCCTTCCCCGCAGCCTCTGACGACACCGTTCTATTATGTCACAGAATCTGACTGCTCTGCTTACACGCACAGAAGTAGACTCGGACAATATTTGCCTTTTTGTGACTGGCTTTTCCTTAGCAGAATATCCTGAAGTTTCATCCAGAGTGCAGCATGTCAGAATTTCCTTCCTTTTCAAGATGCACGTACCCCTATTTTGCGTATCTATTCAATCCATTGGATGCTTGACTTGCTTTCGTGAATAATGCTGCTATGGGCATGAATGTACAGAATACGGTTTGTGTTCCTACTTCCATTCCTACTGACAGTGCACAGGGGCAATCTCCCACAGCCTCACCAACACTTGTCATTTTCTGTTTTACAGTAAAGGTTTGTAAGTTTCTAATTAAAAAATATAAAAGCACAAAATTATAAATGTCCAAGTCTCAGTCTCATTTTCAAAAAATCGAATTTATATATACAAAGAAATAATTTTAAGAGTAAACCAAAATGATAGTTGATGACGTATTTGGGTTGAGGGATAAGAGTAACTTTTATTCTTCGTTCTATCTTTCCAATTATCTACTAAGAGAAGGTAGTTCAGATAATGGAAATGATTGTTAAAAAGATTTCACCTTACCTAATTCAGCTTTATGATTACAGAAAAATTAATAAATGGCGGTATAGTAAGATTAAATTTCTGTCCTATTTTAATTACCCAAAACAAAATAAAATAATTTGCTGTTGGTATAAAAAAACCAGTTTCAACTCAAAACAGAATTTCAAAAAAGAAAAGCAGATACAAGCACAAAAGTAAAGCACGACTATGCTTGAACCTGGGTATAACACTGTTTTCTAGGTAATTTGATAGCAAAAACAGTTTTATTCACTGGTTATATGGCTTCTTTTTAGCAAATGTTTTTAGCCATAATTCCCTAATCAGTGGGGTTTTCTCTATCTTCTAAAAAAAATAAATAAATAAAATTTAAAAAAAAAAGGCTTTTTTCAAATCCCATCTTCCTAAAACCCACCCAAACCAGGGAAGTCAAATCTCTAAAGCAGAGGCTCCGAGCCGTGCAGCCAGCGCAGCGCCCCAAACCCGTGGGAAGCACTGGCGCTCGGTCCGAGGGCTGCGGACAATGGGGAGGGAGAGCCACAACCACCGCGCGGGCGGCGTGGCCGAGCAGCTCGGCTCCAGCATTCAGACGCACACAGATTCTGGGGCCATTTCCTCCAGCTTCTACTCAGAACCAAAGGAAGACACAAACACAGTCAGACCCCCCCCCCCCCCCCCATTGTGCTGCTTGGTTTGCGCTAAAAGTCCAGGCCCCGCGCCTGTACCTGGAGCAGTGGATCTCACTGGCGGGGTCTTCCTCTTGGCCAGGAAGTTTCTCAGTTGCGCCTGCTTCACAGGGGACAGTTTGGCTGCAAGGAATTCATGAGCCCGTAAATGCTTAAGACCCGGTCAGTAGAAGACAGAAAACCAATGGTTAAAGGCCTGGAAGAACGTATATACTTACCTGGCACTTTCGGCAAGGGTTTGGTGTGAGACTCTATGGTGGTTTTCAACAAAGCATTGCGCAGGCTTTCCAGGTCACTGTCAAAACTGGAAAGGGATAGCGTCATATAGAAACCAACCTTGACCAGAGAAATCTAAGGGGTGGGCGTGCACTGTCCTAAATGTAAACATAATGACAGCGTCCCCATTCAGAACCAGGCCATCTGACCAATCCATGTGATCAATCCCAAAGGAAAGAGATGGCAACCTTAACATCATACCCCCATACTGCCCCCTCCCGCCCCCCGGCACACGCACTGAGGGGGCTCCAGCAGAAGGGGCAATGAACACTACACATCTGGCTTAAAGGGGAAACACAGAACCACCCGGGAAACGTCAGGGGTAGACTGCCTAACTGCTAGGTCTGAAAGTTCCCCACTTAAGCAAAATGCCAAAGCTAAACTTTGAAACCAGTAAGTCAACTAATCCTATCAGTTAGTTTTCAATAAAACAATACTGTTACCAGCGTCTACTATTATCCAGTGAGCATCCGTTTCATCACGTGCACTACTGAATGCTTCCTAGACTTAATTTAACTCCCCAACAACCCCGAGAGGCATATATTGTTATCCCCATTTTTTAAGCAGAGGAACAGAGGATCAGAGGGTGAGGAACCTGACCAGGTCACACAGGTGACAGACAGCAGTCACTTTCAGACCCACATCTGAACCACCGTACTCCCCACTAGGTATCCGTTCACTCAGCCCCATCTATGAGTGCACGCAGCTCAAAGCCCCTCTCCGCTCACCTGTGAGAGCTGCTCTGCGAGGGCGCCGAGGGCAGGCGCCACTGGGACGCGTGGTTGTAAAGCCGCAGCTGCTGCAGACTGTCCACCAGGCCGTGCAGCCTCTTCCTCTGCTGGTTGATGATCTCCCGGTTGTTGGCCAGGGTGTTAAACAGCGTCTCTCGCTCGGGCACAAGCAGGCGCCTGATGACAGCAATGAGAAAAGAATTCACTGTGCCGGCACCGGTTTGGCTCAGTGGATAGAGCGTCGGCTTGCGGACTGAAAGGTCCCGGGTTCGATTCCGGTCAAGGGCATGTACCTTGGTTGCAGGCACATCCCCAGTAGGGGGTGTGCAAGAGGCAGCTGGTCGATGACTCTCTCTCATCGATGTTTCTCTCTATCCCTCTCTCTTCCTCTCTGTGAAAAATCAATAAAATATATTAAAAAAAAAAAAAAAAAAAAAAAGAATTCACCGTGAGCGGTCCAACTGAAGAAACCTCCCGCAGAAGAAAAGCCTACGACTATAGCAGTGAAAAGACTAAAACAGAGTCACTAGCAGACAAAAGGCATCAGGAAATATAGAGCATACAGAAGGGACGAAAGCCTAATGAGGACACAACATAGTGAGGAAGTCACAGCACGGTTTGATTCCTGGTCCAGGCACCTGCCCAAGTTGCAGACTCAATCCCCAGCGAGGGGCATGCAGGAGGCAGCCGATCAATGATTCTCTCTCATCATTGATGATTCTCTCTCCCTCTCTCCCTTCCTGCAGCAAACTGGCACAATCCCAGAGGCCTTGGGTAGAACAGGGTGGGAGACGTGTCAACAACAGGGGACAGAGTCATCAGCAACATACTTAAGACATGTGCTATTTCCTGTGTGTAAGTCACATTCAACAAAAAGAAAAGGCCCAGGAAAGCCGATGGGAGTCGGTCATCTCTTCACATGTTGCCAAGAACCAGTGAGGGGGAGAGCACCCCGGAGCAGCAGGGAGCACCCGCCCCAGGAACTGCAACAAGGAAGGGCCAGCTCCCTTTCCTTTGGGTGACAGGTTAGTTCAAAATTAAAAAAATATATATATATTTTTTATTTTAAAATACATTTTTTTATTTCAAAGAGGGAGGGAGAAGGAGAGGGCGCAGGCCAGGGCAAGGGACCCCATCGGTGCACAAATCCATGCACCAGGCTCTAGTAGTTATATAATCACCATCTTGTACACTCCCTGTAACGTATCTTTAATGTGATATTTGGAGAACATGCTAGCCCATGGCTATGTCTGTGTTAAGAGAGGGAGACCAGACTTTGAGCCCCTCCTCTAAGCCGTGGGTAAGCAGGGTTAATCCAATCTGTCTGCATCACGAGTTAGCTGAGCCGCGATCTAAATTCTCTGATGCACACTGTTGTGAGCACTGCTGTTGTGTCTGCAGAACAAATATCTGGAAGCAGAATGCCGGGGTGGATGAGAATGAACATTTCAGGGTTTTGTCCTCGTTCCTAAATCTTTTGAAAAGGCAGCAGCACCATCTCCCGCCACCAGTGGGGGATGGGACCGCACTCACTTTTGTTTTCTCTTTTGCTCCAGATGCTGATCCCACTCCAAGTCTAGGACATCATTCACATCTTGGACAGCAAACTTCACATATTGATGAAGGCGCCGAATTTCCTACAAGAAAAGATGACGACTCCATTTTCCAGTTGCTTGGAAAAAGGTGTATTAAAACAACCAAAATAATTTTCAACTATTTTTATATTGAGAACCATAATGAACAAAGAAAACATACTAGGTTTTAGCATAACCATCCGAACATTATAACCCAAATGAAATCCAGAACCTGAGCCTTTCTGAGGTGTGACCGGGAGGTGGTGTAAAGAAACAGAAAGAGAGTGGGTGTGGTTCCAGGCCTCCAGGGAACAGAAGTTCCTGCGCAGATCTCGTTTTTCAGCTCCTCTGAAGGATCTCAGCCTGGCCTAGGAATTTTCCGCTGCGCTCTGGTACTCTGACAGGGTATCCATTTCGTTTTTGCTCTCCCACCCATGAAATTAACTGCATTAGACCCAAAATTACCCTACAAAACAGCGTTGAAAATAATTCTGAACCAATTTATTCAGAACACAGAAGTCATCTCACCAATTGAAAAAATTTCATTTCTTCTCCAAAACAAAAAAATAGCACCAACACTAGAAAGTGTATTAAAATTCCTATCTATTAACTGATTTTAGGCCTGCAATAATTTTCTTTACATTTTGATCCAGTGTTAACCTTCATGCTATAGAACTTGACTTTCAGAAAGTGAACAATAAGACGAAGCAGTCCATTAAATGTGTAAGCAAATGAAGACAATGCACATGCTCAGGGAAAGCTCTCTGCACCTACACAAAGGTCCTACTGGGTGTAAACGCAGCTGAAAGTTACGCTTGGGTAAGGATGCATGTCCCAACTGAAAAAGAGGAAATGCCATTTAAAGAGAGTCCAGCTGGTTCAGGAAGTAGCAGTAACCTCAGCATCAAATATAAATCTCAGCCAACAGCGGGCCACACAAGGCCCTCTCTCTGAACACTCAGGCGCCACGAGACCGGCGGGACTGGCTCCCTAGCGCTGACTGCCTCTCCCAGGACACCCACGCTTCTTCTGAGGCCCGTCACAGACACTGCTCTGCGGCTCAGCTGCTCCCGCTGCAATCCCACAGGAACACATTCCACACTGCATTCGAGCCAGCTGTGGGGCTGCACGCTGTAGTGCCATGGTCAAGAGCACAGGCTCTGAGCCAGACAGTCCAGGCTCAAGGGTCCAGCGCCTATTAGTGGCGAGACCGGGGTACTTCCAGGACATTTCTTTTGTAAGGGCATGAACCCATCCGTGCTAGCTACTCGGACCTATTTAGCACTGTGAAAAGCGAAGCAGACTTCTTTCTGAATGGGCAAGTGCTGCCCAGTAGCCGTATGCTTTTCTTAGTTTGGACACAGAGCAGGAGGTGAGAAGGCAGCAGGAAGCAAGTGTAAGTGGATGAAGGGGGCAGGCCATGGCTGGCACTCCCTTGCTGGGAGGACTAGCGTCCCCAGCGGAGGAGCAGCCGGGGCTCCCACCTCTCTGGGCGGAGGGACTGAGTCTTTCCTTTCCCTACTGTCAGACAGCGTATCAGGGGAGGCACGCGGGCGGCGGGTTTTCTGGCAGGAGGGGGTTCCTCACACTCCCAGAGCCTCACCGCTGGGTGAGCGTGACCAGCACTGCCCTCAGGGCCCCCGTTCTGCAGGGATCCTAGGCAAATGCAAGCAAGTGGAGATGACCCCCACCAAGCTTATGGTACAACATTGGGAATAAACTAAAAGTTGAAAACAAAAACCAGATTTCATGAAGACAGAGAATAAGAATAATGAATTGACAATGAGAAAAGTAGCGCTGCTAAATTCTGGCACACAGGAAAGCAGCTGGCAAGAGGGTCTTGATTCTGGTTCCACTCCTTCCACCACCCTGCCCTGCCAGGCTCCTTGGCCTTTGAGGCTCACCTTCCTCACCTGGACACCGGGGTCGGGAGCTCGAGTCTTAGAGCAGCTGGCTTTAAAGACGAGGAATAATGTGTAAAAACACCCGCAGAGTACCGGGTGCTCAATGAGCAGTTGCTACTGTAAGAGTTATTATCCATGACTTATTTCTAAATGTATCTTTTTTCAACAGCATACTTTCTACCAAGCAGAAGGTTTAATTAAGAATTCTAGTTTTGTTTAGTTAAAAAAGCATCACGTGGAAGAGTCCCATTTTCCTTATCAGTGAAGGAAGCTACGGGAACAGGTAATTGTTCGCAGGATGGGAGCCACTGCATCAGACAGCCACCCAAACCACGCCTGGAGGAGGAGGCCCCGCTGCTGGCGCTCTGCCCGCTCCTACCTGGAGCTGCGCCTCGCTCCTGGGGTCCAGGGGTCTGCGGTAGAGCAGGTGCAGGTATCCCGAGTCACGGTTCCTCTCGCTCTGCTCTCTGGCTTCCTCCACACCCGCAAAGCCCTCCAGCAGAGTGGTCTTCAGGGTACTTATGTCTCCGTGAAGAGACTATAAAGGAATAAGGATGTGCTGATACAAAAAGTGCTATTTCTAAGAAATTAACCTTTCTGTTCTAGGTCAAGGAAGGTGGTGCTTCTCAAATAGTTATCATGGTGAACATGTGAATACAGGTAATAGTCATGCAAAAAAAATTTTGCTTAGAGCAAAATTCCAATAGTCTTTCTTTCCCTTATAATTTTGTGTTGTTAATCCTCACCTGAGGTTATTTCTCCATTGATCTTTAGAGAGAGTGAAAGGGAGAGAGAAACATCGATATGAAAGAAACATATTGATTAGTTGCCTCCCGCATGTGCCCTGACGGGGCCGAGGGGTTGAGCCTGTAACAGAAGTATGTGACCTTGACCAGAATCAAATCCAAGACCCTTCAGTCCATGGGCTGTACTCCAACCACTGATCCAAATTGGCTAGGGCTATTTTTTCCCCTTTATTCTCTTTTTTAGTCTACCAATCAATGTTCATTTAAAAAATTATTTTTCTTCTCTTTAAAAAACCATTTCTGCTCGGCTGGCGTGGCTCAGTGGTTGAACATGGACCTGTGAACCAGGAGGTCACAGTTTGATCCCCAGAAGGGGGCAGCCAATCAATAATTCTTATCATTAATATTTCTCTCTTTCTCTCACTCTCCTTCTTCTCTGAAATCAATAAAAATCTACTTTTTTTTTTTTTTTTTTTTTAAAAAGAAACCATTTCTAAGGACTGAAAAGTCAGAGAATAAGTATTAACAGTAGCTGTAGTCTTACTGAAGACAGTCACTGCGAATACCTGGAGAACCTCCCCTTTCATACACTCCAAAAGTCACTGTTCAAATGCTACCTAAACTAGCAACAGGCGACTTTGATGGAGTGCCATGTACGTGTCAACAGGGTAGAAACTATTAGCATCCCACTTCCCACGAGAAAACTAAAACAGAGCAGCTAGATTAACTTGCCCAAAGTCATCTAGTTTATTAAGTGCTGAAGGCAGGACTTGAACTTGGGCATTCCTCCGTGAACCACTCATACAGTAAGGAACTGGCGGTCCTTGGAGAAAAGCACGCCCGCCCACGGAGTGCAGGAGCACGGTAACGGGCACTCGGCCTCGGAAGCATCGAGCACGAACCTCCGTGGTCTCCTTGATCTCCAGGAGGAAGCCGTGCAGGTCGTCCGACTCTGTCCGCAGCGTCTTCATCTCCTCGGGGGTGCCCACCTGGAAGCAGGCTTTCGCGGTTCGGGCTTTCAGCTCCTCCAGCTCCTTCTGGAAGTGCGCGATCTGCAGAAGCCACACACAGGAGAGTTCTTAGGGCGGATGGCACGGCAGTGATGTCACTGCTCCTGGGCTCACTGGCAGCACTGCAAGGCTCAAAGCCAGAAAGGAACAGCCACGTGGGCGTCTGCACTGCTTTGGGAAAACCATGCAGGAGCAGCTTACCTCCTCGCCAATTCCAACTATGACAGGGTCTGACTCTTTCCACTGATGCCCCTGCTTTTCTGCAGGAGTCGGAAGTGATTTCGCCTGAAACGGAAGGCAAAATATTTAAAATGTACCCAATACTCCGAGCGCGGCTTCTTGAAGCAGTGGGTTCCATGCCTATCCCAGCTGGTGCCATTCTTATAACAGCCATCGTTCTGCGATTCTGGAGCTGAGATACATTTGTCATGTGAGCACAGAGCACGCATTACAAATGTTCAAAACTCATCTATTTCCCCCCACGTTGCAAAAGTGTAAATTCTAAAACACAAAAACCCATTCTACAAACATGTCTGCAGGAAGTGAACACGCACAGGATTGCGGGGAGGTCCAGTACCTGGGGAGAGGCCGTCTTGGCCACGGGAGCGGCTATCCTGGGCGATTTCTGCCCCAGGGAGGACACTGGGCCGGGGCCGCCATGCGCAGACCGCCCTGCAGAACAAGACGTCAGTTAGAACAGCCGCATTTACTCCCGCTGCTCCTCCCACCAGTGCCCTTTCCTCAAACAGCCACCAGTTTCTCACCGTCCCTGGCCCCTTTCATCATCTTGGTTAGCAAGAGTGATGTCCACAGTTGTGTTAGCCCCCGTTCCAAGATAACCAAAAAGCACACCTTACATTTTTAGTTGGGAAATTCTTTTGTAAAGCAGATAAACTCCTGGGCACAGGCAGGAGTGCTGTGGGCAGGCCCAGGCCAGTCACCTGGCCCCCTTCCTCCTCACTGAGGCTCCGGTGCACCTCAGGGAGCTGGGGACAGTTTAAACTGTCAGATGAGACCAATGACCCATCACCTGTAAGAACTCCCAGGGTCGCCGGACCCTCTTGGAGCCTCTCACACAGGCTTGCCCGCTGCGCGCTGGAATCAGCAGGGAACTTTTTCAATTCGCAGTCAGGTATATACCTGGGTTACGAGTTTGATGCAGTTGGGGAGTGTGCAGAAGGCAACCAATCGATGTTTCTCCCTCACACGGATTTTCTTTCTCTCTCTCCTTCATCCTCCCTCCCTCCCTCACAGCATGTCCTTAGGTGAGGATAAAAATAAAATACTAAAAATAAAAATACACACACCCCAAAACCCCAAGTGTCACTCCCGAGTCTGATTACACTACTAGGGGATGGATTCCCCATGAGTCTCGTGTGCAAGTGGGACTGAGCACCAATAAACCAGGACGCCCCAAACTTTAAGAATTAAATAATGGCACAGGGTGGGCAGATGTGGGTGGTGAGCGGCAGAAAGTGAGAAAGTAAACGTGCACCAAGATTTCGGTTTTCTCTCCCAAACCACAGAGATGTGGAAAGACTAAGGCAAGGCTTCTGAACGTTTGGGTCTTATCCGATGCCTTCAGAACCTCACGAAAAGTCCTGGCAGACTCCGCCATGCAGCCCTTCCTCCTGAGCAGCAGGTGGAGAGAGGTGATTTCAGGCATCTCACAGCTCAATGCCCACTTGACATTTTCCAAAATAAAATTATTCCCGTCACACGAACACCAATGGTCACCTAAATGTCTGGCTAGGTATTACCACTGGCATGCATGACAATAACCAGGAGACAGGTCTGGCGAACACCACCTTAACCAACGGACCAAAGACCATCACCACGTCAGGACAAGCCAACCAGGCCGTGTTACTGCTCAAAACACTTAACCTGAACCTCATCATGCAGGACCAGTAGGTCCAAAGTGAGGGACCGTCCACAAACCTACTGGCCTGACCTCTCTCAAAATGTCAGTGCTGTGCAGACAGAAAGGTGGCAAATGTAGGAGACTAAGCCTGAGACCAGTTGGAATATATTGTGCTCCGGGATTCGCTTCCCCATTATGGGGATAACTGTGGAAATGTGCATATGGGGATAGATTATTGTTAAATTCCCTGCAGTGACAATGGATTATGTGCCCTGTTTTTAGTAGATATAGTTAAGTACTTAGATGTGAAGTGTTTCCTGTTTTAATGAACTCTCAAAGGTTTTAGGAGAAAATATATTAAAACAAATGGTGCACAACGTTAGCAAGTGTTGCATTTTGGTGAAGGTTATAGTATTCGTTGTATAATTTTTGCAACATTTCTGCAGGTTTGGTAGGGGGAAAAAGATAATTTGCTCATGGAGTTTCATGATGCACTTCAATTCAACCTGGCTATAATTATTTCCATCGTGATCTTTATCTAATAAACCTGCCTACAGTAGGGCTGAGTGTGAAAATTCAAGACAGCCACTACAGGCAATAGTGTGACAGCCACCGCGGCTTAAAGACTTGTTCTGTTCTAGCCCTTCACAGGGGCAGGCTCCCAGGGAAGATCAAGGCTGGACAACAACTCGCATCACCCAGTGTCAAGTGCACAGGAGGAATGTCAGAGAAGGCGTGGGAGCCCTAGGCCACTGCGAACCCTCCCAACACAGAGAGCAGAGTGTGCCACAGCACGTCAGTGTGAAATACAGGAGACATGAAAAACAATCATGTCCAACTACCGTAGCCGGGCTTCTCAACGACTGAGATGCTAATCTGAGAGCTCAGGACAGAGCTCTGAAGCAGGTATTCCACCTCACCTGATGCTGAGGGGGCGGCGGAGGCCTTGGCTGACGCGGAGCCGGATGATGCTGAGAGGGGCGTGGGGTGGCTGAGAGGTCCGGAAGCTGGCTTGGCGGCGGCAGAGGGCAGCGTTGGGGGTGTGCTCGGTGAGCTGTTAGGAGCAGAGGCAGCCACGGCAGAGAACCTGGGAATGACAGCCCGAATGCATCAGAACAGCCTGCTGAATGAAGACTCTTCCACGCTGCTCATGAGCAGTCACCATAACCTACTATCCACACCTTTTAGCCTTCGAGAAGGGTAAATGTTTAGCCACTTCTTATAAAAGGTGAAAGGTGCAAGAAACATTGATCTGACCTTCTGCTTATTTAGGAACGAGTTAGTCGATAAAAATACCAAATAAATACTTAACAGGAAAACGAAGCTAAGTCTACCATGATATGAACTATTTTCTATTCTATCAACCCGAGTAGAGCAAAAAGGGTGGGACTCAGCTATGATTAGGGGTGCTCAGTGCCCTCTTTTCCCAACAACACTACTGAGATCTCGTGTGGGTGACCAGCCTGAGGAGTGGAGGAGGAAGAGGGAAGCAGGCCACCCCCTTTGGACATTCAGTCTCGGAAATGTCAGGGAAGTTCCACCCAGAGAGCAAACGTCTGCAGACAATCTAACACCCAGCATTAGATGACTGGGACAATAAATTAAAATGTCATCGGCAATGACAATGGTGGCAGCAGTGACGGCAGCGGTAACACCACCTCCACAGCCACCAGAGGAGCACGGGAGTGCCGGGAGTGTTTACACCAGATGGCTGTCTTGGGAAGGGCTACAAGGTCTAAGGAATCACTTCGTTCAAGAGGCTTACAGTCTAGTGGGGAGACCCAGATGAAGTAAGAAGAGTGAGCTGGCAGATCCGGATCTGGAAGGAACGGGGCTACCACGTTACGAAGTTTGGGCTGTACTCGGAGCAATGAGAAGCCACAGGGCTGCCAAGCAGGAGGCATTGTACCCGATGAGAACACAATGTCACTGATCACTGGTGGCCGCGTAGAAAACAGTGTAGAGAGTCAAGGGAGGGCAAGGGAGTCACTTCGCCTCCAGAATATATGGTTTGGCTACTTTTTAAAAATAAGGGGCATCTCCTACATTTGAAACCCCAAGAAGCAAAAAAGTATTTAAATATAAATCTCTAATAATAATAAAAAATTTAAAAGACCCTTCTGGCACAAATGAAATGCAAACCTTTTGTTATTTGGATTTTTGCCATTTGCTAGCATTACTTTGGAAAAAAATGAAAAACAAATACACAAACAAACAAGAAACCCCATGGGAAATCACTGTTTTCAGTAAATAACATGGGCACTGCCACCCACCCTCCGGAAAAACCAAACTCGGTGCCACTCACTTGTCGCCGAGGTTGAGCTTGACAGCAGAGGCTGAGGGTGGGAAGGAGGGCTTCAATCCAAGGCCGGGAGTGGACGCGCTTGGCATCGGGGTGCTTTCCAAGGCAGGCTTAAAGCCCGAGGACCCAAAGGAGAACGAGGCGGCTGCGGGTGCCATCGGGGAGGCTGCGGGGGTGGGCGCCAGGGGGGCTTGAGGAGCGAATGAAAAAGCACTGGAGCCCACTGCTGCTTTGGAGGCGTCAGAACCACTGGGGTACGGAGGGGGCTCCCCAGCAGCAGACCCAGATGATTTCAAGGACGAAGAACCAAAGGAGAAGCCGGCAGAGGCCCCCACGGCAGGGGGCAGGGAGAAGGCGGTGGTGGGGGCAGCCGGCAGGGAAGGCGGGACGGAGACAGGAGCTGTGGCTGAAGCCTCGGGTTTCTGCGGGACGGGCGAGGTTGGGGTGGTGGGAATACTTCCTGCAGTGAAGAGAGGGGGAGAGGAAGAGACGAGTTAGCAGGGTAACGGGAGAGGGCCACATGACAGAGGCCCGAGGAAAGGGTTTGTGGCAGAAGGAAGCCAGAAATAAAGGTCCTGGTGCACGAAGGAGAAAGAAACACAGGAGATGGAGGTGCTGGTTCACGTTCACAGCAAACGCTCCATGGATTACAGAACTTTGAAGGAAAAGGAATCAGGGAAAGACGTTAGACTAACAGCACTTCGTGGATGCCAGCTGAGCAATACAGGAAAAGTACACTTCTCAATGTGAAAAGCAAGTCATCCTGTGACATTTCATCCCAATCAGGAAAGCTTGTAATTCAGATCTCTACCTGTCCGTCACCGTCAGCCAGTTCAGGTGGATAAAAATACATGACATTCTCAACAGCTACCAGGCACTCAGTGTAGGAAAGTACAGTCATTACTTAAGCAATCCCTCTTGATGAAGGCTGCCCTTAGGACTCTGACCATACTACTGCCCGGTCCTACAACAGGCATTGCTGGTGACCTGCCTTCTGGGGCCCATCTGGCCGAGCTGCCTTCTCCTCTGAAGTGAAGTGCAGGTTGGAGAATAACGCTCGTGAGTGAGGGAAGGCAAGTGTGTGCATGTTTATTATACGAAAAATGAGTCCCTGGCGCAGAAAGAATGACTGCCGAGATAACCATATTCTCGTATATTTCCCTCCCTGGGAAGAGCCCTTTGTGCCAAAGGGAGACAGACCTGTCGACCTGGGCTGGCGCTCTCCCTCCAACGGGAGCGGCTCTGGGATCTTGATGAGGGACCTCGCCCCGGGATTCTGGTTGATCATGTAAAACGGACAGAGCACACCATCGGTTGAGAGTAAGAGAAGAACCGGAGCCGGAGGAAGAGTCTTCTCATCAGCTGTTAAAAAAGAGAACAAAAGTGAAAGCCTGCTTGAGCCAGAGGGGCCGACCGCCCACAGCTCCAGGCCGCTCCCTCAGTCCAAGTCTCAATAGCTGTCTCCCAACCCCCCTTCCCGAGCAGCTGCCTGGGGCGGATGGCCACCGTCTGCCAGGCCTGCCGGGAGGCTCCTCATCGATGGCCACGGTCCGCCAGGCCCACGTGGAGGCCCAGCTGCCCGGGAGCAGCCCGGAGTCTCCTGAAGCTCCTGATTTTCCCGAGGGCCTCAGTGTTGGGAGGTAGGTCGGGGCTCCCCTGACCAAGACAGGAGTCTCCAGGAAAGTGGCTGGTTGGGTAGAAGAGTGAGACTAGACTTTAAAAAACAGAAGAGGCACAAAGGTGAGTCAAACTACACTCACTCGCAGCTGAATCCCAAGCACGGATTTTGTCAAGTAAGACTTCAAGAGAACTGGAGTAAAAGAGCTAATCGCACCGATAACCTGACCCGGGAAAGGATGAGGAACATTGTGGTGCCCAACGGGGACCCTTCTCTAACTGAAGCCCCAAAGAACATGGCTTCCCTGCACTGCACGGCCCACGGGCCTGCGGCTCTGCCCAGCTCCAGCTGGGAGCAGCTCCACCCAGAGCACACTCAGGCCCAGTTCAGAGGCCCCGCGCCTGAGGTCTCCATTATCCAGTCTGTGCCTTCAAACCAAGTGCCACCACACAGACCCAGCCTAGGGCGCTGCTCCCTGGGCAGGTCCCTGGGAACTGGAATGGGCAGAGAAACAAACTGAAACCCTGGGTGTACTAGACTTCCACCACGTCCTCAAGTTTAAAGATACAGGCAGATGCGAGCGCGTCTGGCCCTGGTCTCTCCCATAGTGCCCATGACACTTAGTTCAGTGCTGTCACATGTGCCATCACATGCACTTCCAGGAGCAATGTGCTACCAGTTCGCGGTGCCCAGCAGAGCAGATTCCGCCTGAACATGGAGAATGGACTTAAACGTTAAGCAGCATCAGCAATGATGTGCTGAGCGACGTCAGGCTGCACTTACTGAGGGCAATTTCCACCTGGTTAGTGTAGTCTATGGCCACTCCCATGGGCAGGGAGTCGTCATTCTTGTCTGTCACAGGCAGTTCGGCTCGACTAGAGTCCTCTAGGAGCCACGATTCCCAATTAACCTGGAAAAGAGAAGGGGAAAGGCACGGCGGTCAGAGCTCTGGGCTGGCCCCCCGCACCGGGCAGGCAGGAGAGAGGACAACTCGCTCGGGTACTCAGTGTGGACCGAGACAGAAATCTGGGGAGGGTCTAAAAGTCACGACTACGCCATGAAGCAAGAGGTTCAATTCCCATCCGTGAAATTAACTGCTCTCGTTGGAAGCCCATTAAAAGGGACGTGCCCTCATCTAATCCTTACCCGCATAATCAATTCCCTCCCGCATCTTTCTCAGAAGTTCCCCCCGGAAGTGACAAACGAGAGGAATTTACCTGGTCGCTCTGTCGGGCAAGGATGCTGACTTCTGTGGAAGCCGCAGATGCCGCCAGCACTAAATCCCTTCAGAGAACAAAACCGGAAGATGGTGACATTACAACCCAGAGCGATTCTAGCCCACCTGAGCCCGCGGACACAGCCCTGAGCACTGCCTGGAGGTGTCAGGAGCACAGCACGTTTTCTATGGTTGAAGAAAGGTGAGATTCTCAGGTGTAAACCTTAACTTAGCTCACAGGATAAATCCCTGGACACCTGGTCAACTACCTACCGACCTCACACAAGGGAGAGCCATGCAGAATCTAGTTGGAATCCCCAGTGAGCACAGCCCTCCAGACGGAGCAGTCTGGGGAGAGGAACAGGAGCCTGGCTTCAAGCAATCTCTCCGAGGGAGCTCCCAGGGAGCTCCCAGGGGCAGCTTGTCTTTATTTCTTTCTGTTAATTCTCGCCTGAGGGTATTTTCCCACTGATTTTTAGGGAGAGTAGAAAAGGGGGTGGGGGAGAGGAGCATTGATATGAGAGAAACATGGATTGGTTGCCTCCTGAACGCGCCCCAAATGGGGCAAAGATTGAACCTGCATCCCCGACACGTGGCCTTGACTGGGTACTGAACCTGAGACCCTTCGGTGCACTGGCTGACACTCTATCCACTGAGCCACACTGGTCTGGGCTCAAGGGCAACTTTTTAAATTTTTTTTTTATATTTTATTGATTTTTTTACAGAGAGGAAGGGAGAGGGATAGAGGGTTAGAAACATCGATGAGAGAGAAACATCCATTAGCTGCCTCCTGCACACCCCCTACTGGGGATGCGCCTGCAACCAAGGTACATTCCCCTGCCTGGAATTGAACCCGGGACCTCTCAGTCCACAGGCTGACACTCTATCCACTGAGCGAAACCGGTTTCAGCAAGGGTAACTATTAATATGCACCTTGGATATCAGTATTTTCACAAATTGTCACTGGGTTGCTAAGAAAGGGGGATTTTTAAGATTAACACACACCTGAACTAAAGAATTCAGGCTGGGAAAGCAGAGGAGCCGGAAAGGCATTAACTAGCATCGGTTGCAAATATGTGCATGGCCCCTCGGCCTCTGCTTTCCTCGTACACAAACAGCTGCAGAGCTGCGGCAGCGCTCGGTGAGAGCTGGGGGAGGGGGTGGAAGGGGGGGGCGGCTCACCATTCCTCCACGTGGCTGAGGTAGTAGTGGTGCTGCCTCTCCGTGCAGCAGCCGTAGCAGGGCTCCATGAAGTTCACGAACACCTCTGGGTGCTTTTCATCTTTTTTCTACAACAGAGTGAGGAAAAACCTCAGGTGCAACTTTCCCTTAGGCCTACACAGCGAATGGCTCTCAGATGAGAAAACTATTAAAGTTTTATGAGAAAATTTGCTCAAAAACCTATGTCCAAATGTACAGACACGATATAAAGCAGCACCGTGTAACAGAAGGAACGGGAGTGATGGCCGCCAACCAAACTGAACGCACACTGCCTGCCTGCCACTTCTGGCCGGTGGACAAACAGGGACAGATTACTCGACCTGATTCTCAGTCTTCTCACACATGTGACATAGCTACTAAATGACATCAGAGGCTGTTGTAAATATGAAATGAAACGATATATAGAAAGTTTAGCCCGCTACAAGGAAAGTGGGCCCTCAATAAACACGCTAGTGTTAATCTTGTCGCCAGAAATAGAAATCTTAATATCTTGAAATAAGGAATACATTTAATACATTCCAACCACACGTTATGAAGGTGATCCCTTAAGATTACACCAAAGCTGAAAAATTCCTGTCGACCAGTGACACTGTGGCCAGAACACCTCAGCCATAATGGTAACACAGATGGTCACGGCTGCCTAGTGTGCAGCACAAGGACATGCCAAACAGCTCTGTAACCTAGGAGCTGTCGGGGAACAGAATCTGCCACCCCAAAATGCTACTTGGCAGAAGGGTTATTCTCCCTCCCCTACTGAGCAACGGGCTGCACCACACAGCCAGGCGGGCAGTAGGCAGACCACTGGGTTTGTGCAAGTGCAGCCGCTATGATGATGCCGCTCAGAACACAGACCTGCAGTTGGGTGAGGTGTAACCGTAAACATACTTTAGAAATTCAACTGTATCAGGAACCCAAGTGCACAACAGAGCTACAGCAATCTGTTAACCGTCAAATCACATTTCATTTGACATAGAAATTTGCCTGCAATTTACTACTATGATAAGTTAAAGCAAGGTTGCAAAACAGAATGGAAGCGTAGCTCTCATTTTATTGCGTTCAGACATTGATTTCTGTATTTCCAGATGTTTTCCTGGACTTTTAAAGCGAGTATGATTTGGAGATCTAAGTCCGGCCTCATTAGTCTTTGTTTCAATGCTACTGCAATTAGTAAGACCGGGTAGATCCTAGCGTTCTTTCTTCCTTCAGCTGACTCCCTCCCTCCTTCCCTTGGTTCCCTGCTCCGATGGCCCCTCCTCGACCACCCCTCTCTCCGCCCCAGGCCAGCACTGTCCCTTCACCTGCCCGCTTTATTTCCTCCGTCACCCTTCTCCCTCCCCGATGCCAGGCTTATCCCGGACTGGCACATTCACTGGAGTGTCAGATCCACAAGAGCAAGGACGCTGCGTCCTCAGCTTCAAGCACCGCCCAGCGCACTGCAGGCATTGGGTGAATAAGTAAATGAAAGCGTTTTAAAAGCCAGGCTATTTCCTTGCTCTTCTAAAATATCTCACCAAGTTAACATCTACTAAGACTCAGCTTAGAGCTTAAACAAAAGCAAGTTTTACAATCTTTTTCACAGTATGACCACAATAGTGTGTGCTCGAAGCAGAAACCATATTGTAGCTGTAGAACCAGCTCAAAATGGCCCTGTCCTGTGTCTGACAAGACACCGAGTCGCCTCTCAGAGAACACAGACCAACACCGCAGGTCACACAGCCACACGGTGCGGAGGGACACCACCTCGGGCCGCGCCTGGGACCACATATTCCCTCCTCACGGGACCAAAGGGCCCGAATTGAACACCAGACCTCGGAGACCAGAACCCTGCCAGAAGCGAGGGGTCCGCTGTGCAAGAAGACCCGGTGCTGACGCCCCTATCATGTCATCCCATAAATGGCCAAGTTCCACAGCCCTGCGGCCAGAACCCACACAGCCAGCACCTCTGCTCCCCGGGCCTCTACCCCCCAACCTGTGCCTTTAAAAATCCTTGATTAAAAGCCACCAGGGAGTTCAGATAGCTACCCATTTTAAGCGATAGCTACCCATTCTCCTTGCAGGCAAATAAAATGGCTTTTGTTTCTCCACTGGAAACCTCCATGCTCATTCAGTATTTGGCTTTGCTGTGCATCGGGGAGCTGATCTTCTTTCGGATCAGTAACGTAACTGGTCCCAGGCCGATGGTGCAATGAAGGGGCACCATCACAGGTAAGAAGACAACCTTGCACATACGCACCGGGAGCAGAGCCATCACCACGTCCGGAGACGTCTCCAGGGTCCCATCCGCAGCAGCGTACACTATTGTGAAGACGTAGGTCCCAATCCACAGCACATCTAGAACTGAGACACACACGCCAATGAAGCTCCTTGTTGGGAAGCTCTGTATGTTACCAACTTACATCTTAGGGGTAAAAATCCAACTACTATAGCTTTAAGGTCTAGATTTCATTGATCCGAAACCCAAATTCTTCCCAAAGTGGATTATATCAGGAAAAATGGTGAGCAATTCTAATGTGAAAAACAGGACCCATTTAAGCCATCTACCCTGAGACACAGGTGTCCACCAGATTGCTGCTACACCGACTGACAGGAGGAGAGCGTTCAGAGAGGAGGCACCGGCGCTCTCCTGAGTGGGCATGTAGTATAGCACGCGACTTAAATGTCTGGAGTGCAGACAGCACCTTATTGAAGGTCAGCCCCCAAAAAGCAGATAAGTTACCTCTGACAGGATGATCTGACTCATAAAATGGAGGACAAGGAATGACTTTTTTTTCTTGCAAAGTCTGAAAGAGATTTGAAGAAAAGAAGTGTCAAATGAAATAATCCCCAAGCCAACAATGGTGAGCATTATCTCAGAAACCCACAGGGACAGGGTGAGACAGCACGCATGCGACTACCCAGCATCGCTGCCTTTGTTCCTGCAGTCAGAGAAACGGAACCTTCAGATGCACTCAGCCAGAAGACAAGCACTGTGCTCTAACCCAAGTGCGCCTGGGTTACAGCGCTAGCCTTTCACCAGCTCCTTCTCCCTGCAGCTCTGTTTCTGAGGAGTGAATTGGGAACATAAGGTTGGGGAACTTTGTGTAAATGTGATTACATTTTGTTTAAAAAGCAGAACAAGCTGAAACTGGTTTGGCTCAATGGATAGAGCGTCGGCCTGCGGACTGAAAGGTCCCAGGTTCGATTCTGGGCAAGGGCGTGTACCTTGGTTGCGGGCTCATCCCTGGTGGGGGATGTGCAGGAGGCAGCTGATCAATGATTCTCTCCCATCGATGTTTCTAGCTATCTATCCCTCTCTCCTCCTCTCTGTAAAAAATCAATAAAATATATTAAAAAAAAAAAAGTCAGAACCTCTATTTAAAAATAAATAAATAAAATAAAAAGCAGAACAAAGGTAATGCACACACACATAGACTATCTATGTGAGCATCCGGAAAAGTCCAGAAGGCTATGACCAGCAGAAGAAAGGGCGCCCTGGAAGATGGGCCACGGATGGGAGGGAAGGGACACTCCACTCTTTCCTGCATTCTCTTGTGCACCGAGGACTCTGTTGCCATGAGCATAAATAACATTTCAATTGAAAAAACAGATACCCCAAACCACCGTCCCACCAGGGGGCAGCTTCCATAAGAACGGTTTGGAAGTCCAAGGCAAGACTCACCGGGAGGTACTGGACCACAGTTCCGTTCTGCTTCCCCACTGCCAGCTGCTTTCCTTTGGGGCTCCAGCACACTGAGCAAAGGAGAGAATGCCACCAGTTAACACGGAAGAAAACACGGCGAACCAGCCAGGTCTGTACCAAACAGCGATACAATCACTAGCTCTGTTCTCAGTCCACGGAAGACTTAAGACCATCCTCACTCGGCAAAGTAAGAAAAAGAAAAATCACTATGACCATACAATTATGATTTATCACTGGGCCACCGAATTGACAGATAAGAATGCTTTTTCAATGGAGCACTGCCCCAAAAGCTGGAAAGTACACAAAACTGCAGTCTTTAGATAAGACAAGGGATCAGAGGAGGTTTCTGAATATCAATAAATTCTTGTCTTGCTCCTATTTGATATTTCTGATGCTTTCCCCAGAAAGGTTCAAATGACATTCACAGTACAATTATTTCAGATCCAGAAACAATTACTCAAAATCACAGTTCTAAACCAGCGCTGCCAAAACATCTCCTTCTCCAGAAAACCCAAGCACATTCAGGTGAAATCATGGCTGCTGTTTGGCTTCAAGGAGATTAATTGTGGAAATAAAGAATACCGTCTCCACTTCTACCAAATAACAACAAATACAACAAAAGAAGCATTTGCTTTTAATCCCAACAATTAACTTTCAGACGTCACACTACGCATGTCAGAGCGGAGCCTTCAGCACCCACCGGACGTCCCCGCGACGGAGGGAGGCAGCGTCGCGCACACCTTCACGGTCTCGGTGACTTGCAGGACAGCGATGCTGCCATCGGCCAGACACACCGCCACCATGGAGGGCACAGTGGGGTTCCACTTCATGTCGATCACCATGCCTCCCGCGTCTTTCAAAAGCTTGTGATAGGCAAAGGGGCGTTTCTGCTGCTTGGCCTTTTAAAACAAATGCCCAGAGCAAAAATTAATAAATAAACGCATGGATGAAAATTGTGGAATATGTATGTTTTCTCAAATTACGGTTTGCATTTCTCAATGAACATGAAAAATAATTAACTCTACACAAAAACCGCTTTGTTACAATGTCCACACAACGTTGAACATGGCATTGAATTATTCTAGCACCCTGGAGGGACCCCCAGCAGGGGATACACGAATGTAAAACCATTGACGAACAGCAGACACTAGATCAAAATCCGGGCTCTGCTCCTTAACAGCATCGGGCACTTGGCCCGTTACTTAAACTCTCTGGGCTGTTTCTCCGTGGATAAAATGAAGACCACGGTGCCTACTGTGCCCGGCCCTGCGGCATGAACAAGGATGAGGCATGGAGAGCACTAGTGCAGCCCTGGCACAGTCAGCACAAGCGCTCGATACCCGGGCTGCTCTCATTACTAAACCGCCTTAGGAGGCCAGAGACCCAGCGCGTGTCACTTCCGACATTGCCCGTTCACTCTGTGGTCTTGGGCAAGTCACACAAAGATCCCGAAGCCCCCTAGGCGTTCGCTGCCTCCTATGTAAATAAAGCAGGAAATAGTTTGGGGCAGGTGCTATTATAAAATAATTTCTTGAAGTCCTTTCTGCTTCAAACATCTATGGTTCTATAATTAAGGACTTTTTAAAAAAAATCCATATTTAAACTAGAAAAGACTTCAAGGGTCAACCAAGAACCTCTGGCTATGGTTCAATACCAGGAAACCGTAGGTCCGTTTGACACCATAGTCTGCCCGTAGCTTACCTCATTTGAGAATGTACGAACGTCAAAAAAAGCGATAATGGAACCGTATTCACTGGACATCATGCACGCAGAGAGTGTGAGGTTATCACAGCTCAGGGCCAGGTGATGGATGGGGAATTTCATAGGAACTAGCAAGCCTTGAACTTTATCAACTATAAAAACATAAAAAAAGACAAAGCAGGAAATGGAATGTTCATAAACCCATGCACATGCCCTGGTGTCTAGTCATGCAGACAAATCTCAGCTTTCTTACAGATTTGTAATGATGCAGGAATTCCAGGAATTCTTCTTTATACGACCTGGGGAAATGAACTGTGGCCGTCACCCTTGTGGAAAACAAGGTTCTTTAATTGGGTCGCTGGACCCTCTTCTACCATGCCGGGGGGTGCGTGTGCCCCCACACTAACAAACAATTCTCAGGTGTCTGGAATTCACCTCTATTCGGACATCATCTACCCAGAAACAGTATCAGACTCCAGGTTCAGAGTTCAGCCCTACAAGACTGTCCCCCCTCTATCCACACTTCCAGCCCAGCCACAAGCCCAGCGTCTCTGTGCTTCTGCCCAGCTGGTACAACAACCCCTCCAACTCAGAGTGCCAACTGCAAGTCCAGGTTGCTACCTGCACCTCTAACTGACTGGCTATAAACCAGAGGTTCCAAAACCTCTTCTGTGGGTTCAAGTAATTTGCTAAAACCATTCAAAGAACTCGGAGGAATACTATGTTACTGCCTGGATCAGTGGTCTAGTACAAAGGCTGTAACTCAGAGCAGCCAGGAGGGAGGCTAAGAGGGCCAGGTCTGTGGGAAGGTGCGGACCTCTCCCTGCATCTCCACATGATCCTCAACTCACAAACTCTCCAAACCATCCTCCTGGGGTTTCAGGAGGGTTTCATGACATCGGCAGGATGTCAAATCACTGGCCGTTGGTGATTAATTCAACCTGGTCGAGGGAAGAGGTAGCGGGAGGGAGACATATCAAAAGTTCCAGTCCTCTAATCACAAGGTTGGTTTAACTGACAACCAACCCCCATCCTTAGGTGCTTTCCAAAATTATGTCACTAACATAACAAACCTGCCCCTTTCCCCCACCCCAACCCTTAGGAAATTCTAAGAGCTGTGGGACCTGGGAGCCAGAAATTTGGAGGAAGACCAAACATATGTATATTTTTTAAACTTAAAAAATATATATATTATTTCTTGTAAGTCACAATATGGCCAAGCTGTACCCATATTTTTGCAACAATGCTCTCAATAGTACACATCCCCACTTGTTTGGATGGAACCTTTGTGCCAACTAAAAAGCCATGCGGCCGAAACCGGTTTGGCTCAGTGGATAGAGCATCGGCCTGCGAACTGAAAGGTCCCGGGTTCGATTCCGATCGGGGGCATGTACCTTGGTTGCAGGCACATCCCCAATGGGAGGTGTGCAAGAGGCAGCTGATCAATGATTCTCTCTCATCGATGTTTCTAACTCTCTGTCCCTCTCTCTTCCTCTCTGTAAAAAAACCAATAAAATATATTAAATAAATAAATAAATAAAAACTAAAAAGCCATGCAGCAAAACCTCTCTCCAAGAGAGCCACGAGCCAGGCTCAGCTGAGCCAAAACAAACGCATGGCAGAATGGTAAGCTCTGCTCTACTCTGAGCTCAGAGGAGCAACCCATCAAGAGAGAAAAGCAAAGGACCAGAGAGAACCAGACAGGCTTCCAACATCTGACCCAGAACTTCTTCTTGGGCTCAACCTGAGGACGACCAGCAGTTTTCATTTTAACATTAGAACGGAAGGAAACTATATTACACTTCACTACACTCCTCCCTACTGTGCAACACAAAGCAAATGACTTACCTATCTTATTGGGATCGTCTCCAGGTTTGTTTTGAATAAGAAGATGTTTAGTAGGAAAGACGTGCAACCCGCTGGCTCCACCAGCGAAGACCAGGCCGTACTTGTTGGACACGGCCAGTAGGCTTGAGCGTTCCCTGGGCAGCTCGTCAGGGGAGTCAAAGATCCTCACCTTCTTCAGGGCTCTAAACTGAAAGTCCTGTTGGGAAACATCAAAATGAGGTCAACTCAGGGAAAAATGGGGAATTAAATCATGTCTGTGATAATCCAGTAGACTCAATTCCAGTAAAACAAAAATACATATTACCCCAGGCCAAGGACTGTGTGGCTTAGTCATTTTCAAGCTTCCTGTACATATTGTGGTACTTGGCAGTGTTTATTAATATTTATTCAATGAAATAAAATTTATTTTATTTTATTATTTTAGAGAGAGAAAGGGAAAGACAGAAACACTGATTAGTTGCCTCCCGTATGTGCCCTGACTGGTGATCAAACCTGCAACCTTTTGGTGTATGGATGACGCTCTAACCAACTGAGCCACCTAGACAGTGCCAATGGAATAAATTTTTTAAAATTCTTTCATGCCCTGACTAGTTTGGCTCACTGGATAGAGTGTCGGGCAGTGGACTGAAGGGTCCCAGGTTAGATTCCAGTCGAGGGCATGTACCTTGGTTGCAGGCTCGATCCCCAGTAGAGGGCATGCAGGAGGCAACTGATTGATGTTTCTCTCTCATCTATGTTTCTAACTTTCTATCCCGCTCCCTTCTCTCTGTAAAAAATCAATTAAAGTATATATTTTTTTAAAAATTATTTCACAAAGCTTTCCTTGACTAATCCAGCTCACACTAAACTTTTCCTTTTCTGAATTCCTAGTTTATTTATCATCTTAACCTCCACACAAGCTGGTGTCATTATCTGTCATTATTTATAATCTTGACCTACTTTGTAGTATTGACTCATGACCCAGAGTAGTGCTCAATAAATTGTTAAATATTGAAAGATCCCCTAACTACACTGTAAGCTCGGATATCCAGTGCAGTACCCAACAAACATCTATGGAAATAATGATCACAGAAAGATACGGTAACCAAATCCCAAGAACTGACTTACCTGGATGAAATGCTAAATCAAATCCCTCCCCCGCCCCCAAAAGGACATGTATGGTCAAGACCTACATTCACAAGTTCAACCCTTTACCACAGGCTATGGCATGGCTTGGTCCATCCATTATGGAGCCTTACCTCACAACACTGCTTCCCTGGCACCAGGGCGGCACTTCTGGCCCCCACCTAGGCCAAGCTTTCATTCCTTCCATTTTCATGCTCCTTAGCACCTGTGGGCCTGGGAGCCTTCCCCAATCTCCTGTCAATGCCTGACTCACCAAGTCTTTGGCGAATTTTCCTATATGCACTCAAAGACAGTTTTCGGTGTGCACCACTTCTTTTTAAAAAAAAATATATTTATTGATTTCTTGGCAAAAAGAGCTCCACAAATTTTCCAGTCCCTATGTTAAGCTGAATTATACTAGCAAAAGGTTTTTTTTCCCCTTCTATTCTAAATTTATAATCTTTTAAGTTGAGGTTTTGGTGTAAAGGTTGTGAATTCCCTTTTGCTTACATTCCAAACGTGTTAAGAGCCAAAGACAACTTTTCCCAGCCTTCATTTTTGTCCTTAGGGTTTCAAACCCTAAAATATTCCTGCAACTTCCTCCTTCTCAGGGGTTGCTAGCCATCACTGGGATCACCTACCGCTCTCTGTAGTTTCCTGACTTTGGTTTCCAGTAACAAAATAGTCCTTCTATTCTAAGTAACTCGAGTTTTTTGTAGGACCGATAATGAACCCTGGCTTTGCGTTAGGCAAGCCTGGACCGCCTTACAGAAGTAGTACAGTGAGAGTGAACAGGAGAGGATGTAAAAACAAAAAAAAACACACAAAAAACAAAGGTACAACCACCACCTAGATTTCAGCCTCCTTGTCAAATGTGACTTTGGGCAAGTTTGATTTGCTCCTCTCTCTTAACAACTATTGCGTACGGTGGCTGTGTGATTAACTCAGCGGGTAGCACACAGTTAAACGCTCAGTAAACAGCTTATTATCACTTCTCCGACCAACACCTGGAAGCAGCGAGAGTAACTCAGGTGGCTCGCACGAGACCAGGCAGGGAAGAGGAAACGGCACTAGGCAGGACCATCATCGTGCCCGGGACCTGCAGCTGAAAACTGAACGCGGCAAATATTCAAGCAGGAGGCGGGGCAGCCGGCACCCGCGCTTCGCCGTTCAGCCGGGCTCCAAGGCAACGCCGGAACTAAGGAAGGGAGGGAGAGGGGCCGTGGCTAGGGTCTGACCTTCATCTCCCGCTCAGGGATCATAGCATCCATCTCGTCTCCCATCGCGCCGCCCTCGGGTGGTCGAAGCAGCCGCCGCTGCCCCGCGCGGCCTTGCCCGCACAGCCCAGGTCGCTCTGAGGCCAACTTCGTACGCTCCGGGACGGCGGCGCGCGGCGGCCTCCGCACTTCCGGCGCGCTTTGATGGCGTCACGCGTTTCCGACCGGGGAGACTGAGGGACTGTCTGAACTCTCGCGCTCTCCCGGCCGCCCCCTCCCATTGGCTGGCTCGAGCACCAGGGGGCGTGGCCTTGGGGCCCTCGCGCCTGCGCCCTGGGAGCGTCCAGGTGCCGCCCCCGCTTTCGCAGCCGGAGCTGGTGATATCGGTTTCTGTTTTGGTCGCCGCACGTCTGTACTTTCGACGCTCAGGACTCGGTGGAAACCCCCTCAGGAACACTAGGTTGTGGTGGTTATTCATGGTTCCCGGTGCAAGGAAGTTGACAAATATTGACAGGCCGCTCCTGAGAGGGGCTTTGGCGGGGGGTGTGTGTGAATGAAAACACGTCCAGACAGTGGATGGGGCAGGCGGAGCCTCGTCACGGGAGACTCGGGAGGTTAAAGAGCACCAAGCTTCAGTTTTGTTTGCTCCTTACGAGGTAATCATTTACGAAGCAAAAGCGTGGAAGCCGCAAAACACCTTAGGTGTGTTTGTTATTTAATCTTCAAGACATCCTAGTCACCCATCCGTCCTGGCCATTTAATTAATGAGGTTAAGGAAGCACCCAGAAGTTAAAATCACCCGGGACCCCAGGGTCAGAAAGCGGTGGAGGCGGAATTAGAATTCAGTTCTTCTGGATATGCTAATTGATGACTATTCTGTAGTGGATTTATGTGAAAAATGCTGTAGGAGGGGGAGAGAGGGGACAAATTGTTTGGTTTTCAGCAAATTGCAGATCTGTTCCATGCCAGTTCTCATAAGACAAGGATGACAACCGGTCTCCTTAGGTTGCTATGTAAGGAAGTTCTGTGTGTAGCAGAGCCTGGTACACAAGACACACTCATCCAGTTACTGTATCAGCTAGCTCTTCAGGTGTGGAGCCCCGGAACCCGTCCCCAGAACACACCAGTCGAGACATTGGTACGTTTGTCTGTTTTATTTCCAGTATGTAGAGATGATACCCGGCACCACACACTCTCCCATGCACACCGCACACACGTGGCATCCACCGGAACCTGCCGGACACACTCTTTCCTTTTGAGTCCGCGGGGAGCAAAGCCACACTGGGCAGTGCACCCCAAGTTTCTGGTTCCGTGTGTTAGATTTGGTCTTTCAGAGAGAAGACAGCTGGAGATCTAAGAAGCTGAGCCCTGGGTCGGAGCAGTGAGGAGCCAATAGTCACAACCTGAAATACATGCAGATCCCCCTTTCCAGGGGCCGTTCCTGAGCCCCTGTCCTCCAGGAGAGTCCTGCCTGCCCTTCCAGAGCTGCGGACACATCCCCGACTCTCCTCCCTTGAGGAGCCTTTCCTGTGGCCGTGTAAACTGGGGGGCCTGTTGAAATAAGTCTGGTTGGCTCTGCCCTCCTCTGAGTGAGGGTCAGGCACACTAACTATGGCGGGTAGTCAAGGAAAGCTTTACCTTGCTCAGAGGTATCCTGTCCCAGAGAGGAGAGGTAGAAGGAGGGGTGGGAATAGGCGGTTGCATAGCTAATGATCTTCGGGGGGAAGAGGGTGGGGTGAGATTTTACATTTACAGGGAGAACTGTTTTTGCTGGGTTTAAACTTCAACTAGGCCTGGGCACTTGAGCAGCTCCTTAGCCTGAAGCTCAGCCAGCCGTGGCCACACAATCTTGCTGCTGAACTGGCTGAGACCAGCCGATGAACCTGGCCTGGCCTTTTCCCATCCCCTGCCTGCTCCCCTCCCTCATGCTGCTGTAAGGCAGCTCCTCGGGCCCCTGATTATGAGTCACCAGGGAGCCCCAGGAGCCCACGCTGGCTCCAGCTCCAACAGCACCTTCCCCTCCAGGTGGGGCAAAGCCTTCTCCAAGGCTCCCCCAGGACTGCAGTGCAGGCACCCAGAGCCCCCTTTCCCCTAACATTCACTTCACTTTTCCCTGTCTGGGTCTGACTTTCCCATGAGACCCTAAAGATGAGTCTATTTCACTATGGGGTTCTTAGCCCTTGGCCCATAGCAGATGCTTAATAAATAGATTCCATGGATGAGTACATCTAAGTCCTGAGAGGGCAGAGTAAGGGACTCCAGAACACAGGCGGGGCCAAGGCTGATTTCCCGTTCAGCCCACATGGGGCCGAGGGTGCCACCCGCGTGAGTCCTGAGACGCAGCTTAGGGAAAAGCTCTAGCGAGCGTGGGATTACACAGGCGGGCCTGGCCCGTACCCAAACCCTGGTGCTGACTCAAGAGGCACTGGGGAGGGGAATCCTGGCCCTGGGGCTTCCCCGGTGCTGACCTAGAGCCTGCCCCTGCCCTTGTTTCCATCTGGGGCAGCTCAGAGGAGGCACTGGGCAAGGCATCTGAATCCTGGGCTCCAGGCCAGACTCTTCATCTCCTGATGAGCCTCTGACCTCGGGCAAGGCACTTAACCCCTGTGGCCACCAGTCTCCTCACCTGTGAGACGAGGGGACTGACTCAGCTAACCTACAGGGTGGGTCGGGGCTGCAAAGCCGTGTGAGTCCATCAGAGAGGACACAGGAGATCCCAATCCTTCGTCCAAGGGTGAGAGGAGTTACGGAGAAGCAGATAAAGCTCATCAGCACAAGGTGGGGGGACTTAAAGCTTACGACAGGCATCGATAAGTACCGGCCGAACCGCTGAGCACAGTGGTGTAAGGTGGGCGACAAGGGGGGAAGCACAGTCATTTTCAAGCAGACAGATCGGAAAGGCAACCTCCCTCCCGTGTCTCCGACCTTGGTGGGCTTAGCCAAGTTGTGCTCTGTTCGCCACAGTCATTTTATTCTGCATTCTCCTAGCCTGTCGCCCTCAGCATCCTCCCTAAAAGGTAGGCCTAGGACTGGCCTGAGAAGACCCCCCCTCCCCAAGGCCCCTGGCCTCCCCTCTCTCTCCAAAGCCCTTTGCTGCCCAGCAAGAGACAGGACTCCTTCTGAGCTGCCAGAGGGGCAAGGCTGGAGGATTTCTTCCGGAACCTTCCTGAAGGGCTCAGATTGCTTCCTTCCTCCTCCTGCCAGCTCACTGAGGATGAGAAGAAGCATGGCTTCTAGGAAGAACGCTCCAAGCAGGGGGAGGCAGGGGAAGAAATCTCAGACTTCCAGCCTCCCAGCCTTGGCCTCACCCTCTCCCGTTTTTTGGTTTGATGTCAGCCCTTCTGCATGCTCGGGGGTGGGGAGAGGGTGGAAGAAGAGGGAGGGGCCCCAGATCCCCTTTAAGGCAGATAATTTGCGCTTTACAAAGAGATCACTGATTCTGCAAATGGAGAAAACAAATAAACATGCCCAACGACCAAAAAAAACCAAATAGACAAAATATGAGTCCAGAGGGCAGCGAGGTAAGGAGGGGGAAGGGCCGGGAAGGCGGGGCAGGTGCCGGCGGGTCCTCAGGGCAGGCTGGCAATGTCTCTCTCTGGAGGGGGGCCAGCCGGCTGGGGGCTGCTCTCTTTGGCTTTTCCTTCAAACATCATGACTCTGGTGTGGAGATGGAGAAAAAAGAAAACACAGGATTAGGACCTCCCATCCAGGGACAGCTCCTCCAGCCTTCCCTCGGCGGGTCCTCAGCTGAGCGCCCTTCTGCCATCCTCCAGCGGGGTCTTCTCGGAGCCTGGGATAGCAGCCGCGTGGGCAGGGCTCCCAGTCCCATTTCACGCCGGAGAAAACAGAGGGCAAAGTGGCAGTGTGACTCCTCAGCCACACAGGCAGCCCAAGCAGGACCAGGCTCAGCATCTCTGACTCCTAGGCCATGCACCTTCCCCTCACCACGCTGCCTGGAGGAGGCGGAGCTAGGCTGGGCCACAGTTTTCCTCAAAATCCCTTCTGATCTTCAAAAACCTCACTGCTTTGAGAGGAAAGTGGTGAGCTGAGGAAAGGATTCATGGGGGAGTCTCGGGGGACAGCTGGATTTGAGTCCCAACCTACGACTTCCCAGCTGGTGGGTGACTCTTGCGAGGCACTCGGCCCGCTGATGCTCAGTGTTTCCACCTGGAAGGGAGGAGGCCCAAGTGCTTACATCCTGGCGCTGGTCCGGGCATCGGTCATTCCCCAGTTTTAAATCCATCCAAAGGGCGACCGTCCACAAACAGCTGGTCTTTGCGCTCCAGATCTGCACCGCCGGCCCCCCTCCTCCTCCTCCTCCACCTCTCCCCTCGGCTGCCTGAAGGGCACTTCCCTTGAACGCATCACACCTGAGTTCTTAATTCCCACCTTCCCCACCCACTCTTCCTGCCAAGCAAACAGCAGTCACTCAGTTACTCAGACCCCAGACTCCTCGGACTCCCGTTTTCCTCGACACCCCACATCTGGCCAAGTAAGCATGCTTCCGGCTCTGCCTCCAGAATCACCCTCCATGCCAGCAGCTCCTGCCACTGCCCTGCAGCCTCTCCAAGCCGCATCTGCATCTCTCACCGCACAGGCCTCCCGCTCCTCACCCCTGCCGCAGCCAGCGGGGCTTTTAAAAGCCAGCCCCTAGCTGAGAGCACTCCTGGGGCACCGTCCACACTTAAGATAAAATGCTTGGTCTGACTGGGGCCTATAAGGCCCCCTCGTCCCTGGCCCCTGCCCAACTCTGCAGACTGCCCTTCGCTCAGAGTCCTTACTGATGGCCCAGACACCCTGGCTCCGTGCTGCTCCTTAACAGTAAGAGCACATTCTGCCGCAGGGCCTTTGCACTGCGATGCCCTCTGCCCAGAAAGCTTCCCCAGATCTTCACATGGCTCTTCGCCTCCCACCTTCCTCACTCAGGGCTCCGGTCAGATATCGCCTTCTCAGTGAGACCCTCCCTACCCCCTCCTTCTCCCCCCCACCCCATTGTCGCATCGTCTCTGTTCCTCTTCCCACTTTATGATTTTTGGACTATACCATGACAACCTGATGTTTTGTCTCCTGCCATTAGAACGTAAGCTCAATGTGTCCCCCGCACCTAGACTAATTCCTTGCATATAGTTGGTGCTCAATAAATATTTGCTGAATTAATAAATGATAAGTCTAAAGTGTCAAGTGCCTGACACAATAAATGTGCACTGAACCTTCCATGTCCTTTCACTAGCATTGTCACTCATCGTTGCTCCCTGCCCCCTCTGGGGCCATCTGACCCGGATCTTTCCCCACCACACCTCTTACCCCGTCCCACCCCCACGCAAAGCCCTGACCAGCTCCGACTGTGAGCTCATGGGCCGGTTACTCGGCCTCCTGGACCCTCAACTTCCCCTTCTGTACGATGAAACAGTAGCTCATTTGATGGAAGGTCCTTTTCAGCTCAAACACCTCGAGACTCTGCAGGGAACTGCTCTGCGGCTCCTCGGGGGCGAGACGCGGTGAATGGAGTGTGATTTCAGCCACCACAGGTCTCAGTGCCATCAGCCAGGTACCGGGCTGACCTCAGCGTGTTCTCTCATGAATCCTCAGGACAACGCTTCGTGAAAGACGTTTATTCCATCTCTGTCTTACAGACGAAGAGCATGCCAACCTACCGCCCTCCAGAGCGGGACTCCATCGTGCACACCCCGCCCTCTGGGTGGCAGAGCCACTTCACAAACGAGAAAACTGAGGTTCAGGAAGCTTTGCCAGTAGCTTTGTCATCATCACAGCTGTCACTCACTGAGTGACGATTCTACCAGGCCCTCTGCTACAGGCTACTGCCCCCTGCAAGGTACATGCTAGCGTGACATTGGACAGATGAGGAGGGCAGGGTCAGGGAAAGGGAACGCCTCGCCCACAGGAGCCAGGGGCCTCTCCACACACAGGGACTGGGCCTCCGGAGGCCCCGGGAGAGGCGGGAGGTACTCACAGCTTGAGGACGGCCGACCGTTTGCCCAGCATCATGTTCACAAAGTCTCGGTAGGAGATGGTGGCGCCGACCCCACCTGTCACCTCCGCGATCATCTTCCTGATCTCCAGGTGGGTCTTGGGGACCCCGAGCTTCTCCATCATCCTCTTTAAAGCCATCAGGTCTGCGGGAGGAAAAGCAGGCCCGTGACATGGAGGCAGGCGGCGGGGCGAGTGGGGACGCTGGCCAGACGGCCCCTCCCTGGAGACTGCAGTCCATGGCCTTGCCCCTCTAGGGACCTATCACGCCCTCCCCGTATTCTTTGGAGGCAGGGTAGCCTAGTGGTCAGGGACCTGCGCTATCAGTGTCACAGAGACTCTGGTTGGAATCCAGCCCTGTGTTTTCTGGCTGTGGGACCCGGGGAAAACTACTTAACCTCTCTGAACCCTTGCTCCCATCGGTGGTCAAATGGGTCAATGGGGCCGGTCAGCGTGGCTCAGGGGTTGAGCATCAACCTATGAACCAGGAGGTCACAGTTCGATTCCCAGTCAGGGCACATGCCCGGGTTGTGGGCCTGATCCCCAGTGGGGGGGGCGTGCAGGAGGGAGCCAACCAATGATTCTCTCTCGCCACTGATGTTTCTACCTCTCTCTCCCTCTCCCTTCCTCTCTGAAATCAATAAAAAAAATTTTTTTAAAAATGGGTTGATGGGACCATTGGGGGGGATGATGCATGAGAAGGACCTGCAGGAGGCATGCACACAGTAATGGAGCAGCTATCCTTTACTGTGATCGCAGCTGCTCCTGTGGTTAGGGGGAGCCCTAGGCCCGCTGCCCAGGGAGCCAGGAGGCCGCTGCCCAGAGAGGTGGGGTCAGGGGCGTGGCCTGACCCCCGGCATGAATACCATCTCCCAGGGGCCAGGGGCCAGCTTCTCCCACCTGCAGTCCCAGGGCACCACTTTGGCCAGAAGGGAGAGAGTCCAAAAATACCCTGCAGAGCAGGAAAGCCAACAAAAGAACAAAATTCCAGAAAAACAAGGGAGGCACCGAAAATCACTCCGCCCTGAGGAGTCCTGCCGCTGACCACCCGGCTCCCAAGATCTGAGGCCATTTCCTCGGGATTGTTCCGCGAACAATGGATGGTCAGCAGAGGAGGCGGGAGGGGGTGCGGCAGGCAGGTTTAGGGCCGGCAGTGTAGCCAGCTCACCCGAGAGGCGGGGCAGGCAGAAGCCGTGCCAGGCCCCTCGGTGCCAGGATGTCCAGGGCATTTCAAAGAGAGCTGGGCAGCCTCTGCAGAAAGCAGAGAAAGGGCTCCCACAGCTGCCGGCCAGACTTGAAACTGGCAAGAACTTTCTGGAAGGCCATCTGGCAGGATGCTTCAAAAACCTTTGACCCGGGACGTCTCTTTCCTAAGATTTAAGAAATACTGTGGACAGAGATTCCCTTACAAAGATGACCTTCGCAGAATTATCAATGGCCCTGGGGCAGTGGTTGGCAAACTCATTAGTCGCCAGAGCCAAATATCAACAGGTCAACGACTGAAATTTCTTTTTGAGAGCCAATTTTTTAAACTTAAACTTCTAACGCCACTTCTTCAGAATAGATTCGCCCAGGCCCTGGTATTTTGTGGAAGAGCCACACTCAGGGGCCAAAGAGCCCCATGTGGCTCGCGAGCCGCAGTTTGCTGACCAAAGTCCCAGGGCGTTGGCCAAATGAATTATGATCCATCCCCACAATGGAATATTATGCAGCCACTGATTATATTTCAAAAGAGAAGTAAATCACATGTCAGAATACTCACAATATGTTCCTTTTTAAAAGAAAGGAGGTTCTGAAAACGCTATAAAACAGCATTTGTGAGCAGAACAAAGAGTGGAAGGACATGAGCCACGCAGAGCGCTTATTTCTGGGCGCTGGGCTGTGGGCGACCCCCATGTGTCTTTGTGCTTTGCTGGGCTTTCCAGAATTTTCTTCTGATGAGAATGTATTGGTAATTTTTTTTTTCTTAAGAAGAAAAAGAATATAAATATTTGAAAGAGGGAAGGCAGAGGGAGTAGAAACGCGGCAACACTGGAGTTCAGAGTGAGCCAGAGGAGGGATGGGGAACAAGGCCTGCCACCTACCAACCACATGCAAGTGGTTCCATCTCTCTGAGCCTCAGTTTCCCCAGCTGTGAAATGGGATGATTAAACCAGCCTTGTGACTGGTGAACGTCAAGATACGGTCTTGAATACAAGTGTCAGGGTCAGGTGTCTGTCACCCGAGCATCTGGATGGTGGGACAGGGGGAGTGTCTGTTGGAGGAGGGACCCAGTCACAGGAGGCGCTTTGTCACCTGCCGGACAGTGAGCAGAGGGGAGAGGAGGCTTGGGGACCCAGGAAACGCCAGCCCCCTCGGTCGGGGGTCAGAAGCTTGAGCACCTCCAGCCCCTGCAGGGGTGGCACTCTGTGCTGGGTCCCCTGGGGTGGGAGGCCGAGGGGTGGGCAGTGAGGGATCGGGGAGGGAACCGGTGGGAGAGACGTTTGGGGGCCATGGATCAGGGGAAAGGGAGTCAAACTCCAACCCGGCTCAGCTGGCCCAGCCACCAGGAAGGCTTCGGGAGCGCGCATCTGGCTCCAGACGTCTCCCCCACCAGGCGAGTCTGCGCGGCTCTGGACCTCCACACCGTCTGCCCACCGAGCACCCTGGTCCCCAGCGCTCAGGCCGCACTCACCAATCTCGCCTTCGTTGTTCAGGTCAAACTCCATGTACTTCTCTGGAAATCACAGAGCAGAGACTGGCCTTAGCTTCGAAGGAGGGTGTCCCCTGCGGGTCCCGCCGACGCCCCTGGGGGTACTGGCCAGGGCCTGGGGGAGCCCACACCTAACGCCTCATCCACTGGGGGTCTCAGCATGAGCCCATCATCTCAGCTGAGCTCGTCCTGCCTGCACTCCTCTGCGATGGGCCGGGGAAGGCGTGCAGCGTCCCTCCGCCCTCTCCCACGCCGGGCAGCGGTTCCCTTCCAGGCCCACAGGGACGGCTGGCTGTTCAGTCGGCCACAGGGACTACGATAGATTCTGGCCCTGGAGAGGCTGATGGGGGGGGGGGGGGTAACGGGAGGCGGGGGAGCGGGAACTACGTGCTTGCGGGGTGCCTCGGAGGTTCTCACGGGCAGCCAGGTGTGGGCACCGCCGGTAAGGAGCCCCTGTGGTCCAGAATCTTTCCGTCGTGGGCAACACCGACAAGCCAAGGCTCTACCAGAGGAGTGCCCGTGGCCTGTCCTCCCCACCAAGCTCACCTACAGACTGCACCGAAAGGCCCGATGCAGGGGTCCAGGAACCCCAGCAGCAAGAGAGTGACTGAGCGCCTTGGCATCTGTCCGGCGGCGTGTGCACACAAGCCCTGAGGCCACGGGCAGCACCGGCCCAGGAGAGCAGGGCCCTCGGGTCGCCTCTGCACAGAGCAGCCAGCGCAAGAGCCAGGCCCTCCCTGTGCCCTTCAGCAGCATCTGTGCCCCACCTTTCAGCGGCCTCGCCCTCCGTCCCCTCCGCTCCTCCCACAGGCCTGCTGGGCCCGGCCCGGCCCCACCTGCTCCCACGAGGCTTGCTACCCTCGGCCTGGAATGTCCCTCCCAGGTGGCCACCGGGCTCCCAGCTTTCTAACTGGGCACCCCCCTTCTCCCCTCCCCGCCCCCCCACACAAAGCACCTACTACGCAGAGACCCGTCCCTTTTCCAGGGCCACCTTTGCAGTGACCCATGGGCGACCAGAGGGAGGGAGGACTGTCCTCCCTCGCCGGGCTCTCCGGTGGGTGATTGGCAGGGGAGGGGGATGGGGAAGGGGTGGGGCTATCTTGGTTCTAGTTCTTTTATGTTTTTAGTGTAAAATGGTTAAGAGCAGGGGTTGGGAGTGAGATCCATGGAGCTTCAAGCCCCACCTCTGCCCAGGGCGAGCTGTGTGAGCCGAGGCACGTGACCCACCTCTCTGAACTGACTTTCTCTGTACATTACAGATGGCACCCCTCCCTCCTGGCTGACGGGGTGGTTCAGGGCGCCCACCACCCCCAGTCAACTGCCCGTGCTCAGCCACTGGTGTCCTGCCCGGACAGCCACGGGGCAGGAGTCTGGGGAGACCGAGCAGGTTCTCTGCTGGGAGCAGGGAGACAGCGCGCAGTGCCCGGCTTTGGGAGGATGCGGCCTGAGGATGCTCGCGTGGTCCTCCCTGGCGCCCCGTGTACACCCCCCCACCCCCCGGGGGCAGGAAAGGTGGGTCCCTCGCTCCCATGTGCGGGCTCCTCTCTTTTCAGAGCCGCTGGCCGGGAACCAGAGCCGGGGAACAGAGGGACCTTTATGCGCCCCCTCTCCGCACGCACGCAGGCTCCAGGCCTGTTTACTTTTCATGCCGCGCTGCCGGGATCCACGGGCAGAGACTCTGCCCCCGGCCGGCCCGCTGCACAGACACAGACGGCCTTTCTCCGCAGGGGCTCCCGTCGCGCCCCGCCGGAGGGGAGAGCTGCAGGGGGAGAGGCCGGGGCCGCCACAAAGACCTGATTGTGTGCGCAGGGCCTGGGCAGCGGTGGCAGGAGCCAACCTGGGCCTGCGGGGTGGCTGTGGGGAGAGGGCAGGGGCAGGCTGAGGCCTACAGGAGAGGGGTGGAGGGGCCAGGGGGGTTTGGAGGCTGTGGAGGGGCCTGCCCCCTCTCACTGGGCACCAGGAATGGGGCATTCTGGATGACACGGGTGCAGGCTGGCCCTTTGGGGGTGAGGAATCCTACATGTGGGGGCCTGGGGTGGGGCAGCCAGCCCCGCTCACCTTTGAAGGCTGAGAGCTTCTCTGGAAGGTCCTCTTCATCGCTGTACTTCTGGTCGCAGAGAAACTCCTAGAAGCGAGAGGACAGAGCTGAACCGGGGGCAGCAGGCAGGACTGGCCTGCAGGAGGCTCAGTGCCCTGGTTCCTCTCCTGCCCGCTCAGACGTGCAGTCCAGCCCGCGGGCTTGGAGCTGGGCGGGGCCTGAAGGGTCTGCTCCAGAAGATGCAACACCTCCAATCCCAGGGCCCTGCCTCCTCCAGGGCACCCTCTCTACTCTGGATCACACTTCCCTCATCCCTGAGCCAACTGGACATGGGCATCACTCCTCATTCATTCATTCACTCACTCACTCATTCACCAGCTTTGGAGGACCACAGTGCACACTGCTGTGTGCCAGGCAGCAGGGGAGCCGGTGAGACCAAGGCAAATAAGATAGAGCCTTTATCCCAAGATGGCAGGGAGTGTTTGAAGGGGTAGTCCGTGGCATCGGCCAATCACTCAGCCTGTTTCTAAATTCCTGCTGCCACTTCCCGCTAAGCTGTGCCTGTGCTTACACACCTCCCAGGACGGGGAGCTCACTGCCTCCCAGCCTGTCCTGCAAACCCCTTAGAGCAGCGGTTCTCAACCTTCCTAACGCCGCGGCCCTTTGATCCAGCTCCTCACGTGGTGGTGACCCCCAACCATAAAATCATTTTCGTTGCTACTTCCTAATTGTCATTTTGCTACTGTTATGAATCGTCATGTCAATATCTGCGTGTTTTCCCATGGTCTTAGGCGACCCTGCTAGCGGTTCTCAACCTGTGGGTCGCAACACAGATATTGACACGACGATTCATTAAGAGTGGCAAAATGACAGGAAGTAGCAACGAAAATAGATTTATGGTCGGGGGTCACCACCACGTGAGGAGCTGTGTGAAAGGGCCGCGGCGTTAGGAAGGTTGAGAACCGCTGCTCTAGAGGCTTAAAGGGGAACAGGAGAAGGACCGGAAGCCTAACGGGAGAGAAAGGCTCCGGGTTCGGACTCAGCCCCTCCTCACCCGCTGTAAGTGGCACAAATGGCCCCACCTCTCCAGGCACCTCATTGGGGATAACCGAGCTCCCGTCAGTGCTCACTAAGCAACGAGGTGGGTTCCAGGGCCAGGTGTCTGCATGGGAACCCAGCCCCCCTGACAGAGGAGAAACCCACTCGCCAACACGACTCCCTCGCCGGCGAGGTCCCCATTACACGGGTCTCACAGGAGAGAACAGGAGGACCGCAGAGCTCGGAGAATGCATCTGAAGTCCGGACAGCTGAGGAAACGCAGGTGGGGTTGGCACCTGGGCCTAGCAGCTGCCAGGACCTGTGCCCCAGCAGCCTGGTGGAGGGCGGCCCCATTACATGCCTGCATGGCGCACAGCCCCGCCTCCTCTCAGCTGGAGCAGGAGCCTTCTCCGGCCGTCCTCCTCCGCTGGCCGGGCCAGGACTTCCCTTCCCCTTGGCTGCCTCAGAGCTTTCCACCGCGGACCCAAAATAGGACAATGGACGCTTGTCTGTGACCCCGAGCAAACAGGCACCTCCCGGTCACAAACCCCACACCCGGCCTGCACGGGGCCGAATGGGAGTGGCCCCCGGCCTTTGGATAAGGAACAGGGACACCACCTGTGGCGGGAGGCACAGGCGAGGCCGGCACTGGGCTCTCCCAGCTCCCACGTCCAGGTCAACCAGAAACCCTGCCCGGCGGAGCCGGCAGGCATGGGTCCTGACCGCCTCCTGGAATCCAGGCTGACGGCGCTCAAGGCGCAGGGCATGGGCTTGGTGTTGGAGACAAATCACGACGATGAACATGGAACAATCAGGCAGCGAGCGAGAGAAAGGACGAGAGGGCGGCGGGCACAGGGGCTTGTGAAAACCACTGCCCTTGGCTGGATCGACCGGCCGGCTAGCTCCCACTGGGACTTGGCTACTGGCCCCCTGCCTGCACCTCCCATCTCCACGTTTCCTTTTCTTTTTCTTAATATGTTTCTATTATTTCAGAGAAGAAGGGAGAGGGAGAGGGAGAGAGAAACATCGCTGGTGAGAGAGAATCCTTGACTAGCTGCCTCCTGCACCCCCCCGACTGGGATCAATCCCGCAACCAGGACATGTGCCCTGACCAGGAATCAACCACTGAGCCACACTTGCCGGGTAACTCCACATTTCTACACGGCTCTCTCCCTCGCCTCCTTCAAGTCTTTGCTCAACGGTCACCTTCTGAAAGAGGCCGACCCTTCTGAAAGAGGCCCACTGCAGTCCTTCCTTCCCGGGGCATCCCCTCAAACACATGTAATTGCTTATTAAAGGTATTGCCCATCGTCCGTCTCCCCCTGGGAGAAGGCAGGTTCCGAATATAGTAGGTGCTCAATAAATATCTGCAGGATGAGTGACCGAATGGAGATTCAGAGAGGGTAAGTAACAAGCTCAAAGCAGCACAGCCAGCAAGTGGCCGAGCTGGGTTTGCAGCCCACAGAGGAGGCCTGAGGGCTCCGCCTGCAGAGCGGGGAAGGTGCGTGCCCGAGGAAGTGGGTGTTGGGAGGATGTTGGGAGGATGATGGGAGGAGGCCGGCCTTCGGCCACAAATTCTAGAAGCACCTGTTTATTGCCTTGCGCCTCCCAGGTGCTGAGCACCCAGCGCGTAGTAGGCCCTTAATACACATCTGTTGAGTGAGTGGAGAAGCCTGCCATTTAGCCAGAATGACTATTCCCACTCTCCGCCAAAAAAACGGTGAGGCAGCTTTGCAAAAGCGCATGCACATGTGTGGCAGAGAGGGGAGAGGGAGAGGGCATAGCGGGGACGGGTGACTCAGAATCACGTTTTTCTCTTTGAGCCAAAAGTGACAAATGCTTGAGCCACAGAGTGACCAGGGGTGGGCAAAACAACTGACCGCCTGGTGGTGGGCAGGCAGCCCTGGGCTTGGGCAGCTGTGTGGACTGGCCTTTGGCAGGGGCCGGGGAAGGCACTGGCTGCCAGCTCCCACCCCACCTCCAAGCTTCGGAGCCTCGGTCCTGCTTATGTGCAGCCCATAGCTTCCTCCCCTTCTGGTGGTCGCCCCGCCCACCTCTCCCCATCCCCAGGGCGCAGCCATGCCCAGGGGGCGGGTGTCCTATCTGTGCAGACTCCAGGCCCCTGGCTGCCCCAGAGTCCCCAGAGAGAGAGGCCAGGCCCCTTCGGGAGAAAAGCCAAAGCCGAAACCCAAAGCGGGCACTGCCGCTGGAGCCAGAACGCCCGGGTGTGAAGTACTTCGCAGCTGTGTGCAAAGTCCTTCGCTGGCCCGTGCCTCAGTTTCCCCTTCTGTAGGGAGGATGCAAACTTCTCCCGGGCTTGTTCTGAGAATGACAGTGTGTAAGGAAACTCCTCGCAACAGCGCCTGGCGCCTGTAAGCGCTGAACCAGTGTGAGCTGTGCTGCCACCTTTGAGCTTTTGTTTCTATCTGCACACCCCGCTGACAGCCACGGCTCCTCACCCAGACCCCGCGGCCCAGCAAAAAAACCGGGAAGCACGCCTCCTTCCCCGACGGAGGCTGCTCACGACGTCCCTCTCCCCTCCTGGGGCCTCCCCACTTGACAGATGGAACAACTGTGGCCAGGGATGTCTCCACCTGCTCCAGACAACGTTTCAACAGTCAGGGCTATCTCCCTCCTGGCCCAGCTCCTCCTGCCCTGGCCACGGGGAAGGCGGCCTGGCCACAGGTTCGGAGCAAAGACAGTCAGCGCTAGGAGCTATTCCTCCCGGGCAGCTGCAGGGCCATGGCCCACCCAAACCCTCCAGGGGATGGGGTATGTGTGGGGGTGTTTACGCTACCCCATCCCCTCCCACTCCAGCCCCGTGTCCCAGCTTCAGGAGCTGCTGTCAGGCCTCCAGGGGTGAGAGGCTGTGAGAGTGACCGTTGCTATGCCGAGGGGCAGGCTCAGAGGCCGGGCGGCCTGGGCAGTCCCTAGCAAAGAGCCAGGAAAAGCAAGCAGGCAGGGGCCTGAGGTTGGAAACAGGAAGCTGTGAGCTGAGCAATCACTCCCCATGCCGAAGTGTCCACAGGCAAGGCCCCGGATGGCGACAGAGCTATTAAAACATGCACCCGGCCCAGCATGTGGAGCAGCCAGCCGGTCCTTTTTGTTTGGTATCTGGGGAAACTGAGGCCTCAGACAGGAAGGGTCTCGCCTAAAGCCACATGGTCAGAAGCCTCCCCTAAATTCTGAGTGTGGGGGGTGGGAAGTTGAATCTGGAGCCGGGGTTCAAATCCCAGACCCAGCACTTCGGAGCTCTGTAGCTCTGGGCAACTTGCTGTACCACTCTGGGCCTCGGTTTCCTCATCTGTGAAAGGGGGTCATAATAACAGCGTCTCCTCGTTGGGTTGGATGAAGTGAGCTAAGTGCAGACACCCTTCCTAATGGTTAGCAATTATCACTCAGCGTTAGGATCACCTAGAGCTGTGGTCGGCAAACTGCGGCTCTTTGGCCCCTTGAGTGTGGCTCTTCCACAAAATACCATGGCCCGAGCGAGTCTACTTTGAAAAAGTGGCGTTAGAAGAAGCTTATGTTTAAAAAATTTGGCTCTCAAAAGCAATTTCCATTGTTGTCCTGTTGATATTTGGCTCTGCGGACCGATGAGTTTGCCGACCCCTGGCCCAGAGAGAGAGAGCTGTGAGCAGGGGAAGGCAGAGAGGTGACCCACACAACTCCCGGTCCCACGCTGTGCCCCATGTTCCGCTGGTGAGTCTTGGGACGGCCATCCTTCCGCCAGGACAAGCTCTACTCTGGACTCCTGGGGACCTGGCAGTGACAGCCCATGCACCCGGGCAGAGTGAGCCCATCTGCCTCTTCTGAGCCATGCCTGCCTCTTCTGCTCCCCTGGTCCTCCATAAGCCCTGAGCACATCAGGAACCCCCCCCCCCCCCCCCCACACACACACACACAGGAGTGCCATCCCAGCGCTCCTGCCGGGGAGGGGCTGCTTCCCACACCAGCAGGGGCTGGCAGCCCGGACGCCTGCCCCCTGCCCCCTGCCCCCTGCCTGACTCCTCGACTTCCCTCTCTTTCTGGCCCGGTACCTCTAGCACCTGCTCCTGGGCGCTCGCTCCCGGCCCTGCAGGCTCGCCTTTGTGTATGAGCTGGAACAGAATTTTGGGTCGGGCGGCTATCACCATCCTGGAGGCCATCCAAGGGGCCGGTGGCTGAAACCCTGGGCGCAAACCCCAAGGCCAGGTGGTACCACACCGGGCTGGCGGCCTCTGACGCAGCACACAGGTTCTTAAAGGGCCAGGACCAGGCCACCAATGCCCAGCCCGGTGCCTGGCACGCAGACGGAGCCTGTAACATGCACCCGCAAGGACAGCGGGCTCACATTCCCCACGGCAGCGCCGGGGCCCCATCCGGACGCCGTGTCCTCGCCAACAGATGGGGCAGCTGAAGACAAACACCCCGCCGACGGCACCCATGCCGCAGACCCTGCAGAAATTCCATCTCCTGCTTCCTGTGACACGGCCACACCGAGGTCGTGACTGGCCGGACCTGCGCGGACACTGAATCCCCGGAGGCTCACGTGGCCGCTTATCAGCACCTCCTTTATAATAAATTAAGGAAGAGCAAGAGAGACGGGTGCCCAGTGATGCCAGCTGGGCACATTCACTTGGGCAGGGACACAGTGGCACTGCCAGGACACAGGAAAAAGACACACCTGCGCAGTGCCTGGGTCAGGTCTCAGAGGTCCCCCGCTGCCCGGGAGGAGCTGGGACCGATACCCCTCTGGGCAGAGACACACAGCCTGTCGCGCCCAGCTCTTCCCAGCACGGATGGCACGTGGGTCCTGAAATAGCCACGGGCCATGTAAACGCGACAGGGAACGCTGAGTGCCCTTCATTCGAACCAGGAGGGCTGGGAGGGCGGGACCGGAGCCAGAGATCTTTATCCAGGGAAGCAAGAGAGGCCTGTGTCACAGCTAGGCCACGGCCACCTGGTGGACAGGCCGGGCCAGGCCATGGGCGGCGTCTGCAGTCAGACTCCAGGCTCCCGCTTCCTGGCTGGAGGGCCCCGGGCAGGTGATTAACCGACGGCCCCTGTTTCCTCATCTCTGAGATGGGCGGCCCGGTTAGGCCGTGTCCCGTGGCGATGTTTACACGTTCTCACGGCGCCTGTTTGTAACCCGACGTTCCTCAGACAGGAGTCAGTGAGCTGATGCAGGGCAGCGCCAGGCCCGCCTCCTGTTTGGTTCCAGACGCCGGCCTCTGGCCGGCTCCAGTGCAGCCTCCCTACCCCCATGGCCTGCGGGCTCCCCCTGCCCTGCATGCCCCCCGAGCTCCCCCCCACCCCGACGCCCCTCCGAGGTCCCAAGGATAAGGGCACCCACCAGCCCCACCACTGCCTTCTGTCCCTGTGCAAAGCCGGAGAGAATGTGTTTTGTTGCCATATAAGGCTGGGCCTGCTGGCCTTGGGGTCACCTGCCATGCCATCAGGGCTCGGAGAATGTGAGCTATGTGGGGGGAGTAGGAGGTGTGCGCCTGGCCTGCCTGCTCCATAGTGCAGAGAATGCGCACACACACACACACACACACACACACACACACGGCACACACACACACACACACACACACACACACACACACGGAGGACACCCAGTCCAGCTTGGAGACTGAGAGCAGGCTCTAAACCAGGCACCTGCCTCAGCCTCCTCCGAGCCTTGTTTCTATGACACGGGAACCCGCACTCACAGGGTCAGAGTAAGCCATCAATAAGACGATGCCCCAAGCACGCCTGGCACACCGCCTGGCACACGCCAAGGGCTCAGAAAACGATAGCAAAGGCCACAGTGAAACCCAAAGAGCACGTTTCCATCCAGCTCGGCCAGGACGTGGGGCCCACCCAGCCTATTTCCACTCGTGAATCCCCGATGGTAACAGCGGCTAAGACCGAGCCGCCCTGCCGCCCTCCGGAGCTGGCCCACCCTGAGGAGCTGGGGTGGGGGGAGGGAGACACGGACCCCCAAGGGAACTGGGATGTTGATCCTAAACCCCCCAGAGCTGCCAGCCTGCTAGGCTCTGCCCCAGCAGCAGCCACAAAGCCCTGTCCTTCACGGCTTCCTACTTCCTCCATGCTGCTGGGCAGCGGCTCAGTCCATACCCTCCCCCCATTCCAGGGGGCAGTGAAGCTGAACCCCAAAGGAAGGCCAGTGGCTGCCCACATGGTTCCCTCTAGAACCTGTCCACTCCAGGGAGCCCCCATTATGGCCATGGCCATGGGTGAAACGGACCCAGACCCTCAGAGTGACTCCCTCCGAGTCTGCAAAGAGCTCCCTCCGCTCACCCCCTCTGCCTGTGGGCCCGGAGCAGGGCAGGGACCACGGCTCCCGTTTCAGGGACCAAGGCTCTTCCAGACCCCGGCTGCGTGGCCAGCAGGGGCCGGGCAGATCTCAGCCTTGGCTTCCACTCCCTGCGCCTTTAAGCCCTAAACAAACCAACGATAACCATCGTGACAGCAGCCAGCTCTCCTATGTGCAGCACATAGATTCTATCGCAGAAAAATCACAACAACCGACTACCATTATCTCAGATGCCTGGTTCAAGGTCAGAGCCAACAATACCCTTCCCCTCCCCTCAGGACTCTGAGCCTTGGGGGGCCACCTCCACCCACTGCAGTGGGAAGCAGCTCAGGTTTCGGGTTGGGAGCCTCCTTCCTCCAGGGGCCCAGAGCCCACGCCCAGCGGCCTGGTTCACACAGCGGCATCCGGACGGCATCTGGGCAGCGGACCACAAGCTCTGCCTCTGGCTTCTGTGTGGCGTTGGCCTTATGCTTGCCCTATCTGGGCATCGGGCTTCCAAGCGGGGTAGACAGCTTCCTGCTCACCCTCTCCAGCCCAGTGCTGCCCAGCCCGGTCCCCCTTTCTGAGTCAACCCAGTCGCCCCCAAAACAACCCTGTAGCCGCCCCACAATCTGCCCCCTCCGCGGGCGGGGCTGGCACGGAAAGTCCCACACTCTCAGCTCCCCCGGCTTGTCCAACTGCGGTCCCCTCTCCCCATCCCCAGCTGTCCCTGGCTCGAGGTCCTGCCGGCTGTGGGTGGACTCGGCCAGCGTGGAGCCCGCCCGGCCCAGTGGCCCAGGGGGCTGTATGAGGTCAGGGTTCCAGGCGCCTGTCCAGAGGGCAGGCCCTGCCAAGAGCTGCGAGCTGCAGACTGAGCTGGGAGGGGGCCCAACAGCCTAGCCCCCTGAGATCCCAGCCTCCCTTCCGGCTGTGCTCCCGATGACGGCAACACGCAGGGTAGGGATGGCCATGAGGGGCCCTGGGGTCCCCCGAAACTCCTGTAGCCAGAGGAATGACATCAGACAGGCTGCCTAGTTCTAGACGATCCAAGAACACGAAAGAGGGAGTCCACACTGCAAGCCCCCGCACACCCCACTGAAATACTGCAACCATGCTGTGCCTGCCCCGCCCCACAGCCTCCCCAGGACCCCGCCGACCCCACCACTTACCACTTTGGGACTCAGCTGGGCAGGGACCCTGGTGCTCAGCCCCCTCCCCCCAGGAAGTCAGCAGGGGAATGCCCAGCCTGGTTTCCGTGGACATGCCTCCTCCACCACCAGCTAGAAAGCAACTAAGGAGAATAATTCTAGCACCGTCCACGGAGGTCCCCTCAGGCGGGTGCTGGACCAAGCCCACTGCAGGCTTCCCCCGCTGCCCCCAGGCCACTCCTCGGCGGAGACCAGAGCTGGCTGCAGCCTCTGCTCTGGCCAATCCCGCAGGCTCGGACACTGGGCCTTATCTTCCAGAGTCCACCCGCTCACTACACACCAGGGTGGCTTTCTTTATAGGAACCCACCAACACCCGCAGGAAGGCATGGAGGCTCTGGGGAGCCCTTCCTACACGTGGGATGGGGATGGGGAGGAGTGGCAGGGTGGGGGTGAGGCAGGCAGGGGACCAGCATTCCCTATGGTGGAGAGGGGAGCTGCGGGCAGCCTGCCCCACACTCTCAGCCTCCCTGGGCGGTGGCAGCAGACATTCCTGGCGGGTCCCAGGTGGGCTTGGGGGGCGGGGTGCCCGGCATACCGCAGCTCCCAGCCCGGCCCGGCCTCCCGGTCTAAGAGTAACAACTTGCAACCCGAGACGCCAGGTCCCCGGCGGAGTGGAGGGGGTGAGGGGACCTACCTGGAGGCACGGGGGCCGGGGAGGAGGGAGGAAATTGGGGGAAAGAGAGGGGAGAGGCACAGCCTCACAGATGGAGGGGGCCCCCCGCGGGGCGCTGGAAGCTTTGGGGGGGACCAGCGGCGCGCGGCCCCGGGACCCGCAAGCTGCCCGGGCGGCGGGGCCGGGGCTCGCACTTACCCGGTTGATCTCGGCCAGCCGCCGCTCCTGCCGGGCCTTGAGCATGCCGAACGCCTTCCCCCCTGGAGAGACAAAGGGGCCCGGGAGGCGGGCCCCGGGGCGCACAGGTAGCGGGCGGGCGGGGGCGCACCGTGCGCGGGGAGACCCGGGACCGGCGCCGGACGGGGCGGGGTGCGGGGTGCGGTGCGGAGAGCGGGAGCGCGGGGTGCGGGGAGCGCGGGGTGCAGGGTGCGGGGTGCAGGGAGAGCGGGGTGCGGGGAGAGCGGGGTGCGGGGTGAGCGGGGTGCGGGGAGAGCGGGGTGCGGGGTGCAGGAGAGCGGGGTGCGGGGTGCAGGAGAGCGGGAGCGCGGCGCCTACCTTGAAACCTGTTGCTGGGCGCGACCGACATGGCGAGCGCGGGGCTGCCGGCGGCTCGGGACGCGCAGGAGGCTCTGGCGCCCGGTCCGAGCTCCCGCGGCGTGTGGCGGCGGCTCCGCGGGCGGAGGGAGGCGCGGGCGGCCGGACACACCTCTCCCGGCCTCCCCTCCGGCCCGCCTCCCTCCCCGCCCGCCGCCCGCCGCCGGCATCAAAGCGGCTATTATGCGGGGCCGGCCCGCCCCGGCCGGAGGCGCGGAGAGCGCGGGCCGCCGCGGGCACCTCCCTCCCGCTCCTCCCGGACCTCCGCTCCGCCTTCCCGCCCCGCCGCGGCGCCCCGCGGAGCGATGGGTGCGGACTCAGTTCGCAGGGCCGATGCGGGAGCGGCGGCGGGAGTGAGTGCGCCACCCGTCGGGCGGGTGCGGTATTGCCGCCCCGTGCGCCCCGGGCCAGTGCGCGCTTTGAGAAGGAGGTGTGGCCCCCCAGACCTCACTGTTAACTCCAGAGAGAAAACTACAAAACCGTGTAGTTGTGTTGGGGGTGAGGGGAGATGCTCGATGACAAAGTGCCGTCGGGACGTCAGCGACACTAAATCGGTTAGAACGAGCCGGCTGGTGTGGCTCAGCGGTTGAGCATCGGCTTATGGACCAGGAGGTCCTGGTTCAATTCCCCCTGAGGCACAGGACCGGGTGCTGGCTCCATCCCAGTGTGGGGCGTGCAGGAGGCAGCTGATGGATGATTCTCTCTCATCACTGATGTTTCTATCTCTCCCTCTCCCTTCTTATCTGAAATCAATAAAAATATGTTTGTTTTTTAAAATTAGAATGAGTTTGGGTTTTGTTAATACAACCGACTTTCTTGAGCCCTCACTGCACAGGCTCAGTGCCAGGTCTCTGGAAGTCACTGGTTCTAAGAACGCTCTGAAAGCGGACTCACACTCCCGTTCCACGGAAGAGCGGACAGGAAGTGGGTGTCTGCAGAGCAAGTACGCCCGGACGGTACCAGGCTTTAAGCTCCAGGAAGTGTGCCCCTTGGGGCGAGACCGTGCAGGAATGCAGGAGTGACAGGGTGACTCTGGAGTTTCCTGTCCAAATCGGGTCATTTCTGAGGATGAGAGACGGCACTCCTCACAATGACGCTGGTGTCACAGGTACAGACGGGGACAGCCCTGGGCGAACAGCACACCTGGTCACAGTGATGTCCCATTCTCCCCCCCCCCCCACACACACACACACGCTCGGAGCATGTCCCAGGGGCTTGCTTCCAGGAATTCTCCTTCCTCATTCACCCCCAGGGTTTGGATCAGAACAATCCGTGTGACCTTGGACGAGGCACATGACGTGTCGGAGCCTGTTTCCTGGCTGCAGAGCGGAGGCAGCCAGCCCCTCTCTCTCACCAGCAGGGGCTGTGCTAACGGGACCTTCAGGGTTTAACAGGCAGCAGAGCCAGGAGGGACGCATTCTTAGGAGTCCCCACCCTGGATTGGTGGGAGATGTGCCACCTGAAGGCCACTGAGAGCAAAGCCCGGGAGCTCCTGCCCGGACCGGGCTCGGGGAACCAGGTGGGCTGGCTGGCCCCCGGCCAGACATTCTGCAGGGCAGGGCCAGCCCGCCGTCCCTGCTCGGCTGCTGGGCTGCATTGCTGGCCAGATGTTCAGCAGCTGCCACATTCCACCCGAGCAGCCCCACCTACAACAGCAGGCATGACCGGATCGCGTGAGTCACGGGCTACCAGGCCCAGGAGCATCACGGTGGAATGGAGAGGCTGGCTCTCTCCCGTCGGGGAAGCTGAGACTGGGCTTGGCAGATACAGGTTCGATGCCAACAGCAGCACCAGGCAGCTGTCAGCAGAGAAGCCGGTGGGGGTGTGTGGGAGGGGGAAGAGGGGTCTGGGGGCATCAGACCCGGACCCAGAGGTCTTCAAAGAACCCCCATCCCATGGGCACCCCCTAAGACCAGACGCCAATCACCGAGCTCACTGTAGAGCAACAGCTTCCTGTTCTGACCTTCCTGCCCCGTCTCCCTCCCAAATCTGCCCAGTCACCGCCAGGTCGATGCCCACCACGCCCCCAGGACCCCTCCCCTGCCCAGCCTGGGTGGTCTGCAGGTTCTCGGTGGAGGAGCACAGCTCTTCTCTGAATGCCCTCCCTGCAACTCGGAGGCTTGGAGGGGCCCAGCCAGCCCTCAATACACGGCTGGCCGGGGAAACAGAGACCCTTGTTCTGGGCAGGGGTAGGGGGACCTGGCCCAGCTGGGCCGGCCTTTCCTGGGATAGTGGAAGCAGGACCGTTTGCAGCTGGCTTCTGCCAGGGATTTGACCTGGTCACTTGTAGGCTCAGTGCCGTGGAGGTGGCGGGAGTGGTGGGCATCGTCTGCCATCAAGTGCAGGACAAACAGAGAAGCTGCTCTGCAGCTGAAACCAGTGTGGCTCAGTGGATAGAGCGCCGGCCTGTGGACTGAAGGGTCCCGGGTTTGATTCCGGTCAGGGGCACGTGCCTTGGTTGCGGGCACATCCCCAGTAGGGGGTGTGCAGGAGGCAGCTCATTAATTTTTCTCTCTCATCGATGTTTCTCTCTATTCCTCTCCCTTCCTCTCTGAAAAAAAAAATCAAAATATATTTTTAAAAAAAGAAAAGAAAAAAAGCTGCTCAGAGAGAGAAAAGGCAAAGCGCAGAGGCGCGAGCGGGGGCGGAGGCGGGAGAGGGACGCCTCCAGGGAGGCCAGCCTCAGAGCTTGGCAGCTCTTTCCCCCCGGATTCCAGGGACCCTCCCATGTCCTTCGAACTTGAACTCATCCTCTCTGCTTACACCAGCTCCGCGCAGGCCTGCTGGCCAGGAGCCCTGCGCGCTGCAGAGTCCTGCCCGTGTGACCTTTTCCGGAGGGACTCGGGGCAGCCAGGCCCTCACCTTGCCAACCCTGGGCTGCTGCCCACCTCCTGCCTGGCAAGTCCCCCTCTGTCCCCCACCCTCTGGGACCTGCCCCAGGCCCTCCCCCTCGCTGGCCTCTCTGCTGCTGGACACTTTGCTTGGAGCTCATTTCCTGCCTTGGTGTCTTTAGACGGGACCAGAGGCCAGCTGAGGGCTCCCTGTACCCCACCCTTCAAACTCCCAGCCCCTCAACTGTGCCTGATCAGCCCCCCGGAGCAGAGGGGAGAGGGCAGATGCCTGTGGTCCCAGCGAAACCTCCCAGTGGGGAGACCCTGGCCAAGCCAGTGGGCTCAGTGTTTGCCACCTTCCTGCTGTGTGGGCAGGAGCACATTCCTCCTGCCACTCCCCTGGGCACCGGGAGTGCCACATGTGTGTGTGTGTGTGTGTACCACAGCCAGCACCACCGGCTAATAAGAGGTCCTTTATTTCCACGTTAAACAGACTGGAGTGCTGCTGCCTGTCGCCCTGCTGGAGGCAGGAAGAGCTGTGGGAGGGGCCTGGGCCCCTGCGGGCAGCCGGTGCCATCTGTTGGAAGAGGGCCGGGGGAGGGAAAGGGAGGAGTGCCGGAGGAAATGCCAGGGGATCCTGGGCAGAGGCCGGCAGGGCTGGCCACAGGGGATGCCCCAGCAGGACGGACTGGAACGGCAGCCAGGCCTCCACACCCAGCAGGCCGCCCTCCCGGCAGGCGGGGCCAGAGCCACGGGGCGGGTTTGGGAAGCGTCCATCGGTCAAAGGCCACCTGGGGTCAGGAGGTCACAGAGGGGAGCTCCCTGCTACCTGAGCCGAGCCTCCTGACCCAGGCCCCATCTGGCCCTTGAGGCCCAGCTCTTTGGGCAGGCTGAGGGGGGCTCATGGATCCTGAGAACAAAGTATCCCATGAAGGAATGACCCCGCAGGGATGCCTCCCCTCCCCTCCTCAGGCCCAGCAGGCTGCACCATGGCCCGGGAGTCCCGGCCTCAGGCTCCACTGCTGAGAACCCTCTAGGATCCGAGTGTCTTGGCCTGCCTGCCCCTTGGTTGTGCAGAGCTGTGTGTGTGTGTGTGTGTAGGGGTGGGGGGATGGGGGGCTGCAGTGGGACAGAGGGTAACTCTGGGACTGGGGCTCTGGCTCTTGCTGAATCCACCTCAGATCGGGGCCTCCCAGCTACCCACCTGGAGCAGGAGTTGCATGTTAAAGCCACAGCGTCCCTAACGTAACAGCTCCCAGCATCCACAGGTGTGCACACTCAGAGGTGGATCAACTGTAAAGCGTATATGTGCACACGTGCACCACACATGTACGTGTGCATGTATGTCCGTGTTATTGACACTGAAGTGTGCGTTTATGTGTGCATGGGGGGAGTGCACACGCCGGGGGAGGGGGGGAGGGGGACACGGACCGGAATGCACCCTGACCGCTGGAGCAGGGCTGCAGCATGGACAGGAAGTGTTCCCTCAGGGAGGATGGCAGCAGCAGGCTCTGGGCACCCGCGGGTGAGGTGCGTGCCTGGCCCAGGGCGCTCACTGCCAGCTGGCGCAGCTCTCGGGCAGACTCTGCAGAATGGCCTCCAGGTTCTGCTTGTCGGCTCGGACCTCGGCGAGGTCGCTCTCGAAGCTCTGAATCTGCTGCTCCTGCTGCTCAGACTCCCGCTCCAGCAGCCTCAGCTTCCCCTGCAGGGCCCCGGGTGGGCCCAGCCGCAGCCGCAGGCGCTCCAGGGCCCGCTGGGTCTCATTCAGGGCCCGGGCTGGGGCCCGATGGGTGTCCAGCGACTCTGCGGAGGGCAGAGAGCCTCAGCGCGGCCGGCTCCCGGCACCCCAGGAGCCCACTGGGCCCACCCAGAGGCCCTGCCCAGCCCAAGCCCTCCAGGATGCTCACTGCCCACAATGCACCAGGAGGGCAAGGGCCTGAGAGGGCGCTGTGGGGACAGCCCGGTCTGGGACCCCACCAATTCCTGTGCAGACTCTGGGACGTTCCCAGATAGGTATTATTATTTTGTTGTTGGTATTATTGTTACTGTTTAGAATAATAAAAAAAAAGAGGGCCTTGGGTGAATCCTGAGCCTGTCTCCTCACCTACAAAGCAGTGGGGTGTGTGAAGCCCTGTGATGCCTGCCTGCTCCAACCTCCACGTCCACCCACCAAGAGCACAGCAGGGGCAGGTGGGCTCAGACCTGGCCCTCACACGTCAGCTCTACTCCCCGGAGCCTCCCCAAGACTGAGGCGCGGGGCGGGCTAGCGCTCACGTCTGAGCCGGTGGTGCCGGTGGCATGGAGCCACAGGCCGCCTGACCCACTTGGCCTTGTTGTCATTATGGGTGGCAGGCGCCAGGAAGACTGAGCTCAGCCGGGTGGCGGTGGCGAGCAGGTGAGGATAAATGGCGCCCTCAGGATCCCACGGGGCCCCGGGCTCTCTACCCCTCGAGCTTCCTGGGCAGGAGGGCTTTGCGGAAGAGCGGGCAGCGCAGGTGCCGGGCCAGGGGACGGGGGAGGCAGAGGTGTTCCCCGTGGCCTGCCTGCTCCATAGTTCAGAGAATGCACACACACACACACGGGGCTGAGCTCTGCTGCTGGGCAGGCCCTGCTCTCAGCAAAGGCCTGGAGAGGCCCGCTGTCCACAGGGAGGTTTAAGGAGCATGGCCTTTGAGGAGAAGCAGAACTGGGTTATAGCCCCATTCCCTGCTCATCTGAGACACCCAGGGGCAGGGCAGGGGCAGGGGCAGGGGCAGGGGCAGGGGCAGGGGCAGGGGCAGGGGCAGGGGCAGGGGCAGGGTGGTGCTGTCAATCCTGCATCCCCAGGCCAAGCATCGTGCCAACATGAATGAATGAGCAAGTGCCAACATGAATGAACGACAAGGACAGTAGCCGGAGCGGCCTCCCCTTGCAGCGCTCACGGGAAGACCCTGGAGGGGCCCAGGCCTCCTTACCCAGCAGGGCCAGCAGCTGGGACAAGGCCTGGACGTCCTTCTCCAGGGAGGCCCGCGATTCCCGGATCTGCTGCTCCAGCGTGCTCAGCCCGGCGCCCACCTGCGGGAGGAGGAGGCGGAGGCTCCAGGGCTCGGCTGGCTCGGACCAGGGCACCGGTGAAGGCCCGGGCACACCTACCTGCTCCGTCTCCTCCAGCGCCTGCCTCCGTGCGCCTGAGGCCAGTGCCTGCTGGGAGGCCAGCCAGAGCGTTGCCCGGGTCTGGCTGGAGAGCCGGCTGGCACGGCCACGCGCCTTCTGCCCCTCCTTCCGCAGGGCTCTGGCGAGCTATGGGGGGGACAGGGCGGCCAGAAGTGAAGGGAGTCCATCCTTTTAGAGTGAGGTGACCAGACGTCCCCTTTTTAACAATCTGTCCTGCGCCCCGATTCGGGACTGTTTTAAAACGCCGCGGGACGCGGGACAAATGGTTAAAAATCGGGACAGTCCCGCCAAAAGCGGGACGTTGGTCACCTTATTTTAGAGGTCAGACGGCTAGGGGGGCCACGCCAACAGGTGGGGCAGAGCCAGTCAGGACGGGGGCCCACGAGAAAGGACAGCCCGGAGGTGCGGGAATAAGCCGCACAGACCTGTGCGGGAGTCCGGGTCACGTGATTTAAATCACGGCCCGCACTGCCCCGGGGACAGCTGTGACAGCTGTTTCCTGAGGAATCACCCCCGTGACCTCCGGAGCTCAGAGCCGGGACGCTCAGAGACGTGGGCCACGTGCAGCGTCACATCCAGGGACGGGGGGGGGGGGGCGGGTGCTGCAGGGGCGGCTCTCCCAGGGGGACACCCCCGCCCTCCCATCGGCGTCCCTGACCTTGGCACTGCTCTTGGCCAGCAGCTCGGCTTCCTCGCCCTTCTCCGCGGCACTGGAGGAGACCGAGGCCGCGTTCCCCAGCATCCTCTCCGCCTGCTTGGTCTTCTTCTTTGCGTCCACCAGGAGCCGGCCCCGGACAACGCCCGCCTTCCGCCTCAGCGTGGCCTGGTCCCGGGGCCCGGGACCCTGCAGCTGCATCCCTGCGAACCGGCCGCGGCCGTCAGGAGGCCCGGCGCAGGGCGTGACCAGCCCCGACCCTCAGACAACACGCGTGGAGGCAGAGATGCCTGCGTGTGAGACCTGCTCAGGGCGCTCATACATGGCAGGGAGAAATGGCAGGGAGGATAAAACAACTCGGAGCAGGTTTCTCCACTGCAGGGCTTCTCAGAGCCTTGGAGGGGCTCAGCAAGGCGTGCGTACCTTCCAGGTCGGCCAGCAGGGTCCTCGCCCCCATGACGGTCACTGTGGCCGCCTGGACGGAGGAGGAAGCCCGGGTGAGGGCGGCGCTGGCCTCGCGCTGCAGCTGCAAAGGGAAGAGAGAGGCTGGCAGGAGGTGGGCAGGTGCGCTGCCTGCAGTGGGGTCAGCTGGGCACCAAGCCCCACCAGACCAGGTCCCAAAACACCACCGAAACTCTGACAGCTGCCACATTTACCAAGAACACCTGGTCTGTTTCGTTACAGACGTAAACCCTGGAATATCCCTCCCTGCCCTGGAAGCCGAAGGAAAACACACGAGACGGCGAAGGGCAGGAAGGACAGGCGGTGACCTCCTGAGCAACCCTGCACGTCATACCCCTTTCCCACAGAAAGCAGTGTCCTCCCCCGCCATGAAGCAAGGCCAGATAAAGAATATGGGTTTGGCCTGCCTCAGTGTTTGAGGGTCAACCTATGAACCAGGAGGTCAGGGTTCGAGTCCCGGTCAGGGCACATGCCTGGGGGTGGCGTGCAGGAGGCAGCCGATCCATGATTCTCCTCATCATTGATGTTTCTATCTCTCTCCCTCTCCCTTCCTCTCTGAAATAAATTTAAAAAAATGGATTTAAAAAAAAGAATATGGATTTGATGGATGAATTCCCTCATTTAACTGTCCCCTTTCTGGGCTGCACATGCTAACCTGTGTAGCTTAGCAATACATTGCTCTAGAAATATCGGGCAGGTGAACTGGTGAGCGAAAGAACCAATGAGTAGAACCCATCCCCGTTGTCACTAATGCTGAGTAAGGGTGGTGGGCGTGGCCCTGGGTGCTGCCGTGTGTCTGTCTATCCTACCCCCTCTCTGTCTGTCCATCCTGTCTCCTGCCCTGGCAGGCTGTGAGTTCTCTGGAGTTTTGAGGGAGACCCCGGATGGATGAAAAAAAACGACTCTGGTTATTGTCCCTCCCTCCCCTGCAACCCAGCTCCCAGAATACCCCTCGGCTGCCCCGACCTCCCCCAGTGCCTGCCCCAGGGACACGCCCACCTGCGTGAGGGGCTCGGCCTGGTGCAGCGCGGTGTGGGCGGTCGCCTGGACAGCCCGGGCAGCCTCCGTGACCACGCGCTCCCTGGATGTGACCGTCCTCTCCAGGGCCTGCGCCCTCCGGCTCAGGTCCCGGGTCCGGGAATTCTGAGGCTGCAGGGAGATGGAGGCTCAGGCAGGATGGCAGGGAGGGCCTGGGGCAGATCCTCTCCTGGGTGAGAGGCCCCGGGACAGGGTGGGCGGGAGCAGGGGCAGGGACACAGGGAAGCAGGGGGGCGAGGAGAGGGTCAGCCCTGACTCTGGAGGCCGGATTCGCAGCCTCGGGCCAACCAGCTAACCTCCCCGACCTGCAGCTCCTTCCCCAGGTCCACGGCCACTCAGCTGAGGCCTGGGGCTGGTGCACTTGCCACCTGGGGCTTTCTGGGTCTAGAGGAGCATCTCTATCAACAGCTCAGCAGCACCACGGACCAGCGCGCAGGCCAGACGCCTCGCTAGCCGCGTCTCTCTCCACACGTGTCTCTCCCCGCATCCCCATCACACGTGGGGAGAAGCTAAGACCCCATAAGCAGCCGGGACCGGCCCGTCTTGCCCATGGTTCGCCCCAAATGCATGTCTGCAAGCTTAGCTTTTTTTTTTTTCTCCCCCCCCCCCCCGCCCCCCAAGTTCAGTTCCCGAGCTCAGGGATGGCCGGGTTACTGAGAAGATGCAATGGAGCTGATTTGCCCAGAGGTGAGGCGTGGGGGGCGGCAGGCACAGTGGGGATGAGGCCGAAACCCTTGGTGGGGTCACCTGTGCGTTACTGACCAGTCCCCCCACCTCCCCATGGACATGCAGCCTCGGAAGACCCCACGGGTAAGTTCCACCTGAAGGACAAGTAACCGAGGCCCAGGGAGAGGGGCCAGGCCAAGGTCACGGCGGGAGCGGCGGAGCCGGGACTGATCCCAAGTCTGCCTGGTGCCGTGGCGAAGGCGCAGTGATGGGGAAGAGCCCGCTTGGATGTTATTATTGTAATCGGCAGCCGCGACGGCCCGAGCTCCCTCCTTCTGCCAGGTGGGCCCTCCCCCAAGCCTGCAGGAGGACTCTCCTGTGTTTTATGGATGGTTAAAAATAAGCCTCGGCATCGGCCTCTCCCTGGGCCCTGCTGGTCTCCCAGCAGCCACGCTCCCCCTTCCCCCCCACCCCCGCCCCACCCCGTGCAGAACCCGGAGCACGGCCCCGCTGACCAGTGCTGCGGGGGCGGCCAGCGCGGTCAGGTGGGGGGCTGCGTCGGCGCCAGCGTGCTGCATGGCGGCCAGCACCCTCTCCGCTTCGGGCAGCGCCTCGGCCACAGCTGCACCCAGAGCCTTCCGGGCCACCTGGACCTCCTGGTACCTGGGAGGAGACAGAGTCAGGACGGCCGGAGGAACAGGGCGCGGGCTCCCTTCCCCGTCGCCATCCCGAGCCCCTCCCCCAGCCCTGGGTGTCCGGAGGCCTCTCCTCACTCCCCCTCCCTCGGTGAGTGGGCACCAGCAGCTGGCCTCAGACACTGGCCGCCGCTCTGCCGATCCCGAATGAATGGAAACGGCAGTAGAAGGACCACATTCTTGTCTCTTCATCCACTCGGTTCAACCTCGCTCCTCTGAAGGGCTCACAGGTGTGGCCACTTGAGAACCACACGGTTTGCAAATGTTTGGCTCCTCAGGGTGAATCGCACAGAGGACAACGCCTGGCACCGGGAAAGGGGCAGCGGCCCAGGCTGGGACTTGGCTCAGCTGTGCCCTTAGGTGACCGTGGACATGGAGACCCCTGGGCTGTATGACCGCTCTGAGGCCTTTTAGTCCTGAGCTGCTATAATTAACCAATTAGAACAGTTCTCCTGTCCTGTCCAGCTGTCCATACCCATCCCAGCCCACTCCCCCCACCATGGGCACTGCTAGGGTGGATACCCCCCCAGGATCCCTCCCTTCCCTCACCCCTTCTCAGAGAGCAAGAGCACCCACAGGAGTGGGTCACCCCAGCCATGCTGATTGGCTCAGGACTGGCTACCTGATCTGAGCTGGGCCAATCAGATTCTCCCATCTAGGAAGTCCCCTTGGGGCTCGGGCAGATCTTGCTGGGTCTCCATGGACCCTTTGACCAGGAGAGATATAAAGAGGCCACCCCACAGGGGAGTAGAGGCCATGACGGGAGCTGGTGGCAGAGAAGGAGCCGTCTCGGGGACACGGGGTGGGGCTTGGGTGACTGCCGGCGAGAGGGGGTGCTCCTCGTTCAGGTTGCTGTCCTTCTCTCCAGAGGCTGAGCTGCACCCCCACGCATACTTGGGTCCCTGTGACACCAGCCATCGGGCCCAAGACCCCACATGCCCTGACCTGCCCCATAGCCTGTCGGGGAAAGGAAGCCAACCACCTCTGGCCAGGCCCCGTCGATTCCAGGCGGCAAACGAACCAAGCCCCCACCCACTCCCGGGAGGGCTCACCTGTCCTCCAGCTCCCGCTGGGCCTCCAGAGCCTCGCTGCCCTCCACCAGCCTCCAGAGAAGCGTGTAACTGGCGTTGGAGGCACGCAGAGCCCTCTGAGCAGTGGCTGTGATCTTGGCAGCTGTGTCCTTGTGGCTGCATGAAAATACAGCAGCCATGGCCCAGGCTCACAAGGCAGCGCCTGGGCCCCAACCCACAGCCCCCACGGCCTGGGCTCCTGCCACCCTGAACACAGCGCCCTCTCTGCCAGACACGTGGCCAAGGCTGACAGGAAGGGCAGGCACACCCTGTCCCTGTGACAGCGTTTATACCGGCTGCCCTGGAAGAATGAGGAACAGGACCCTGTGTCACCCATAAAACCTCACCTCGGACAGGGAGTTATGTGGTCCCCCTAACGAAGGCAGCGTGGAAGGGGGTGGTCAAGAGAGCCTGGGTTTGAATCCCGACTCTCTCGCTTGCAAGCTGTGTGTCCTTTAGCAAGTTGATTAACATCTCTGAATCAGTTTCCCTGTCTGTGAAATGGGTCTAAGGTGCCCAGAATACAGCCAGAGGGGAAGACTGTGGCAGATTCTGGGTTTTTAGGACCTTAAGTTGCTTTAAAAAAAAAATGTTTTATCGATTTTTTTACAGAGAGGAATGGAGAGTCAGAAACATCGATGAGAGAGAAATATCGATCAGCTGCCTCCTGCACTCCCCCCACTGGGTATGTGCCCACAACCAAGGTACATGCCCTTGACTGGAATCAAACCTGGGACCTTTTAGTCTGCAGGCTGATGCCCCATCCACTGAGCCAAACTGGTTAGGGCTTAAGCTGCTTCTCAAAGGTGACACAGCCCCAGTGTCCCTTGATGGACGACTGCTACAGGGAATGTGTCACAGCCACACGATAGATTGCTTGGTGTGAAAAGGAATGAAGTGCTGGGCGTGCTACACCTGTGCGATCCCTGGAGGCATTCTGCTAACTGGGAGAAACCATAGCCAAGACCATGGGTGGTGTGACCCCCCAGGGGAAGCGTGTGGAACAGGGAAAGCTATAGAGACAGGAAGTGGGTCGGTGATTGCTGAGAGGGCACAGGTATGTTTTGGGAGATGAATAATTTTCAATGATTGTGGGGTGGTTGCACAGCTCTGTGACTACACTCAGAACCGCCGGACGGTGCACTGTACACGGATGAATGTTGGGGCGCGCACACTATCGGAATAAAGCTGTTATTTTAGAAAAGACAGTGGGTACTTGGGTGCCTTTGGTCGTCCAAGGTACCTTTCGCCCCATCCCTGGCATTTCGGAGGGACTCACTCCGATCCTTCCCCCGAGAGTGACATTTCCTCCCACCAGGCAGCTCTGGTCCCGGTCTGACTCCACCACCTAGTGGGGACCCCTGTGGGCCTGGCCCCCTTAGGAGAAGGGGGGCTGGGCTCCCTCCATAAAGCGTGGGCAGGACCTCACCATGTCCCAGCGCCGGGCTCACCTCCGGGCGAGGACACGGGCCGCCGTGGCCAGCTGGCTCCAGTTGGAGGGCTGGCCGGGGACGTCCTGGGGAACCACCTATAGAGAAGAGAGGAACTGATGGCCATCCCTGCAGGCCCAGGGCCACGCCTGGCTGAGTTACCGGGCAGCACCGGGTAGCACCGGGCAGCACCAGTTCCTTCAGAAGTGCTGTTCGCAGCCAGCATCCGGGCAGCAGAGCCCTCGAATGTGGACGTGCGTCATGACACCGACCACCTGCAGGCGCTCACTGTCTGCCTGGCTATGCCTGGCTGCTGGCACGTTATCTTCCGGGACCCGCAGAGGCAGCTCTCCGTGCCTCCCATTTGGCCGAAGAGGAAACCGGGCCTCCCCCGGGTCACCAGGCACCGAGCCCAGGCGCAGGGTGGGGCGGGCGCTCCCTTGGGTACCAGAGATGCGAGGACGGAGCCCGCATGCAGGATCTCCTCCTCCGAGGACTCCAGGGCCTCTTCCAGGTCTGCCAGCTGGAAGCAGGTCTTGTCAGCTCCAGCTGGGGCACAGCGGGCACTCCTGCTCAGTGCCTGCAGCTGCTCCCGGGCAGCCTTCACGGCTCCCTCAAGGCCCGTCACCTGCACCAGGAAGGCGTCCCGGAATCCTGCAGAAAGCCCGCCATCCAGGGGGTCACGGAGCGATCAATATTTCCCACTGAAGCCCTCTCCCTCGGGGGACCCCATCTGTGCCCCCTACTCTTCCCGGGCACAGCTTACTGCTAGCACCAGGCCTGAGCACCACCAGTCAGCTCCCAAGGAAGAGCCTCCCCATTTTACAGATGCAAAGGCTGAGGCCCAGGCACCCAAGGTCCCACACGTAGGAAGTCAGCCATGGACAGGGAACTGGCAGGACCCAGACCTTCTAGGGCAGCAGGGCGAGTGGCTGTGGGGCTCAGCATGGGCGTGGCGGCACGCAGCTCCCTGTCCTGACATTAGTTTTACTAACCGTGCTCAGCTCGCCTAGGTCTGGCTGCTAAAGGAGCATGGGTATTTACCAACATGACATTTCACAAAATCATCAGTCGGCCTTCAGTGCTCCCAGAATTCCAGTGTGTCAGGCCAAACTCCACCTGGCGTCGGTAAGTCTTTTATTCATATCTGCTCACTTGTTTCCTACGCCAGGGGGATACCTGTTCAGCACCTGGGACAGCGCCTCGTGCTTATTGGTGGAGTGAGCGCATCAGAGAGCAGACTCACTGACAGTCTGGGTGGGGCCAGGGCGGGACCATTGCTACAGAAACGAGGATGATTTTAATAGTTACAACTGGGCAAGGGGCCTCTGAAGAGAGGTCCATGGGGAGGCAGGACTGCGTGTGGGAGGAAACCCCAGGGCGGGGATGTCCGGCAGGCTCTCCAAGGAAGGGGGTTCTCCTGGGGCTGAGCAGGGACCCTCAAAGCATCTGAGCCCAGAGCAAAGGGGGCACCTGACCAGCCCGCGCTGCCCCTGCCTCCCGGCCTCCCGTCATACCTTGCAGTAGGTGGTGGCCCTGGTAGCTGTCCCCCCGAGGGGCCTCTCCCTGCAGGAAGTCCATTGGTTCCCAGGGTCTTCCGCAGTCAGAGCCCTGCAGCCACCCCTCCATCAGGGTCAGCCTGGCCTTCAGCTTGGCCGCCTGGAGGGGACAGGAAGGAGATGCTGCCTGGACACCGCACTCCCCGCCCCCCGACTTGTGCCCGGGATGCCCTCCCTGAGGGTCCCTGGGCCTCACAGCTAAGCAGACACTACACCTCTGAGAAGCAGCCCTGCCTACCCCATCTCAGAGCCGCCCCTTCCCTCCCCCCACCCGCAGCACCTGCAGGCATTCAGCCCCCACACCTCTGTCCTGCCGAAGGAGGGGGCCGGGGAGGGGAGCCCGTAGACTTCCTGCCTGGCCTGGGGGATGCCCAGGACTTGGCACAGAGCAGGGGCCCCTGGGAAGTTGCTGGCAGCTTGAGGATGCTGAGCAGCATTTCCGGGCCCCGCTCCTTAGTCACCCGGACCCCATGCACTCACAGAGCACTCGCTGGGAGCCAGCTGGGGCAACTGGCAGCCACACCCTGGCTCACGCTCACCCTGGAGCCACCCTAAGGGGCAGGGGTGGCAGGGCCCCAGCCCCTCCTCAACCCCACGGTCCAAACGGCTCTGAACAACCATACGCCCTCCCATTTCTGATTTGATGGCAAAATCGGGTTCAATAAGAGTGAACTCATTTGGAAGCAAAATGGAGCCGAAGGAGGTGCCTGCGGGTGTTACTGCCCCCTTGGTGGGCCTATTTGGCCATTTTCCTGCTGGCGCGCCATTGGGTTTGGTGAGGGGCTGGCCCACGTGCCGGAGGTGGTACCCAATACTCGGCTTGGGTCATCTTTTCTGCCTACGGTACCATCTCCCAAAAGCGGGCCCCCCTGGTTTCAGGTGAGGGGTCCCAGCTGGAATCTGCTGCCTGAGCATGGGCCACGGATAGGGCTGCGAGGGCCCGAGCTCATGCTCCCGACCCTGCACTGCACCGCCGCCTGCTGGACATTCTCCTGGTGCCCAGCACAGGCATCACCCTCCGGACCCGTCCCACCAAGGGCCGCCTGTGGCCTCATTCCTGTTGAACTTGGGAAAGCGTGAGACCTGAGCGGTCGGCAAGAAAACAGGTCAGGAGCTGCTGTGCACTGAGGAGCAGGGGAGGCACAGGTGGCGCTGGCCCAGGTTGGCATGCGCCAGGGGCTGGGTGGGCACGGGGAGGAGGCAGCTGCTGGCCCTGGAAACCCTGAGAACTGAGCTGGTGCTGACTGGGACGAACAGGAGGTGGGCAGGCCTGGGCGGGGCGGGCTCACCTCCGCCTTCACCAGGGTGTAGCACGACGGGCACTCCTGGCACCGCGCCCGGTCGGCCGTGAGGAAGAAGTTGTCCTGGCAGCGGTCACACTTGTAGCCCACGAAGCCGGGCCTGCACACGCACGTGCTGTTCTCGTGGCATTGGGGCGAGGCGGCGCCCAGCGGGGAGCACCTGCAGGCTGTGGGGGGAGAGGGGAGGGAGGACAGGCAGATGGCACTGAGCACCCTGAGAACCACAGCCCCTGCAGCCTCACACCTGGCTGCTCCAGACCGCCCTGGGCAGCTCAAGTACCCTCCTGGGTCCTTCCCCGGAGACCGGGTCAGAGGTCAGAGGTGATGACTGAGATGCTGGCTTGTTTCCGAGTTCCCGCACCTGAGGAACTGCCACGCCATCTAACTGCACAGCGAGGAGGCCGAGGCCCGGGAGGGGATGCCCGGGCTGGTCCCCAGGAACGGGCAGCGGCGTCTGGGACTCAATTCCCAGCCCCCGGGCACCCCTGCTCGCGCACAGTGGGTCTGCGCGTCGGCTCGGAGACCCGCCTGGGTCTGCCCTCTCTCTCCTGCTGCGTGGCCGCCTTCCCCGGGGTCCCTTTGCCCAGAAACCCCAGGCCACACACCCCGGGGAGCCGGGAGGGACCCGCTTCCTTACCCCGGCAGCCCTTGATGGAGAAGCTGAAGAAGCCCCGCTGGCATCGGTCGCAGGCCTGGCCCTCGACGCCCGGGCGGCAGGGGCACTGCCCCGTCTCGGGGTGGCACTGGTTCTCCTGGGAGCCCAGCGGGTGGCACGTACAGCTGTGACCGGGAAGGACCGGGCGTGAGTGAGCTCTGGGCCACCCCAGCCCCCGGTGCCACTGCTACCGCCGGGAGGGGCCTGCAGGCCTCGCCCTCTGCCCACGAGGTCCCACCTCCGTGTCTGTCCGTGTCCAACAGCCCCCCCTGGGCGGCGCCCTGGGGAGCAGTCCCCCCCCCACACACACACACACGCCGCGGCTGTGGGGACCATACCCCTACGGGAAGTCAGGATGCGCTCAGCACTGCCCAAGGTGCTGCCGTGGCCAAAGTCACAGAGCAACAGCGGCACTGAGAAGGGAATCCGATGCCACGCCGCCCCTGCCCACCAAGACATCCCCGAGGGCTGCCCTTGGCCTGCCTCCTGGGCTGGCAGGGCCGTGAGTCTGACCCCCAAGGGACTGTCCCTTTGTCCCCCTTCAGGGGAGGACACCATGAGCCAGCAATGGGCCTGGACACACATTCCAAGCCGGGCCCCTCCCTGGGAGCCCCTCGTGCTGCCTTCCCCTGCGGGGGGACCCCGGGGGCCGTGCACCCCCAGCCTCACCACCCACCTCCGGCAGCCCCTCCCGGGCTGGAGGTCGTAGAAGCCCGGGCTGCAGCGGCCGCAGTCCCGTCCGGTCACGTGAGGCAGGCAGGCGCACTGGCCGCTCACCGGGTCGCAGGGTCTCCGCGCGCTGACGGAGCCCCCGGGGTGGCAGCTGCAGGCTGGGGGTGGGGGCAGGAGAGGGAGTCGGGGAACCGTGGAGATCGCCTGCCCAGGCTCCGGGCCCAGGAGGTGCAGGGAAGATGGGCTGCCCGGGGAGATGGCTCCGCTGCCCAGACGCTCGGCCAGGCCCCCTCTGGGCCCATTTGCTATGCACCGTGGAGAAGGCCCTGGGAGCCCGCCGGGCCCCGTAGGCTAGAGACAAGGCCAGAGGCTCAGTCCCTGTCACAGGCAGACACGCCCCTGGACCCGCTGTTTGGGACTCGGCCCAGCTCTCCTGGGCCCAGAGAACAAGAGGCCAGGGGCGCGCTGACAGTGCCCCATGGAGAGGGGCCCGGAGCGAGTCTGGGCACACGCTGAGCAGCTCCCTGCAGCGCCACGGAGCCTTCCCCGGGGGGTGGGCACCGGGCCCTCTGAGTGGGCACCGGGCTGCGTGCCAAGCAGGAGGGGAGGGAAGGAAGCACGTCGTGGCCAGGAGGCCCGGGTGACAGGTGCCGAGGCCATCGGACAGTCCCCTGGCTCCCGCGGACAGTGAGCTGAGCGCTGACGGCCCAGGCAGGAGGAAAAGGCAGGGCAGAGCCGGGCAGGCCCCGGGGAGAGCGTGGAGCAGAGCAAACCCTGTCACTTTCTGCACAAGCGACAGAGGAGGGTGGACCCGGCCGGAGCCCCACGGCCTCGGGGCGCGGCTGGGGGGCGGGGGGACACTCACCCACACACTTGTTGGCGGGCCGCGGGGCCAGCGCACTGCCGTAGAAGCCCTCCTGGCAGTGCTCGCAGCGGGCGCCCGTCGTGTTGAACAGGCAGCGCAGGCAGTGGCCGGACAGCGGGTCGCAGTTGCCCACGGCGTTGGGGTCCACGTTCCCGCTGCACTGGCACCGCTGGCAGGGCTGGGGGTCCCCAGAGAGCCCCAGCGGGTCCCCAAAGAAGCCATCGTCGCAGGCCTCACAGCGCCGTCCTGGGGGAGGAAAGGCCCGTGGGGGAGCGGCACGCGGGAGGCCAGCCAGCAGGGTCCACGGGATGAGGGGGGCGTGAGCCGAAGCAAGCACCCTCGTCTCTTTGTGGGCAGAGCATGGGCTCCGGGGTTGCTGACCTGGGGTGGGGCCTCGCTCAGCCATCTGCTGGCTGTGTGGTCTTGGGCAAGTCACTGGGCCTCTCTGAACTCCGGGTTCCTGTCTGCAAAGCAGGGCAGGACTCTCGAGAGTTTTGGGGAGATCACTGTGAGCTCCTGGCACGGGAACTGGTCAATAGCAGTGGCTGCCATCTCCTGTTCCCCATCGCCCATGTGGTCATCACCGTCCTCCTCATCAGCACCTTGGTCATCTTCACCACCGCCACCACCATCACCTTGATCAGTCTCTTCATCCATGAACTTCATCTTGACCAACACCACCGTCCCTCCCTTAGCAGCATCTTCATCACCATCGTGTCCCCTTCATCGTCATATCATCTTCATCACCATCTTTGTCACCATCTTGTCCCCCTTCATCATCATCATCTTTGTCACCATCTTGACCATCAGACACTTCACTGTCATCATTTCATCTCAATCATCACCTTTGTCATCATCATCTGCATCGTCATCTTGATCATTGTCTTCTTCCTCATCATCTTCATCACTGTCTTCCCTGTCACTCTCTGCATCCTCTTCCTGGTCACCATCCCCTGTGCTGCCGCCACCCTCTTCCTCATCGTCCTCCTCTCCAGCACGTCCCACCTGAGCTGTGGCTGCTTCCTCCTTGCGGCTCCTGCTCCCTTCTCCTCTCCTGCTTCCCAGCCCTGACCTTCCTCTGGAGTGTTTGTTTCCGACTCCTGGCCCGCCCCCTGGGTTTGAACTGGGGTGGCTGCCCCACTTCCCAGCCCTCAGGGTCCCTGGGAGTTTCAGAAAAGGTGGTGCTAGGAGGCTTTTGGAGGGCAGGGACCTGGGAGGTCCACTCTGGACACAGATGGGACATAAAAGAACATCACGGCCCCTCGTGTGTATGTCTGCAGGAGACGGACAGCTGGGGACCCACAGCCCTCACAGTCCCTCAGTCCCTGGGGGCGGCGGGACCACAGGCACACGCTCTTCTTGCTGCCTGCACGTTACGTTCCTCTTTACGCGTTTGCCGGCAGTTTCAATCGTTACAATGCGTATCACCTGCTTTATGATTTAATTAACGGCCGCGGCCACCGTGACAGAGAGTGTCTGTGTCCTCAGTGCTCATCGTTCAGACGAAGCCAAGTTAACGTTACTGAGGCAGGCACCTTGAAGATGGAGAGGGGGAATACTAAGACAGAAAAGACAAGAATGGGAGCAGAAGGGTCTGCGGGGAGCTCAGGGGAGAACTGTGCCTGGCCCCGGGACTCTGAAATAGGCGTGAAATAAGAGGGCAGGAGACCGGAGCGGTGATGCAGGCGGAGGCCCCGCAGGCAACCAGCCATTCGCTGGACCTGGAGAGGACAGCTCCGAGGGCCGAAACGCTGTGAGGTCCCGGAAGGGCTGCGGGGGCGGGAGTAGGGGGTGGGGAAGGTCAGCATGAAAATACAAAAGAAGAAATAAAAGTTCTGGAGAAGGAAGGTGGCGGTAGGACAGCAATATGAGAACAGTGAATGCCACTGAACTGTTCACTTAAAAAGGCTTAAGCCTGGCTGGTGTCGCTCAGTGATTGAGCATCAACCTATGAACCAGAAGGTCACAGTTCAAATCCCAGTTAGGGCACACGCCCGGGTTGCAGGCTTGATCCCCAGTAAGGGGCGTGCAGGAGGCAGCGGATCCATCATTCTCTCTCATCACTGATGTTTCTTTTTTCTTTTTCTTTTTTTAAATATGTTTTATTGATTTTTTACAGAGAGGAAGAGAGAGGGATAGAGAGTTAGAAACATCGATGAGAGAGAATCATCGATCAGCTGCCTCTTGCACACCCCCTACTGGGGATGTGCCCGCAACCAAGGTACATGCCCTTGACCAGAATCGAACCTGGGACCTTTCAGTCCGCAGGCCGACGCTCTACCCACTGAGCCAAACCAGTCCCGGCTCATCACTGATGTTTCTAATTCGCTCTCCCTCTCCTTTCCTCTCTCTTTAAAATAAAACCAATAAAAATATTTTTACAAAATGCTTTATATGGCAAATGTTATGCTACACATTTTGCCATAATTTGAAAAAATTAATGGCAGAATAAACCAAAAATGCCTCGCATTGTACACTGAAGCGGGTGGATTTGCAGGGCATGTGAGTGCCATCTCAGCAAAGCTGTCAAAAACGCAGGTGTGCAAGGCAGCTGCGTCCGCATGGGAGTGAGGATGGGGAGCTGGCATTTTCTAAAAGCTGAGCGTTCTTTTCCTTTTGTTAATCCTCATCCGAGCATTTTTTTCCTCATTGATTTTTTTCAGAGAGATTGGAAAGGATGAAGGGAGGGAGGGGAGGAGAGAAAGACTTGAATGTGAGAGAGACATATAGATTGGTTGCTTCCCACACAGGACCTGACCAGGGCCAGGAATTGAACCCACAACCCAGCTATATGCCTTTGACTGGGAATCAAACCTGAGACCTTATGGTTCTCAGGCAGGTGTTCTAACCACTGAGCTACCAACCAGGGCTAAAAGATGCATGTATAATGTGAGGTTTTCTGCCTTGATGCATCTGCCAGGGATTTCGGAAATACAGACTCCTGAGATGCATCCCTCGCCAAGCCAGGCTCTGTGGGGCCTGGGCCCAGACCTGGGGATTTTTCCAGTCTCACCCGGATATGCTCAAGGGCCCAAGTTCTGCTGGGAACCCACAGCAGCCGGATCCTAACTAAGGTGCCGTGGGACCCCGTGTCCCCAGAGGTCAAGCCTGCCACCCCTAAGCTGGCCCTCCCTCATCTGCCCCACCCCACGCCCAGGACCCCACTTCTGAAGCCCAAGCAGGGGCAGGACCCAGGGCACAAGCCACTCACCTCTCTGACCGGGGGGACAGTGGGTGCACACCACCTCCCTGCTCTCCGGGAGGGTCGTGCAGGGCGACCCTCCAGGGCACGGGCAAGGCTGACAGGCGTCGGCCCGGCCCTCGAAGGGGTTGCCATAGAAACCTGGCAGGCAGCGCTCACAGGACGGGCCCTCGGTGTGGTGGCCGCACTGGCAGATCCCTGAGGAGCGAGAGAAGCACCTGCTTAGCACTGTCTGAGCCGGGGGAGGGTGTGTGGGGGTGCAGCAGGGCCCGGGGATGAAGACTCCACTCGGTGTGAACCCGGGCAAACAGCCTAACGCCCTGGTCCTCAGTGTCCTCACCTGCAGAATGGGTACAACAACCTCAATTGGGCTCTGCCCGCCACGGTTCCTACCGGGATCTAATGCAGCCAGAGTGCCTGCACAGTCCCTGGCGCAGAGCGGTCATTAGTTATCATTCTCGTGTTCTGTTCCCGCACCTCTGCCCGGACCGGCAGGCAGCGCCGCCAACCCCTCCGCCCGTTTCCCCTCTCCCTCCTCCGTGTCCTCCTAACGGCAGGGCCCAGTGGGACAGGAACAGACTCAGACTTCTGGGGGTGACATGAGGCTCCGTGTATGGGGTCTCTGGGTTCTCGGTGTGGCCCCCTGCCCACAGGTTTCTGGGGGGGGGGGATTCTACAACCCCCTTCCACGGCACTGGAGCCTGCTCAGAGTGGGGGACTGGGGACAGAGGCCCCGGCCAGAAACTGGATCAGGAGCCTGATTGAGGAGACTGCCACAGGGGAAAGAGGGAACCAGGTGGAGGTGGGGGGAGGGGGTTTAAGGGGAACCATCATGCCTGCCCGGCTCTCCACTGGTCCCTGCCCCGGCACAGCACACACACACACACACACACACACACACACACACACGCTCATGACTCCTCCTTCTGTCCAGGGAGCGTCGCAATGGCCCCGCCCACTGGACACATGAACGGGGTGTGGCATGGCCAGGGGATCTGAGGGATGACAGATGGGTCCCCTCTCACAAGTGGGCTCTGATTCCTCGGGAGGGGCTGCCTGGAGCATTGCAGGTAGGATTACGAGCCCCCCATCTGGGCTCGACGGGTGATGCCTGCCACGGGCACAAGCCGGGCGGCGGCACCTATGCTCCCTGTGCGTCCTCCTGGCCAGTCTGCTGGTGCCCAGGCGCCTGTGCTCTGTCAGCTCCGGATGGGGCCTGCGGGAAGCTGAGACCCGCCTTCTCCCGGACAGCAGCTGGCGCTGACCCCCCGACCTGTGTGAGAGGCCTGGGCCAGCCAGGTCCCGCACCCCCTGCCCAGAGACCTCCAGGGAGGTCCTTCTGTTTCCTCTCTGGTCCGTGGGGAGGAACCGCAGGCAGTGGCCTTGTGGGAGGAGCAGCTCTGCCACCTGCTGGCCGTGTGGCCTCTCTGCGCTTTAGGCCCCTCGCCGGGTAGAGGTGGCGGGAATGGTCCCGCACGCCTGGGGGAATCTTGCAGGACGCAGTGATGTGGTGGCTAACCAGGCGCCCAGGGCGTGGAGACCACTTGATTGGCACTGGGCTCAGAGGGCCTGGCACAAGCCCACGGCCCACCCCGTTCTGAGGCAGCCCCAGCGGGGGCGGGGACACTCACCGGTGTCGGGGTCGCAGGTGCCGTGCTGGTTGCAGGTGCAGGGGACGCAGCTGGCATAGGGCCCCCCCAGGGGTGTCTCCCTCTTGTATCCCGGGGCACAGGCTTCACAGAACTGGCCCACGTACCCCCTGGGGCAGGAGCACATCTCCACCCAGGAGGCTGGGGGCGAGAGGCCCCGCTGGGCCGACAGGAGCCGCACCTCACTCAGGAGCACTTGGCCTGGGAGCGAGGGGGGGGGGCACCGGGGTGGGAGGGGAGAGAGAGAGAAAGAGAGAGAGAGAGAGAGAGAGAGAGAAAGAGAGAGAGAGAGAGAGAAGCGTTTCTCCCAAACCTTTCTATTCACATGTGACAGGCTGAGGGTTACTGGCCCATGTCTACAGAAGGGCCGGAGAGATGTGCCCAGAATGCTATTCGTGGGAAAGGGGGTTCAGGTTCGGGGCGGGTGGACGGAGGGTCCGTATGTCCGCCTGCCCCTCCAGTCCGTCCCCAGCACAGCACGAGCTGGCTAGGTGGAGCCTGTGAGCATCGGTGACTGAGGGTGAGGGGGTGACGGGAGCCTGGGAGCTGCTGGAGAGGGGGAACATGGACTTCCTGCAGGAGCCTCAGCCAGGGGCCTGGAGTGGCCTGGGAGCAGGGGAGCCATGGGGGGTCCTGGGGGTGAAGGCCCGCCAACCACAGCTGCAAAGAGAAGGAACTGGACAGGCTGATCCCACCCCCAAGCCTCGGACTCAGAGGGGAGGGAGGGCTGGCTTCGAAGGAGCCCATCGGCCCTGGGAGTTCTGTCACACGGCGGGCTCCTGCAGGGGGACCCTGCCACCCGGGCTGGCACCAGCGGCTCGCGGCTGCCTCACTGGCCAGGCACCTGTCGCTCCAGCCTCTGCCCCTGCCCTCAGGACCCGGCTGCCCCCTGGTTACCCGGCTTTGGGCAAGGTCCCAAAAGCAGGGAGCCAGACTCACTGACCGGATGGGCCGGGGCGGGTCCGCAGGCGCAGGGCGGTCAGGTTGGCGAGCAGCCGCTGGAAGTGGAAGGCGGGCAGCGGGGGGTCGGCGTCCTCCGAGGTCTCCTGCAGCCTGGGGGCAGGGGGGCGACCAGACCCTGAGGCAGGCTGGGGGGGAGGGGTCCCCTGACCCCCCAGCCCCCCTCGGGACGGAGCGGGACACTCACTGGAACGTGAGCTGCACCTCTCCGGGCGGCGCGGCGTCCCGGGGGCCCGGCGGGCGGGAGGGGGGCAGCGTCAGGGCCAGGCCGCCCCCCTCCAGCCTCAGCTGCACGGGAGGCGGGGAGCCCCCGGGAGGGACCCGGAAGGTCAGGGTGAGGGGCTGCCCGTAGCTGAACCGCTGGTCGCCCAGGAACTTGGCTGAGGACGAGAGAAGGCTGTGACCGTCTGCACGTCATGAGCCTGGTTTCAACGGCGGCTGCTTTCCTGGCAACTCAAACCCCAAACGAGACAGAAGGATGGCCAGCAGGATGCAGAGGTGCCTGTGTGGCTGGTGCTCAGGGCTCGGCCACGCCTGGGCTAGTGCCCTGCGTCCCTCCTGTGGTCAGGAGGTCCCTGTCCTGACCTCCGGCTGTCACGTCTGACCGGGGGTCTCGCAGGTGATCCCGTGGGACAGGGGAGTGAGTGGGGAGCAGACACACCAGAGGTGCCTGCCCCTTCCCCGGGCAGAGCCACGCGGACCACACGCGTCAGACGGAGTGACTCAGAGCGAGGACCGGGGACGCGTGTCACGTCGGGGCTGAGCAGGTGCCGACGGCCCCAGAGGCCACGCGTCCCTCGGGAGTCGGAGGGCGCTCCCAGCGGGAAGAGGCGGTGGCATTGCACACACACAGAGGGCACACAGAGGGCCAGGGCCCCGCTGCCTCCTCCCCGACCATCGCTCTGGGTGAGCTGAGGCTGGGGCCAAGGAAGGACAGGGTTGAGGGTTCAAAACAACCTGGAACTTCTTGCTCCTGCAGGAATCCCACGGCTCTGGCGTGGGCGCAGTGCTGGGGTGGGGCTGGGGGCTGATGGGAAGAGGGCGGGGACTGCCTGGGGTGTGACCGTGGCCTGACGGAGCCCTGGGTGGCACGGCTGTGACCGGAAGCGGGGGCTCCAGGCGCCGCCCCGCCGCAGGGCATGTGGTCGGCAGAAAACGACCCTCAGGATGTCTGGGTCCCCATCCTCCCCACCGCGAATGCGTTACGCTGCTCAGCTGGGGGTGGGCTGGGGGAGGTGCAATCAGGTGGCAGGTGGAAGTCGGGCTGTTCACCAGAGACCTGACAGTAGAGATTCCCAGCTGGGCCCCACGTGGCCACAGGTCCTTAAAGATGGACGAGGAAGGCGGCGGGGCTGGCGTCAGAGGCCGCCAAGGAGCACGGTGGCCTGAGAAGCCGGGGGCAGGAACGGATTCCCTCTGGGGCCTCTGGGCAGCGGGTCTGCCCACACCCCGATGTCAGCCCAGAGGGACCCCCAGATGCGCTCCGGACCCCGAAAGGCAGGTTGTGCTGTTCCCAGTGGCTGCGCCGGTGGCCGTGTCTGCGTGGCGGCAGGAAACAGGCCCCGCGGCCCGTGGTACCTGGTGCTGTGAGCTCCTCCGCCTCGGGGTGCAGGGGGAGCCCCCTGGGGCTCCATCGTGCGGGCCGCCCCGTGTCCCCCGCGCGGCCGGCCCGCCAGCCATCGGCTCCTGCACAGCAACACACACACAGGCCCCGTGAGAGGGGCTTCCCGGCCCTCAGGGCGCCGCCCGGAGGCCTGCGCTCCCGGAGGCAGTGCTGGGACAGGCCGGTGGCTCCCCTCCCCTCCCGGGAGCCAGGGCAGCTCTTAGCCGGGAGGCAGCCCCGGAAGCAGCGAGAAAGCCCAGGGACTGGCCCTGTCTGGGGTGCGTCAGACCTGTGCTGCCCCTCCGTGGGCTTGGAGCAAACACGAAGGCACAGCCCGCCCGCTGGGACTTCCCAGACCTCCTGGCCTGGCCCCCACGGCCCCTGTGCTTCCCGGGGCCTGGCAGGGGCCCCTGCACCCGGGGAGGCCGCCTGGTTAGGAAGCAGTCAGCGTGAATGGGACCAGCCTCCGGCCCCGGCCCGGTCCAGCCCACACTCGCCCTGGTGACGGCAGTGTAGCCATCACACCACGCAGTCTAGCAAAGAGCAAGTGACCCCAGGGGGATGGGGGGGGGGATGGGGTGGAGGCCCAACACCTGGGGCCCCTGCAGGGTGAGGAGGGAGGGATGAAGAAAGGGAGAGAAGTCAGAAAGGAGAGGCCTGGGCCTCCTCGGTCCCAGACTAGGTTCTGCTCCTCCCTGGCTGTGTGACCCTGGGCAAGTGGCTTAACCTCTCTGACGTCGTTTCCTCCTCTGCAAATTGGGGGCAATGGCGTACTGTGGTCCCGGCAGCATTCCCTAGCGTTTGTATGAATTCCCTGAGAGATCCCCGAGACTCCGTGGGGGTCCATGGGGTCAAACTAACACTGAGATGCATGTGTATTCTCCGTTCTCTCTCTCACAAGCAGAGTGGAGTTTTCTAGAAGCCACCAGGCGTGTGACATCACAACAGACACTGGCAGAAGCCGTTGTGAGAACCAGCCAACTTCTGTGAAGCCAGACGGGAGGGCGATGCGCAGAGATGGAGGGCGAGGGGCGTTAGTCTTTTACAAAGTTACTTCTGCCCTGGCCGGTGTGGCTCAGTGGATAGAGCATCGGCCTGTGGACTGAAGGGTCCCAGGTTTAATTCCATTCAAGGGCGCATGCCTGGGTTGCAGGCTCGATCCCCAGTAGGGGGTGTGCAAGAGGCCGAGCAATGATTCTCTCTCATCACTGATGTTTCTATCTCCCTCCCCTTCCTCTCTGAAATCAATAAAAGTATATTTTAAAAAAAATTTCCCAGATGGATGCCATTTTTTATTCTATGCTTTCTATTATTGTTTTATTAGTTTTTTTTATTAATATCTATTATTAAAAACTATCATTGTTTTTAGTAATAGATCTTTTCAAATCACTGCTTTAATTTCTAATAGAGAAAGTATCCACACTCACAACCCACATGAGTCAAAGTGCTTTGAGGGCCTCAATAATGTTCAAGAGCGTAAAGGAGTTCTGAGGTCAAAAAGGTTGGGAACTTCTGTCTGAGGGTGATGGTGAGATAAGGAGAGGAAACCAGGGCCTCGCCCAAAGTGAGGGCAGACGGTGACTGTTCTCAGGAGCTGTACCAGGGGTCTGGGCCTAGGCTCACACCCCACACTCCCGCGCCCCATTCCAAGCCCCTCTCTGTCCTGCTTCCTGTGAGGCATCCAGCAGAGGGCGCACTGCCCCCACGCCTAGGGTGCCCCGGAGCCAGTGCCTGAGTTTGTCTCTGGCTGACACTCTCCTCCTCCCTGCAGGAGATGTAGGACGTCCCCGCCCCCCTCTCCCTGAACCCCACCCCGGGGCCCTCCCATGGGGGGCACAGCAGGAGTCCATGCAGGCGGGAATTAGTGCAGAGCTCAGAGCTCTGACACTTTCCTGCTCCTAAGATGCCCCTGTGCCACCTGGAGTTGGGGACCTAGGGCTCCATGGCACCCCTGGACCCTGGGCCCTGGGCCCAGCGAGAACACCTCACAGCGGCTGAGAGACAAACCCAGACGCTGGCAAACCCTGGTGCCCACACCGAGGTCCCGTTACCTCCCTTTTCTGGGCCTCAGGGGCCTCACCTACAGAACGGGAGTGAGAGCCCCGCGCGGTTCCCTGCGTATGGAGAGCGCCCTGCCTGGCACACAGCAGGCGCTCAGTCAACGCAGGCCAGGAGCTTGAGCCAAACCCCCAGGACTAGCTGCACCAAGGCAGGCCAAACTTGACCTTGAGTGATTGGAAATTTCCCCAAGGGATCCCAAGGCTGCCGTAGGCCCCACCTTGCCCACAGGATAAAGGATGCTGGAGGCTGAGGGAAAGGCAGGGCCGAGAGGGAGCGGAGGGGTGCGGGGAGGCACAGAGGGACCATCTTGCATGGCTGGCATGGGTGCCTGTGTGGGGGGGTTCTGGGCTGGGGCAGAGGCTGCCCCCCCGTTCCTCTCCGCCCTCCCACCACTGCAGGATCGCCCAGAGCAGGGCGGCACCCCTCCCTCGGGCTGGGAGAGGCCTCGGCGGCGGCTCTGTGCTCCGCTTACCCAGGCAGAAGTCGGAGAGGACGTGGTGGGCCCGGAAGCCGGCGGCGGCCGCACACACCTTGGAGTGGCCGTAGCAGAAGCAGCTGCTGCAGCCGGCTGGGTTGTGGGGCTGGAGGTTAAAGGTCCCCGGGCGACATCTGAAATGGAAGCAGGCCACGCCCACGGGGCCGAGTGAATGGCGAGGCTGAGGGTCCCAGCTGGACCTGTGCCAGTCCAGAACCCCCGGGGAAATGTGAACACATCTTTTCCAGGCTGACAGGAGGTTTGCAGAGCTGGCACAGCGACCGGGGCCTCCTGCCCCAGCTTCCCCGGTGGCCACGCCCGACATCCCCATGGGACACTGATCACAGCCAGGGGTCCCCACCGGCTCCCGTTCCTGGTGAAAGTCCAGACTGAACTGGATTCGCCCCTTTCCCCACAAATGTCTTTCCTGCTCCCACGTTCCATCGGGACACAGCGTAGCCTTTAGCCTAAGGTGACCAAACGTCTCGCTTTTGGCGGGACAGTCCCGATTTTTAACAGCGTCCCTCTGCGGGACGCGGGATAAATGGTTAAAAATCGGGACTGTCCCGCCAAAAAAGGGATGTCTGATCACCTTACCTTAGCCCTGTCCTCAGTCTCCCCAGTCCCCACGGCCGCTCCGTCTCCCCTGGGCTCCCGCGACCTTGACACTTTGAGGAGCACTGGCCAGGTTTGTTTGTAGCGCGTCCCTCGGGTTGGGTCTGCCTGGTGGTCTCTCGGGATCAGACCGGGCGATGGATATTGGGAAGAAATGGAGCGAAGCGGCCTCCTCGCCCCGACACGTCGTGGGCAACGATGCCCCTCCCTGTGCCACCTCTGGCCACACAACCGTCACCTTAACCGCTCTGTTAAGATGCTGCGTGCTGGGCTCCTCTGCTACTAAAGGTCACACTCTGCTAGAAGCAAATCACTCATCCGCCCACGGTCACATCCAGGGGCGTGAGGCTCCGCCTCCCGGAGGGGGCGGGGGGCGTCAAACACCTTGGGCATCGCTGAAACCACCACAAGGTTAAGATGCATTTTGAGGAGATGTTTGGGGGCAGAGAGTATCCTGTTTCTCCTTCAAGTCCCGCCCACTCACAGCAGCTGCCAGCCGCAGCTCCTGCCCAGCTCAGATGCTAACGAGGACTTCCTATGCCCCTCCTTCCTTCCACAGGAGTAATTTGGAATTCTGCCCTGGCTGGTTCGGCTTGGTGGATAAGAGCGTCAACCTGTGGACTGAAGGGTCCCGGGTTCGATTCCGGTCAAGGGCTATGGGCTTGACCCCTAGTAGGGGGCGTGCAGGTGGCAGCTGATCAGTGATTCTCTCTCATCGCGGATGTGTCTCTCTCTCTCTCCCTCTCCCTTCCTCTCTGAAATCAATAAAAATGTATTTAAAAAGGTAATAATAATAATTTGGGATTCCGCAGGGAAGACGGGGCCCTCGGTCCTGTGTGTTTATTGACTCGTCTCTGTGCACCGGGCGGATGGGGCATTTGTTTTGCCTCCGGTTGGAACCCGGCCGCGGGACACAGGCCCGTCCGGGCTGGCTTTGTTTTTGTTTTTGTGTTTTTCTTGGTTGTTTTTTAGACCTGTGTTTGTTTTTAAGCACTTTTTTTTTTTTTTTATAAATAAAAAGTCTGTTTTTCTTTCCGGGCGCTACAGGACACGCGAGTTCAGCCCGAAGCAGCTGCTTCTCCCGGAGCCCGAGAGGCGGGGACATACAGGCCTGGTCTGCGGCCGGCCCCTCTGAGCCCCGGACAGCACACTCTGGGTCTTGAGAAGCTGCCGCCGCCCCAACGCCCGCAGGCTCCCAGCACCCGTCGGACGGCTCCCGTCCCTCAAAGGGGCGGGCGGCTCAGACAGGGACCGGCCCAGGGTGCGGGCGGTGGGGCAGCGCCGTGGGAGAACCGGGTGGCATCTGTTCCCTGACTTCATGCTGCCTCCTCACTTGAGGGGTCTCAGGGGGAGGGAGATGAAGCAGGGAGTCCAGGTCCCACCCCAGGGCCCAGGGGCCGTGCGTGGACGAGGTGGGGTGGGGGGCAGCCTGAGGCTGGCTATGGGCAGAGTCAAAGCCAGGGTCTGCCATGCGGCTTTGGCGCTGGATTCTTCCTGAACCACTGCGGGCCAGCGCGGACTGCCCGGAGTGGACAGTCCACAGTGTCAGCCTGTGTCAGATCCTTCACACCCAGGGCCCACGGCCAGGGAAGCAGGGTCCCTGGCAAACCCTGCGCTGGCTGCACCGGCTTTCAGAGTTGGGAGACAGAGCCAGGAACACAGTGTGCGCCTGAGGATGGAAACCGCATCCGTGGGCCAGCCCCATGGCGGAGCTCGGAGCCCCAGACTCACGAAGGAGGAAACTGTGCAAAGTCCTGCTGCCTAGTGAGCTATAAAAGCGCATGTGTGCCATGATGGGACAGCAGAGAGCGTAGGAGGAGCTTCGTGGAGCAGGGCATAGAGAAGGATTCTGAGGATAAAGTCTGCTGGCCCATTAGTGTCCGCCCTGGTGGGAGATGATGGAGGGTGGGTGGGGTTGGTGGTAGTGTTCCATTAGTGATGTCTGCCCTGGGTGTGGGATGGGAGGGTGTGGTAGTGCTCCATTAGTGATGTCTGCCCTGGGTGTGAGATGGAGGGTGTGGCAATGCTCCATTAGTGATGTCTACCCTGGTGTGAGATGGCAGGTATGGCAGTGCTCCATTAGTGATGTCTGCCCTGGGTGTGGGATGGGAGGGTGTGGTAGTGCTCCATTAGTGATGTCTGCCCTGGTATGGGGTGGAAGGGTGTGGCAGTGCTTTATTAGTGATGTCTGCCCTGGTGTGGGATGGGAGGAGGTGGCAGTGCTCCATTAGTGATGTCTGCCCTGGATGTGGGATGGAGGGCTATGGTACGGGTGTCATATATTTGCTGTCCCTGGATTAAGTGATCTCTCCTATCCTTCCCAGCTGGTTCTTTTCAGGATTATGAACTAGACACAGAGATGTATTTTCAAGGCTATGAACCATCTGAGGTGCTGGGCCACAGCATACACAGAGCAATAAAACCTTCCGGTGATGCCTGGGTGGCAGGTGCATGGGCTCCAGGAAGGGTGCCAGGTGGGGGGCTGCCTGAGTCTGCGAGGACCATGCTGCCCAGCCCCGCGGCCACTCCTCACAGGCTGATTACCCGACGCGCTCGCCTACCTGTCACACAGGCCGCCTTCCACGTTCTCCCTGCAGGGGCAGCGCCCGCTGCGGGGGTCACAGGTGCCCCGGCTGCCGGCGGGATTGCAGGTGCAGGGCCTGCCAAGGGCGGGACGTGGGGAAAGGTGAGCGGCTCCAGAACAGGAACAGCCCCTCCTCCTGGGAAGGAGCCCCCACCCTTCCCCCCGAGAGGACCGGAGGCAGACCGGCCCCTGAGCCTGCATCCCCGGCTCCACCGCTCCCACCTCGCCGAGGAGTGGCAACCCGTCTGCCTTCCCACCACTCACCCGTCCATCCAGTCACCTGTCCGCTCACTCATCCATCTGTGCACCCTCCCACCCACCTGTCCATGTACCCACCCACCCACCCACCTGTTCACTGCCCCGCTCCCCCCGCAAGCACCTTCCATCCAACCGCCCATCTGGTCCAAACGCCCCCATGTGCCCCTGCGGGGCCGCCCGAACCGCGGCGCCGCCCCCTCACCTGCAGCCGCCCTCGCTGAGCGAGTGGAACCCGGGCCGGCAGCGGTCACACTTCCAGCCCGTCACGGTGGCCTTGCAGGGGCAGGTGCCCGAGCCGTCGCACTGCAGGCGCAGGGAGCCTGGGGGCGGGGGCGGGCACAGGGCGTCAGGGGCCGGAACGGGGTGAGGCTGGCGGCCGGGGCGGCAGCGCCCACTCACCGGCCGGGTGGCAGTCGCAGGGCTGGCAGGGCGCCCGGGGCTCCCAGCGGTAGAAGTTCTCCCGGCAGAGCTGGCAGTGCGGTCCGGCCGTGTGGTCCCGGCAGCGCAGGCAGCGGCCGCCGTGGCCCGTGCTGCGGTAAAGCTCCAGGTCGAACGTGCACTGATCCGAGCGGCCGCTGCAGTCGCAGGCTGTGGGCGGAGGGAGGGGTCAGCGGCCGTGGCAAGTCCGTGCCAATCAGCCTCCTTCTGTGCAGTGAGCGGGCAGCTCGGGAAAGGCCGAAGATGGCGTTCAGGCCCAGCTTGATCAAGCATGCGGAGAGCGACGGATCGATCTTCCAAAACAGGGTACTTTTATGAGCAGAGGGGGTACCGCTAATAAATACGCCAAAACGCAGGGCCCTCGGCGGCCAGCGAGGAGGGACAGCCGCCTGGTCAGGAGTCACCGACAGGCCGCCTCGGAGCGGCGGTGTGACTCGCTGTAGGATCTGTGTGGACCTGCGTGGACCTGGCCCCCGGGGATCACGGGGCAGCTCGGAAGCATGGAGAGTCCACGCCGCCCTTCACGCACTCCCTGCTTCATTTAAAACACCCACGTGCTAAGAATGGGCTCTGAGACGGCTCCTGTGGGGAGCCCAGGGCGGGGAGCCGGTGGGCAGTACGATCCCCGCTCCCGTGTGCACACCGCACACGGAGGGGGGCCAGATGCAGCCGCCCGAGGACACCCTGCAGGGGAGGCGCGGGGAGCTGAGGAGGGACCCTACAGCCGTCCTGGGGGAGGGGCAGGCCTCCTCGGAGGGAGTCACAGCTGCAGAGTCATCTGAGGGGTGAGCAGGAAGGAGCTGGCGGTGCAGAAGGGGACAGGAGGGAGGGGAGAGTCCCGGGCAGGAGATGGGAGCAGAGGATACCCTGTGGAAGCAGAGAAGTAACATTCCCCCAGAATCTGTGCAGGGGGCGGGCGTGTCCTGTGATGGCAGGGAGAGGGTGGGGACCTGGTGCAGGGAGAGGGGACAGGGAGGGGTGCAGGGCCAGCCCAGAAGCCAGAGGTCGGCAGAGCCGGCCGGGGAGGCAGGCTGTGAACTCTCCCGTGGAGGGGGGCTGTGGGGGGTTAGGCAGGTGAAGGCAATCACACTGGCACTTTGGAGAGCCCCCAGGGCTGTAGGTGGGAAGCAGGGCCAGCAGGGAGGGGGGCCTGGGTGCCCAGGGAGGGGGAGGGGGCACTGGCTGCAGAGAGGGACAGGGAGGGGCTGGAGGGATGGGGACAAGGCCGGATTCGGGGCTCGGGGGCTGCTGGGACTGGGGGCGGGGGATCTCGGGGGGTCAGGCACGAAGCCCGGTTTCCAGGCTGGTGACTGGGAGGACAGAGATGTGACCACACCCGGTGACTGGGAGGACAGAGATGTGACCACGAGGGTGAGGACGTGGCTGGAGAAGCATCTGGCCTTGTGTCCTCACCATGGAGACGGCTCCCGGCTCGGAACGTGTGAGCCGGTTGGCGCGGCCTCCTTGGCTGTGGGAGGACTCCCTGGCGGAGGCGGGCCAGCGAGGGCAGCAGGAACCCATTAGGATCCGCGGACAGCACCCCATCCCACGGAACAGGCTGTGCCTGCCCTGTCCTGGCTCCAGCAGCCAGTGACCCAGCCCCAGAGAACAGAGCACCCAAACTCCCGCCAGCAGCAGCCAAGCCCACTGGGAGCGGTGCCAGGGACACCCGCTGTGCCCCGGAGCCTGAGGCACCCAGACTATTGGGCTGGGAGGAGGGGGTTGGGCAGCCCCATAGCCCGGAGAGGGGCGGACAGCCCCGTCCTCTCCACGTGTGGTCCAGCCACATCACAGGGCAGGAACAGGGGGGGCGGCCGGGGCTGGGGCAGGCTGGGTGGCAGCCTGGCACCCCTGGGACCGCGTGGCCTGGCTTTCATTAGAGCTGCGGTCGCAGCCGTTGAAACAAAAGAATAAGTTGGGCCCCCCCCCGCCCCCCACAACAAGCACCTCCGCTGGGGGCCTGGGTCCGGGGGAGCGGCTGTGGGGGGAACAGGGCCCCCTCGGCCCCCTTCGGCGCCCCTCACCCTGCAGCGGCCGGGGCTGAGCCCACCCAGGAGCAGCCCCAAGCCGGTCCCGCCCGGGGAGTCTGTCTCCCGCCGGCACCCGGGCCCGGGGCCCGGACACTCACGCAGACACTCGTTGGCGGCCTCGGCCGTGCCCCGCGCCCACGGGCGGTCCTGGAAGAAGGGCAGGCAGCGCTCGCAGTCCGCGCCCGTGGTGTTGTGCTGGCACCGGCACACCAGCTGGCCCTCGGCGTCCGGGCCGCACTCGCTGGCGTGCCCGTTGCACTTGCACCTGGGGGAGGGCGGGAGGGCGGGGGCTCAGCACGGAGCGTGGACGGGGAGGACGGGGGGAGGATGGGGAGGACGGGGGGAGGATGGGGAGGGCGGGGGAAGGATGGGGAGGATGGGGGAAGGATGGGGAGGACGGGAGGGCGGGGTCTCAGCACGGAGCGTGGATGGGGGGACGGGGGGAGGATGGGGAGGACAGGGGGAGGATGGGGAGGACGGGGGAAGGATGGGGAGGACGGGGGAAGGATGGGGAGGACAGGGAAGGACCTGGGGGAGGGCGGGGAGGACGGGGGAAGGATGGGGAGGACGGGGAAGGACCTGGGGGAGGGTGGGGAGGGCGGGGGCTCAGCACCGGGAGGTGCTGGTGCAGGGCGGCCCCACAGGGTCGGCGGAGGAGGGTTTATCCCTGAAGCCCTGCGTTCCGGGGGGCCCACGGCTATGGCTCAATGACGAGCTTTAATGGACCCTACTATGTGCACAGACAGCCGGTTCTGAGCTCTGTGGACACACATTCCCATTGCACGTCACATGCTCCAGCCCATTTCACAGGCGGAGGGACTGAGGCACGGAGGGGCTGCCCAAGGCCACAGGTAGTGATGGCAGCATCTGGGAGGCTATCTCTGCAGGCCTCTGCCCAGGAGGCACCCCCAGGGGCCGAGAGAGTCTCGGGGCTGAGGGCGGGGCAGGGGGTGAGAGGCCTCGTGCCCTTCTCCTTTGACTCTGCCCGATGAGAAAGAGGCTGCTCCTTCAGGGGACACCTCCTCCCCCAACGTATCTCAAGTCCCCAGGGAGCCTGTGCCTTGGAGGGCAGCCCTGACCCTGGTACCACCTCCCTCCCCCGCCTCCAGCTTCGCTCCCCCCAGGTCAGGAGGCAGCTGGAACGGGCAGGCACAGAGAGGGGCTCTGGGGGCATACCGGGGGCTGTCCCGAGCGGCCAAACAAGCTGCTCAGAGGACGGCCAAGGCGTCCAGCTCCCGACCCAGGCCTCCCTGGAGCCCCGCTGTGTGGGAGGGACTGTGATTATCCCCATTTCACAGGTGGGCAAACAGAGGCTCAGGCCACGAGGTGACGGATGTGGAGTGGCAGAGCTAGACAATGAACCTGGTTCTCCTACTTTGCACAGACCCGAGTCCCTGGCCAGCGCGGTGGCTCCCATAAGCTGTGTCCCGCCCTCAGCCCCTGAGGCAGTGAGAAGCCTGACTGTGGCCAGCAGCCATGTGCTCGCTCTGCTTCGGGGCCACAGGCTTGGGGAGGGCGCCGGGCACGGCCTCCTGGCCAGGCCTCCCCGGGAGCCCAGGTGGGCAGGGAACACCAGGGTCTCTGGCAGAGGTGAGGGGGCGCCGGCCGTCTTGGTGTCCCCCAGAGGTTGCTGGGAGCGCCTCCCTTCCCCGGGAAGCCCTGTGGCCCCGAGGGAAGCGGTGAACTGTGTGGGCCGCTGTTGGCGGACACAGGCCGGGGCCACCTGCCCGGCCAGCTGCCGGCTGGAGGTGGTCGGCCCGGCAGCTGGCGCCAGCTGTGCCCTGGGCCAAAGCCCCTGACAGCGGGCTGCAGCCCACGCCGCCCCCACCCCTGGGGAACACCTCCTCCAGTCTGACCTGAGTCCAGGGGGTGCGGGTAGGGGAAGGGGTGGAGGGGCCCTCTCAGACACCCCTTTCTCTTTCCCCTCAGGCTCCAGCCTTTGCTGAGAGGCTGACACACTGAGTGCAGGCAGCTGGCCCCTGTCCCTCCCTGTTTCCCCGCCTCCCCCCCCCCCCCCCAAGCGTCCCTGACCCAGGGGAGCCCCTGCTCCCTGCCCCCTGCCCCACAGGCCCTCACTCCCACGTTGAGCTGACTTCCTGTCCCAAATAGTTTTCGGACCCCCACGCTTTCCCCCGCCCCAACGCCATCTCCCACGACCGCCATCTAGTATTCCGGCTCTTTCTCTCTTCTCCTTCCCCTCGCGGCTGCCAAATGGTGGGGCATTTAAAAAATCCAACCCTACCCAGCCAGCTCAGCGGTTGAGCGTTGGCTTATGAACCAGGAGGTCACGGTTCAATTCCCGGTCCCCAGTGTGGGGTGTGCAGGAGGCACTGATCCATGTTTCTCTCTCATCAAGGATGTTTCTCTCTCTCCCTCTCCCTTCCTCTCTGAAATCAATTAAAAATACATTTTAAAAATAAATAAATAAATAAAAATCCAACGCTATTACTCTCCTGGCCTTCCCCCAGCTGGTGTGGCATCGACCTGTGAACCAGGAGGTCGCATGCCCGGGTTGCAGGCTCGATCCCCAGTGTGGGGTGAGCACAAGGTAGCTGATCAGTGATTCTCTCTCATCGTTGATGTTTCCATTGCTCCCTCCCTTCTCCCTTCCTCTCTGGAAACGATAAAAATATATGCATTAAAAACACCAAAAAGCCCCACAGCTGCCCTGACCGTGGGGTAAAAATAACCCACCCTGTGGCCCTGAGAAGCGCCAGCCGCCGCCGCGCCCTCCGTCCCAGCCCCGGCCTTCTCCCGGGTCCTCAGTCCCAGTCTGGTCCAGGCCGGGGGTCCCCTGGCCCTGCACCCCCTGTCTGGGCCTCCGTCCTTGTCATCCTGGGGGGCTGCCGCCCGGTGACTGGCTGTCACCCTGAGATTGTCCGTCTTCCTCGTATTTCCCAGGAGGAACCCGACGAGCTTTATGCTGAAGATCTTCGGGTCTCCCGGCGCCTCTGCCCGCCTTGCACACCCGGGACCGCCTTGCACACCCGGGACCGCCTTGTACACCCGGAACTGCCTTGCACACCCGGGACCGCCTTGCACACCCGGGACCGCCTTGCACACCCGGGACCGCCTTGTACACCCGGAACTGCCTTGTACACCCGGAACTGCCTTGCACATTTGGGACCGCCTTGTACACTGGGACCACCTTGCACACCGGGACCGCCTTGCACACCGGGACCACCTTGCACACCGGGACCGCCTTGCACACCGGGACCGCCTTGCACACCCGGGACCGCCTTGCATACCCGGGACCGCCTTGTACACTCGGAACTGCCTTACACACCCGGGACCGCCTTGCACACCCGGGACCGCCTTGTACACTCGGAACTGCCTTACACACCCGGGACTGCCTTGCACACCTGGAACTGCCTTGCATACCCGGGACCGGGGGCACGTTTAGACCACCTGGATGCCAGTCCCTGCTCCTGGGGAGGGAGCTGCTTAAACAACCACTGATGCAGAGGATGGCGGACCGGACCAGGACCGGCCGACCACCCAGCCTCACGCCCCATGTGGAACGGCGCCGAGCGAGTGTGGCCACCCTTCCCTGGTGCTGGGCTGGCCATGGGGCCTGGGAGGGGCCCGAACCGAGGAGCCTGAAGCAGGAGCCCCGAAGCCCAGGAGGGCAGGGAGGCAGTGTGTGTGTGTGTGTGTGTGTGTGTGTGTGTGTGTGTGTATGAGAGGGGGGTGCGCTGGTTTTAAAGTCAGGGCTGGGAAGGAAGGAAAGCCCCGCACCCCGTGCCTGCTCCTGCCACCAGCCACCGGCCACCGGCCACCGGCCACCGGCCACACACACAGCACAGCGCTCAGGCGGCTGCCGTGTGAGGGCATGTTAGCCGGGACCTCGGAGCACTGTGTGCTGTGAACATGCTACTTCATGGCAGGAATGAAGGTGCCTGCGAGAGGGGAAGGAGGAGGGAGGAGGGAGGGGGGAGGGAGGGAGAAAGGCAAGGAGGGGAAGGAGGGAACAGGGTGCCAGGCCAGCGTGCCCCTCATGGGGCGGTGGACGCAGTGATGGGAGAAGCTGCAGGAGGTGGCTGGGAGGCGGGGAGCGGCCAGGCGGCCTGGAATGCCGGGCCCAGGGGACCAGGATCCGCTCCCTGTCTCTCCGCTGGGCACTGAGTGGCCTCTTCCCCCCCCCACCCACGTGGGGCACCGCCACGGGGCAGCCCCCCGCCGCCCCCGCCGCCCCCTCCGCCCCCCACCTACCTGCCGCCCACGGAGAAGTCGGACACGGCGTAGTAGTAGGACTGCAGCACCTTGGGGTCCTTGAAGATGTCGTCCCCGAACGTGTTGAGCCGGTCGAGGGAGATGAGGAGCTCGGTGCTGGTGACCCACTCCTGGGGGCGCAGGGAAGGCCTCCGTCAGCGGGAGGCCCCGCTGGCCGCCCCGGTCTCCGGGACACACGGACAGGCCCGCTCAGACGTTCCAAGCACGCTGCCGAAGGCGGGAGCCTGCGTGCCGGGCCCTGCCGACTGGGTGCCAGGCCCGTGCCTGGCTGTCAGCTCTGGGGAAGTTCCTCAGTGTCCTGGCCCAGCCACGTCCCCATCGGTGACACGGGCCAAGGAACAGCCCCGGCCCAAAGGGAGCTGGGAGGACGGCCGATGTCAGCAGCGGGGTGTGGGGTCTGGTCACCCGACTCCTCCCAGTGGCTCCTGCACCCCCTTCTAGAAGTCAGCTGGGGGAGGACATGCCCCAGCACCCTGCTCAGCGAGGCCTGGCGTGGGGCAGGCCCTCGGCTTATAGGTGCATCACATGCCAAAGAATCAGGAGGTCAGGGTTCAATTCCCGCTCAGGGCACATGCCTGTGTTGCGGGCTCAGTCCCAGTGTAGAGCATGTAGGAGGCAGCCGATCAATGATTCTCTCATCATGGATGTTTCTCTCTCTTTCTTTCTCTCCCTTCCTCTCCTTTCCCCTCTGAAATCAATAAAAATACACTGAATGGCTAGATTATTATGATATCTGAATGCATAATAATCTGGCCACTCAGTGTGTGTGTGTGTGTGTGTGTGTGTGTATTTATAAGAGGCCCCCTGTGCATGAATTCGTGCATGGGTGGGGTCCAGCCAGCCTGGCCAGGGGGAGGGGACATGGGCGGTTGGCCGGCCTGCCTGCTGGTTGAACTCCTGGTCGAGGGGACAGTTTGCATATTAGCCTTTTATTCTATAGGATGTACACTGAGTGGCCAGATTATTAAGTGTTCAGAGATCATCATAAACAGGCCACCCAGTGTATATATATTTTTCAAAGATCACCTGTCCCAGGTGCTGTCTGTCCCAACCAAACACCGCCCCCCCCCCCCCCCGAAGCAGGGGCTGGGGGCCCCTTTCCTCGCTGCAGCCCGGCCTTGGGCCCCGCCCCCGCAGCGAGCACGCCATCAACACGGGATGAGCGCTTCCCCCGAGGAGCTGGTGGGAGAACATGTGGAGGCTGACATTTCCATCGCCTGCTGTTTGTGACAATCGGTCTCCTCGGCTGAGTTTTAATTGGTATTTTAATTCGGCGCGGGAGCTCCCGGTGCTGCCGCAGCCGGCCGTTCGGGCAGGAAAGGAGCTCCCGGCGAGGCCTGTCTTCTCCGGCTCCCTGAGCTCAGCCACCGGCGAGCCCGCCGCCTGGGAGCCAGGGCCGCTGCCGAGGAGGCCTCAGCGGGGAGGAGGGGTCCAGCCCCGGGAGCTCAGCGGGCACCCCAGCGGAGTGTGTGTGCACGTCCCGTCTCCCAAATCACTTCTCACTGACCCTGTGCGTCAGGGGTCTGGTTAGAAGGTGCCTCTTGCCCTAGCTGGTGTGGCCCAGTGGGTAGAGCGTCAGCCTGTGGACTGAAGGGCCCCAGGTTTGATTCCCCAGTAAGGGGCATGCAGGAGGCAGCCAATCAATGTTTCTCTCTCATCATTGATGCTTCTTATCTCTCTCTCTCCCCCTCTCCCTTCCTCTCTAAAATCAATAAAAATATATTAAAAAGAAAAAAAAAGAGAGAGAAAGGAAGAAAAGAAAGGAAGGAAGGAAGGAAGGAAGGAAGAAAGGAAGGAAGAAAGGAAGGAAGGAAGAAAGGAAGGAAGGAAGGAAGAAAGAAAAAAAAAGAAAAAAAGAAAGAAAGAAAGTCTCCTAGCCGAAACTGGTTTGGCTCAGTGGTAGAGCATCGGCCTGCGGACAGAAAGATCCCAGGTTCGATTCCTGTCAAGGGCATGTACATTGGTAGCGGGCACAACCCCGGTAGGGGGTATGCAAGAGGCAGCTGGTCGATGTTTTTCTCTCATTGATGTTTCTAGCTCTCTATCTCTCTCCCTTCTTCTCTGTAAGAAAATCAATAAAATAAAAAATAAAAAATAAAAATATAAAAGGTCCCGGGTTCGATTCTGGTCAAGGGCATGTACGTTGGTTGCGGGCACATCCCCAGTAGGGGGTGTGCAAGAGGCAGTTGGTCGATGTTTCTCTCTCATCGATGTTTCCAACCCTCTATCCCTCTCTCTTCCTCTCTGTAAAAAATCAATAAAATATATTTTTTTTAAAAAAGAAAGGAAGGAAGAAAGAAAGTCTCCTGATTCAGAGGCCGGGTGGGCCTGAGACTATGCATTTCTAACAGGGGTTTGGGGGGGAGCAGGTACTGGCTCGGGGCCTCCCAGGAAGCTTGTGAGTGGGGCCTGTTCTGAGGCAGGAAAGCCAGGAGCTGGGAAGGTGCCTGGGCGCGTGGTGGAATGGGAAACAGAGGAGATAAGGAAAGGATTTGAACCGCGTACAGCTGTGAATCTCACGGCCTTCTCCTCCGGGCCAAGGACAGAGCACACGGTTCCCACGCCCGCCCTGCGCTGGAGAACAGAGACCCCGGAATGCCCTTGGCGCCGGCCGGACCGAGGATGGATGGAGTCTGGGAACAGGTAACAAGCCCGATGGAGTTCCCTCAGGCTGCCGAGATAACAGGCACCGTGTCCAAATCTCCCTGAGACCTGGGGGCAGGAGCTGGGAGAGAGGCAGGACTTCCTGCGTGGGGCCCTCCCTCCCTGAGGCCTCGGGAGGGGGGGGTCATTTAGGGCACACTGGGGCCCCAGCTGCCCGGGCCCGGGCTTCTGCATCTTCCGATCACGTCAGCTAAAGCTGTGAGTGGGGACGCGGTTGGAGTGGGGGCTCGGGTGACTCTGGGCAGACCCCGGTCCGGAGTGCGGGGCGGAGGAGGTCAAGATGGGTGAGCGACTGTGGCTTTTAGCTTCCCGCCCTTAGCCCAGGCCCAGCCTCCCACCTGGACCCCCGGCCTCCCCCCATCCCCCCCCCCGCCCGCCCCCGCGGACCTGCAGCGCGGGGCTCTCCTCGAAGCGGTAGGCGCTGGGCCGGCCCTCCAGCGTGGAGAAGGCCACGTTGCCGCCGCTCAGCGGGGAGATGTCGCTGAACTCGGAGGTGCAGAAGGCCACACGCTCCTCCTGGCCGGGCCGCAGCTGCAGGCCGTCGGGCCGGCCGTACGTCCGCCCGCAGGAGGCGCTGTAGAACTGGAAGGGTTCCCAGGGGCCGCCCGCCCGGCTGCGCTTGTAGATGGCAAAGCTCTCGGGGCGGCTGGTGTGGAACTTGAGGCGCACGTAGGAGATCTCGTAAGCTTTCCCTGCGGGGACACCGGCCTTCAGCCAGCCCCCGCCCCCTGGCCCCCGTCCGGCCGCTCCGTCCCCCCCCCCCCCCCGGTCTCCGCCCCGCCCCGCCCCACGGGCTCCCCCCACCCCGTCCGCCCCCACCTGCCAGCCCCGAGGAAAGGGCGGAACTCGGACCCGAAGCAGGGTCTCCGCTCCATGCGCACCATCTCGTTGGCACCGTCGCGGAGCTGGCAGGTTGTAAGTCAAACCGCCAGAAGTTGGGGGCCGGCCGTGCCCACACACGCTACCCCGTGGATGGGCGTTGACAACGTTGTGATTAATGAAAGGCGACCTGTTACATACGATGCCACTTGTATTAAAAGTCTCAAGTGGGCCGGGACCGGTTTGGCTCAGTGGATAGAGCGTCGGCTTGGGGACTGAAGGGTCCCGGGTTCGATTCCCGGTCAAGGGCATGTACCTTGGTTGCAGGCATATCCCCAGTAGGGGGTGTGCAGGAGGCAGCTGATGGATGACTCTCTCTCATGGATGTTTCTAGCTCTCTATCTCTCTCTCTTCCTCTCTGCACAAAATCAATAAAATATATTTAAAAAAAAAAAAAAAAGTCCCAAGTGGGCAAGTCCATGGAGTCGGCGCGTAGATTGGTGGGGGGCACGTGCTGGGGGAGGAGGGCCCGGGGGGGGGGTGATGTGAGTGGGTCCAGGGTTTCTTTTCGGGGTGATGGGGACACAATCCTGCAGGTACACCGAGAGCCACGGAGTGGAGCCCTTCAAACGGGCGAATTATACGGCGGATTCGCTCTGTCTCCATAACGCGGTTACCGAGTTTTATAAACTGGACCTCACCTCCATTGGGATGGTTACCATTTTATTGTAAAAAGGTAATACGTGCCAAAACCGGTGTGGCTCAGTGGATAGAGCGCCGGCCTGTGGACTGAAGGCATGTACATGGGTTGCAGGCATATCCCCAGTCGGGGGGGGGGGGGGTGCGGGAGGCAGCTGAGTTGATGTATCTCTCTCTCATCGATGTTTCGAACTCTCTGTCCCTCTCTGTGAAAAATCAATAAAATATATTTTTAAAAAATAAAAAATAAATGAAAAGGTAATACGTGCTGGCGAGGATGTGGAAACCCCGGGCACTCTCATGGGAACGTAAAATGGTACATTTGCAAAGCAAACGTCTGGTAGTTTATCAAAAACGTTCAAACAGCCAAAACCGGTGTGGCTCAGTGGATAGAGCGCCGGCCTGTGGACTGAAAGGTCCCAGGTTCGATTCCGGTCAAGGGCATGTACCTTGGTTGCGGGCACATCCCCAGTGCGGGGTATGCAAGAGGCAGCTTATCGATGATTCTCTCTCATTGATGTTTCTGACTCTATCCCTCTCTCTTCCTCTCTGTAAAAAAAAAATCAATAAAATATATTTAAAAAAAAAAAAAATTCAAACAGAAAGACCTGGCAATTCCCCTTCCGGGTCTCCGTCTGAAAGAGCGGAGGCCGGGCCCAGAGAGCCGCCGGCACACCCACGCTCACAGCCGCCTCGCTCGCACAACCCCAGTGTCCGTCCACAGAGGACGGACCCACGGACCGTGGTCCCTCCGCCCCACGGGCCGCCCACGGCTCAGCTTCATAAAGCAGGGATGTGCGGACACCTGCTTCTGTAGGAATGAGCCTGAGGACAGACGCCGAGGAAAACCAGCCAGTGCCCAACGCCTCACGCTGCCAGCTCCCTGAGGTGCCCCTGGGGCCCACTGCCCGGGGCAGGGGAGGGCCTGGGAGTGAGCGTTTGGAGGGACAGAGCCTCTGTGTGGGGGGAAGAGGAAGTGGATGGATGGCAGTGACGGCTGCACAGCCATGTGAGTGCTTTTTTCCGTGTGTGTTTGTGTGTTTGTTGATGTTATCCTCACCCAAGGATGTTTTCCCACTGACTTTTAGAGAGAGTGGGAGGGAGGGACAGAGAGAGAGAAACATCGATGTGAGCGAGACACATCCCCTGGTTGTCTCCCACACGTGCCCCGACCAGGGCTAAGAATGGAGCCTGCAACAGAGGTCCGTGCCCTTGACCGGAATCGAACCCGGGACCCTTCAGTCCTCAGGCCGACACTCTATCCATTGGGCCAAACTGGCTAGGACTGAATGCTCTTATTTATTTATTTTTTAACATATTTTATTGATTTTTTACAGAGAGGAAGAGAGAGAAACATCGACCAGCTGCTTCCTGCACACCCCCTACTAGAAATGTGCCCGCAACCAATGTACATGCCCTTGACCGAAATCGAACCCCGGACCCTTCAGTCCGCAGGCCGACGCTCTATCCACTGAGCCAAACCGGCTTCGGCTGAATGCTCTTTTCTTAATGGCACTCACCTGGGTGCTTAAAATTGGCTAAGATGGAAATTTCATGTGACACATTCTTAACCTCAATGAAAGGAAAACTGCAATATCTACATCTATCTACCCCTGTGCTTGTATATACCCCAACCCTCTGGAATGCAGTTTGGTGACACGGATAGAGAGCCGTAGCAATGTCCCTGGCCTTTGGCACGGGAGTCCCGGCTCCGGGAATTCACACACGGAAAGACACCTCAGTGCATGGACACGGTCGCCAAGGGGGACGCCAGACCCACCAGGCCTCCATCAATTAGGAAGTCCACTCAGGGGTGACGGCATCTAGTCTAAGGTGACCAGATGTCCAGCGGGATGTCTGGTCACCTTAATCTTGTCCCCAATGTGCAAAGCATAAGTCAGAACGTGGGGTGACACAGACCCGAGGCTCACCCTTCAGAGTCACCCAGTCACCCCGCCAAGCCCCGAAGGAAGGGGTGGGAAAGAGAAACATCCACCGGAGGCGTGACCGTCCTCGGGGCAGAGTGGCGTCTTCCCTTCACTGTTCTGCAGTTCCCTGGCTTTCCCTCAGAAGCCTGTTTTGATTTAAAAGCTGGAGGAAACACTTAAAAAAAAAAATCTTTTCTGAGCGACCAGCTTGCAACGTCCGATGTTTCGCAAAGTTCCGTGGCGCACAGCTTGGCACCGAAACCCACGGCCCCGGGAAGACACGATCAGGGCACGGAGCCAAGGTCGGCGGCCTGGGGGCTGCGCGGGGACCTGGTGGGGCTGGGGGCAGGCCCCGGAACAGCCCGAAGCCGGAGCCCCCGCAGGGGAGGGAGCGGGAGCCGCAGGGAAGGTAGCTGGCAGCAGACGCGTGATCGTGATCGATCGGAAAAAGACAGTCACCGGGCTTCGTGCAGACAGCGGCCGCTCCCTCCCCCGCGCCCAGCCCGAGCTGAGAGAAGGTGCCGGAACATCAGAGACGGGCGGGCGCTTTCTGCGGCCGGAGTTCCTTCGAAGAAGCAAGAAAGCAGCTTAGAGAACAGTGTGGAGTTTCCTCAAAAAACTGAAAATGGAACTCCCATTTGATCCAGTGATCCCACTCCTAGGAATATATCCCAAGAAACTAGAAACACCCATCAGAAAGGATATATGCACCCCTATGTTCATTGCAGCACAATCTACAATAGCCAGAATCTGGAAACAGCCTAGGTGCCCGTCAGCAGATGAGTGGATCCAAAAACTACGGTACATCTACACAACGGAATACTATGCTGCCATAAAAAAGAAGGAATTCTCATCATTTGCAGCAACCTGGATGGAATTGGAGAACATCATGCTGAGTGAAATAAGCCAGTCAATGAAAGAGAAACACCACATGACCTCACTCATTTATGGATAATAAAGAACATTATAAACTGATGAACCACAAGACAGATATAGAGACAGTAAAGCAACAAGCAGACTGTCAAATTACAGCGGGGAGGGGAGGGAAATCTGGGGGAGATATTAGAAAACGACATTAATTATTACTAGACCTAATAAATTCCCTTTCAGCCCCGGGGGCCGATGGCGCTTCAGGGTGAGGTGGATTCCAGCATGTTCCCAGGGGGAAGGCTGGACCAAAATGTCAGCCCCAGATCTAAACGGGCCACACTGCCCACAGAGCCCAGATCTGCCCCCCGCCTCCCCCAGCTGCCCAGATGCTGTTCCCTCCACTCCTCACCGGGCGGCTCCCACACCTGCCTGCTCACCCCACTGGTTTAGGCTCCGCCGGGTGTAGGGTGCCCTCCTCCCACGTACTTTCCTGGCTGAGGGCTCCTCATCCTTGAGGGCACCCAGCGCCCCCCCCCAGCCCCCTGGGCTCCCGCACCCTGTTATGGAAACACCTGCCTGTGTCTCCCACTAGGCTTGGACCCCTTGGGACCGGAGCTGTGAATCCTTTTTTTAAAAATAATATCTTTCATTCATATTATTAATTAATTAATTTAAAAATATATTTTATTGATTTTTTACAGAGAGGAAGAGAGAGGGATAGATAGAAACATCGATGAGAGAGAAACATCGATCAGCTGCCTCTTGCACACCTCCTACCGGGGATGTGCCTGCAACCAAGGTACATGCCCTTGCCCGGAATCGAACCCAGGACCCTTCAGTCTGCAGGCCGACGCTCTATCCACTGAGCCAAACCGGTTTTGGCTGGAGCTGTGAGTCCTTGGTGCTGAGCGCCGCGCCTGGCGCATAGTAGGTGCTCACTAGATGCTCGCCGGCCGCATGAGGAAGGACGAAGCACGATTTGTACTTTCAAGGAGTTTCTGATCCAGTGACCACGCTGAGACCGGCAGGCCCCCAGCGTGGCTGACGCGGCCACAGTGTGTCTGCAAGCCCTGACCCCACAGCCAGTATTCAGGGAGCACCTACTCAGTGCCGCTCACTGTACCCTGAGAGACGTCCCCCAACGGTCCTGTCGCTGCGCACGTCTTACTGAGGGGGACTTCCCCAACATCACGCAGGGAACAGCTGAGTCTGGTCAGCGACAGGCCTGACTGGCCGCAGAGCTGCTGCTCAGAGCCGGCGCCCCTCTGTCCAGGGCCGCCTGGGAGGGAAGGGGGTGCTGGTGCCCACGAGGACGGCCCCACGCCGGCTCCCGGAGCCACGTCCTCTCCCGACACAGGGCCCGGCCCCGGTGACAGCGACAGCGGGGCAGTCGGTCCTGGAGCCGGGCCGGCCCACATCCGGCTCTGCCGGGCAGGGCCGGGCAGAGGAGCGGCACAGGGAGGCTTATTTTGGGAAAATGGGAACAAAACAAAGGCCTTTAATTGGAGCCATCTGGGGAGCACGGCCGGGGTGGGACGGAGGGGGCAGGGCGGGAGCCGGGCTGGGAGTGCGTGGGTGAGGCTGCCCGCCCGCCCGCCCGCCGCCTCGGGCATTAGAACCAGGTGGAGAGAGCTGCCGAGGGCCGACAGGGCGGGCACAGCAGGGCCCTCAGCTCTACCCTCCGCCGCCACGGCTCCCGTCCTTGTTCCGCCCTGGCTCTGGGCAGGTGAGGTGATGGGGAACCCCTGTGACCACAGTGCCAGGCACCCGGAGAGCCTGGCTGGAGCAGGGCTGGGCCCATCACACTCCTCTTGTCTTTGGGGGGAGAGTCTAAACCCCAAACGTGGATCAAGAATGTCAAGCCTACTGTCTAACCCGGAGAGACCAGACCTCATCTGACACTAGGCCCGGTGCTTGGAAATTCATGCACTGGAGGGGGGTCCCTCAGCCAGGCGAGCCCTCGAGGGTAGGCGGCGACCCAGCAATCAGGGGAAGGTGATGCCCCGATCACACTCTGCTGCTGCCACTGCCGGCAGCACCAGCCTTGGCCGGCCTGGTTACCTGAGCCGTTCACTCACACGTGTTCACTCGCTCCCTGCTCCCAGGAACAGTGCCGCGGGGACAGGCTGGGGTCCATATCTCAGCTCCATCACTGACCAGCTCGGTGGCCTTGGCCACATCCCTAACCTCCCCCCGATTAACCGGGTAAGCCACTTGATGGTGACTCAAGTTTCCCCATTTTTACATAACAGTAACAGGCTTTCATAAGTACACGCCTGCAAAGCCCGCAGAACAGTCCCAGGCCTGTAGCATGCACATGATCAAACGTTAGCTGTTAACCATTCATTGGCCAGGCCAACATTCACAGGGCACCGCTGTGTGGGGGGCCGGCGCTGGGGTCCGACGGGAAAACGGGCATTCCCTCCGCAGCTCGGAGCGTGACCAACACACACAAACCCGAACCACCAGGCAGCACAGTCCCACGGTGACAGGGAAGGGCGAGGGGCTGCGGGAACGCACAGGCTGGCCCTCTGCCCAACCCAGGGGGCTTCCTGGAGGAGGTCACCCCTGAAGAGGGTGGGGCAGCCAGCACAGCCCACAGTCTTGTCCCCGGGGCTCGGTGCAGAGACAGGCACACAGGCGCCTCACTGGCTGACGAAGGGGATAGGGATCTCCAGGAGAAATCAGGAAGAGACACTACACCGTCCAGTGTGGTCACATCTACAAAGAGCAGGAGAGAGACCCTCTGCAGCCCCAAGAAGGGCAGCTGGCTGCAGCCAGAGGGGGGGAAAGGGGAGGAGGGGGGGCGGGCAGGGCATCCGGGGGTGTCTGCATCCGTCTTGGCCTTCCCCCTCCTGCAGCGCCTGGGTCAGTCCTGGCGGCTGGAGCCGGCTGGGCCCTGGGGTCAAGGGCGAGGGGGGGGGGGGCTGCCTCTGAGGGGGAGGCGGACCAGGACGCTGTCCTGACCTCCAGACCTGCCTGGGGCCCCGCGTTCCAGCCGGAACCCCAGGGAGCAGGAAGGAGGACTGGCCCCCAGCGCCGGGCTCAGCCAACGCAAACAGGCCACCCACTCGACAGGAAGCCTCCGCGGAGCCAGAGCTCAGGGACCCAGCTGGCCTCGGCCCCTCCGGGCCTCCCGCGGGCCAGCCCCTCCGAGCGGGGCCGCTGTTGCCTCATCAGCCTCCGGCCTGCGCTGTCCCCGGACCTGAGGTGTCCTTCACACTCAGGCCGCCTCCTGCCATCCCTCAGGTCCCACAGGGCTGCCACCTTGGTGTGACCCCAGAGCACAAACCCCGTCACACTCCCGGCCAGCCCGGCCTGGGGGGCTGGACGTCACAGCCCCCGCCGAGACGCCGGAATGGGTGCACGGAGCAGCCACCTGCTCATGGGGAGTGGGGGCCGGCGGGGGGGCAGGCAGGAACCCCCCCTCCCTCCCGCCTTCCTCCTGCAGCGCCCCTTCTCAGCGCTCAGAGAATGGAGACTCGAGGGTCTTCCTGTTACTCCTGGGGGTTCCCAGGAATCCAAGCAAGTGGACAGAGACCCCCCAACCCCGGCCAGACGCAAAGCTGGACCCCCTGGCCTGCAGCTGCCCGGGACGGGTATTATTCCCGGCGCAGGGCAGCGGGGAGGCCCTGGGTCTGCCGTGTGTGGCTGTGTGACCCTGATTGCACCCTCAGCGCCTCAGTTTCCCTGCTATGAAAGGACACATTGTGCTGGGCTTGGGGGGCCGGCTCAGCGGGGTTCTCAGCATGTGGTAAGAGCCCCCCAATTCCTGTTGTTGCCGCTGATGACTATCCGCCTTCCCCCCAAACCCCCACCCGCCCGCCACCAGGCCCCAGCCGCCTCTCCCGTGGCCTCAGCCTCTCCCGTGGCCTCAGCCTCTCCCGTGGCCTCGGTGGAGGGCTCGGAGCTGCCAGACTCGCTGCCGCTTTCATCCCCGACGGGAGGGCTCAGCGCAGCCGATCGGGACCAGATGTCTGAGCTCCAGGGGCTGGGAAAGCCGTGACCTTCACCGGGGGCTGCAGCGGCCCCTCTGCCCGGGCCCCTCCCCCCTCCCCCCTCCCCTCCGCCAGCAGAGGCAGGAGCGGCCACCTCCTGACCACAGGGCTGCTGGGAACGCGGTGACACCCCAGACCTCTCCTCCCCCCGATGTTATGCAACCACGGCTTCGCCCGGAGCAGCCCGAAGGCCCCCGGACCCACAGTGGCCAGCTCCCCGAGTGTCTCAATCCCTTCGGGGGCCCCCGGGAGCCTCAGCCCGAGCTGCTCTCCGCAGTGACGTAGGCCGCACGCAGGGACCCTCACAGCCCCCTGAGGGTCCCGTGTACGTGCATATCCCCGTTTCACAGAGCGGAGACGAGGCACAGGGGGCACTGTCTGCCCCCCGTGGCTGTGCGGGGCCTGAGCTGTGGGATTTGTACCCTCTTCTGACCCCCAGAAGCACAGACGGAGGAGGTGACATTGTCCTTCATTCATTCATTCATCGTCCATTCATTCATTCATTCATTCATTCATTCATTCCCGTTTCCTGTGCACTCGCTGTGTGGGGAGCCTCCCATGCTGATGCTGGGTTCTCAGTGGAAGGACACAGGTGCGGGGTGAGGTTTGCTGGTGTGGGCGCCCACGGGGGTGCGTGAGGGTAAGGCCTGGCTCAGTGTGGGGGCTCAGGTCCCCGGGTTCCGAGGGGCTGGGACTCCCCACCACTTGGCGTACTAGGCAGAGTCCAAGGAGGCCTCAGCCCGAAGCACAGGGCCGGCCCACAGCCAGCGCTGGGGAGAGGGGGGGGAGAGGGGACTGCCCCCAAACCCGGACACCGCCCCCCTCCCACCTTGGTGGTGTCGGGCTGGGCCTTCTGCCCGCCCCTGGATTCCACCGACACATGTAACCCGTCAGCTAAACCCGCACGCTCTGTCATGGAACAGCCTGTCTCCCTCACACCTCCCATCCTGTCCCAGATTCCTTCCCTGTGGCCTTGGGGTCCTGCCAGCCCCGTCCAGCCACCCCTTCCCCCTCCCTCCCTCCCCTGTTGGTTTCCTGTCGCCCTGCCTGGGCAGAGACCACGCCCATGTGGAAGTCCCACCTGGAGGGAAGGGGACAAGGCCCAGAGAACGGAGCTTCTTGGGGGTCACAGCCAGCACCCCACACTCTGCTGACGGGCCCAGCACCCCCCACCCCACCCCTCACTCAAATGTCACCGCCCCAAGGCACAGCCCCCAGGGCTGGGAAGAGCCGGCTTAGGTCACGGACTCTTTGCTCTGACCTTGGATAAATTGCACACAGATGCTCACATCCAGCCTGCACTGAGCAGCCGTGTGACGTTGGGCAAACGTAACCTCTCTGAGCCTCACTGTTTCTGTCTGGAAAATGGGGATACAGTCTCATAACCTCCAGACTGCTTGGGCCCAGATGTGTTTTTGCAATTCCAAACTTCTCCAGAGTTCAGAGAGACAAGCCCGCACTCTGTCCACACTCTGTCCAGCCGGGCCTGGGGCCGCGGGCTGCACTCAGAGGAGATTCCGGCAGCAGAATGTGTGAACTTCACTCTGAGCAGATACACAAGGTCCATAAGCAGCCTCAGGCCGCACTGAGCGGCCACAATACGTTATAAGTGCGCTCCTCTGCAAAGGGCTGGTGGGGGGGCCTTCCTGCCCCTCCAAAGCCCAGGTCCAGGCCTCCGGCCCCAGGTAGCACCCCGCCTATCCCCCCAGCTCCGGGGCTCCCCAGCTGGGTCTGCACTCAAGTGAGATGCCAGCAGCCCCCACCCACACCGGGGTTTACAGCCACCCCAGGGGCGCCATGGGGCGGGACAGGGAGCCCGCTTACCCAGGCGCAGGGTGATGTTGACGGAGGTGGGGTGCTGCACCCCGAAGGCCATGGACGGGCTCTGCCACCAGGTGCTGTCGTCCTGGCTGTGGAAGTCGGTGAGGTAGGAGGCGTTGTGGTGGCGCCGGGGGTCGGCGGCGTCGCAACGCTGGCACTGCGGCCCGGCGCCGCCCGGCGCGCCCCGGTGCGGGCAGAAGTCCTCGGGGGGCCGCCCGCACGTGTGCGAGGCCTCGGCGAGGCGCCCGAACGCCGCGTTCTCGAACCCGGGCAGGCAGCGCCGCGGCCGCCCCGCGCCGTCGTAACAGGCGCCCATGCCCGCGCCCGTCCCCGCGTCTGTCCCCACTCCTGTCCCCGCGCCCGTCCCCGTGCCCATGCCCATCCCCGCGCCCGCCGCCCGCGGCGCCAGCAGCGCCAGGCCCAGCAGCAGCGCGGCCGCCATGGTCCTCGCACTGGCACCCTGTGCCCTGCGCTGCGCTCCCCGTGCGCCCCGCGCCCCGTGCGCCCCGCGCCCCGTGCGCCCCGCGCCCCGTGCGCCCCGCTCCCCGCGCTCCCCGTGCGCCCCGCTCCCCGCGCTCCCCGTGCGCCCCGCTCCCCGTGCGCCCGGCTCTGCGGCTCAGCTCCGGGGGCGCGGACCGAACGAGCGGGGCCAGGCCTCCTCCCCGGCGGGCGGGCCCCAGGCCGGGCTGGGAGGGACCGACGGCGGGACGGCACCGCTCAGCCCCTGGGCGCTGACCCCACCTGGCGGCCGCTCCCGGGAGTGCCCGGCTCCGGAGCGGCCCCATGGCCCTTCCCTGGCCCGGGCCCTGGGAGGGGAAGTGGGGGGCGGGGGATCCCCTAGCCTGGAGCTCGGTCAGGGAACAGCTTCGTTCTCGCTGTTGTGTTCCAAAGGAAAACCGCGCGCCTGTGCCTGTCTGGTCCTGAGAGAAGGGAGCTCAGCGTCTCCCCTTGCACCCCCCTTTCTGGCAGGAAGTGGGATGGTGCCTCTGAGAAGTGCTTCTGCCGCTGGTCCTGCTCTGCTCTCCAAGCAGAGGTTCCAGGCTGACCTTGGTGACCGCAGCAGGTACTGGTCCATCACAAACATCGCCGAGAGGCCTTCCCAGTCCGGGTCTCTTCTCTCCCGTCAGTAACGTCAGTAAAGCAGAGAGAAGCCTCTGTTCTTTCCGAGAGATGCTGGGGAGACACTAGAGAGGAGTTAGCAGAGACTTCCGTGAAGAGCTGACAGGACGCGGCAGGAAGTGGTCCAGGGAGGTCCTGGGGTGCAGGGAGGGCTGGTGCTCGCTCTGCCCGGAGTGGAGGGTGCTGCCCAGAGGAGGGGACAGGTGGACAGGAGTCATCTGGAGGTGCAGGGGAAAGGGCCCTAGGGCAGGAGCGCGGTGTGTGCAGAGGCTCAGCGCTGAGGGTGGGTGAGCAGGTCATTGTGTGTGCCGCTCCGGGTGGGGCGTGCTCCGGAGGGTGAGGCGGGAGCAGGGTGCAGAGGCCGGTGCTGGGGTGCTGGGCGCCGTGGTGATGAGCTGGGGCTGTGTCCTGCAGGGGCCTGCAGGAGCTGAGGGCTGTGAGTTTGTGATGGGCAGGGACCTCGGGTGCAGTTGCTCACTGGGGGAATGTTTGGGAAATACGCAGGAGTCCTGTGGCTGGCCAAGGCTGGTCCGAGGGACTGAGCCAGAGACCACTGCTCTTCATGAGGTTCCAGCTGGGTGCTTGCCGACCCTGCCCCACTCCTGGCAGCAGCCCTGGAGGGGACCATCCTGCCTCTGCTGTCCCCCACCCCTGCCCCCTACCCCCTGCCCCTGCCCCCGTAGTTGGGGATCTGCCCGAGGTCTCCTTCCAGGCGCGCCCAGTCCAGCTGTAAATGTTCACCCGGGATCCACCACCAGGTGGCAACATTGGCCACACTACAGCACTGGCCCTTCCGCCCCTGCCGCCCAAGGACACCCTGGCCATCCCTGCACGGCTGCACTGAGACCAGGAGAGTCTTTGGGTCTAGGCCTGTGGTTGGAAAATTGTGGCTCTCGAGCCACATGTGGCTCTTTGGCCCCTTGAGTGTGGCTCTTCCACAAAATACCACAGCCTGTGGGAATCTATTCTGAAGAAGTGGTGTTAGAAGTTTAAAAAATGTGACTCCCAAAGGAAATGTCAATCGTTGTGCTGTTGATATTTGGCTCTTGACTCATGAGTTTGCCGGCCACGGGCCTAACCCATTGTCCTTGTGGTGGAGGGAGGCTGGGAAGGCTGGAGCAACAGAGCCCATGTCCGTTTCCTTCAGGAAGAGGGATGGGGTGCAATCCAGGGGGCCAGCATGGAGGCGGTGTGGGAGGAGGGGCCGGTGTGTGAGTGGCTGATGGGGCCTGTGCCTCCACTGGGACCGGAGAGTCGTTGGGAGGCTTGGCCTCCGGCTCGGGGCTGCGAGCCAAGGCAGCGTCCTCCCCTCCTGCAGTCCCCCCGCCGAGAGCTAAAGCCGGCTCGGAGAGGAGAGCAGGGAGAAACCTGCTCTGGTTTGCTGAGTGAACGGTAATTAAGGAGACAGAAGACAGCGGACTTTTTCCAGACAGAGATGAAAGGCCTGCTAATTAAATCTGGGGAGATGGGGCCTGGGCCCTGCTGGTCCCACCTGACAGCTCCGCAGCCTCCCTGGAGTCCCGCGGTGTGTGTGTGTGTGTGTGTGTGTGTGTGTGCCCCCGGCCTGGGGCCCCACCCTGGAGGCCCGGGAAGGAGCCCGGCTGGCACCCATGGGCCCTGTCCTCTGGGACACCTTACTTCCCCATCTGGACAGCACGAGGTTACCTCTGGTCTAGGTCAGTGATGGGCAACTTTGGCCCTTGAGATTTTAGCAAAGGCCAGCTTAGGAGGACCCTCATGAAGTGAATAACAATGGACCTACCGATATAGTTTAAGTTTAAAAAATGTCGCTCTCAAAAGAAATTTCAATCGTCCTGGTGATATTTGGCTCTGTGGACTAATGAGTTTGCCCACCACTGGCCTAGGTGGTTCCTCAAGATTCCTGTCTGGCTCCAGGGCTCTGTACGTTTGCATGCCTGGGCCTCAGTCTTCCTTTCTGTCGAGTGGGGAGACTCCACCTGCTCAGCGACAGGCAGGCAGAGGAGGAAGTCAGATCGGGAGTCTTCCGAGGCTGTGGAGAACTGTGGAAGAGGGGACCCAGTGGCTGGCTACCCATGGCCCCCCGGGACCCTACAGCCATCCCCAAGCCCTCTGTCTGCTCTGTGACGGCCCTGCCATCCTGACCCTCTAGCAAGGACAACGTGGCCATCACACAGGCTGCCTGGGGGCCAGGCCTGGGCTGAGTGCACCGTCTGCACAAGTGAGAGCAGTCGGGGAAACTGAGGCTTAGCCAGAGGCAGGCTCGTGCCCAAGGCCACCTGCTTGTCAGCAACAGAGCCAGGATTCACACCCCGGGGTGCCTGGCCCAGAGCCTGCGCTCCTTTCCACTTTGTTCTTGTCTCCTTCCTGCCCTCCTTCAGGGAGCATCTGCTGGGCACGGGGGTTGGCACGGCATGGGCAGTGGGTAGTCCTCCTCATGGGGCCTACCCAGAGACCCAGGGAGACAGACGGGGACCCAGGAAACCAGCTGGTGAGTTAGGAGGTGACGGGTCATCGTAAGGGCCACAGAGGAAGTGGATCCGTCTGGGCAGTCAGGGGAGGCTTCTCAGAGGAGGTGACAGCTCAGGGGAGACGCGTAAGATGGAGCGGAAGGCCGGGCGGAGAGGGGGCTGACAGGGGCTCCTCTGCTGTCGTCCGCCTGTCAGAGCGTCTTCTCCCGGGCGAGGGGGGAGCCGGCTCCTGTGGGCTCTCCTCGGGGTGCTGGCCCTTTAAAGGGGTGAAGGTCAAGGGCAGAGGAGCTGGCGAGCCCAGGCTGGGGATAACCGGCAGGTGGGCGCGCCCTCCCCTCCCGGCTCCCGCTGGAAAGGTGAACTTTACAAATGTCAGGGAGGGGCTCAGCCCGCCGGTGAGCCATAGCTGCCGGGGAGGAGATTCACGCCGCCCGCTGGGCCCGGGGGGGGGGGGGGGCGCCCGGAAAACAAACGGCATGGCTGCCAAACCTGTGCCCCCCAGGAGGGAGGGGGTGCCGCGGGGAAACACAGAGGGCAGGGCAGTGGAGAGAGACCCCCACAGGGGGAGAGCCAGGGGCGTGGGGTGGGGCAGGGGGACCCCTCTTTGCCGCTCCCTTGGAGGGGTGACCCCGCATGCCCCCCCACATTGGGGCGGGCCCTGTCCCTACCTCTGACTATAAAGTCACCCAGATTTCTCCTCCAGGCAATCCTGCTGGGGAGAGGGCCTTAGCCCCATGCTGCAGATGGGGAAACTGAGGCTCGGGGAAGCAAAGGAACCTGCCCACAGTGACGTGGCTGAGTGGGGCCCGTCAGGGTTGAACCAGTTCGCTCTGATTTTCTTAGCGGCTCCTGGCCCTGCCCTCCCTCACCGCCCGCTTCCTGGATAAAACACGTCCAGGATGTCCACGGCAGTCTGTGGCAATCCCTCTGCAAGCACCGGGGAAGGGGGCGCGGGCCCTGGCACATGTACACACACACACGAGACCAACCTGCTCCACGGCTCACTCTGTGCCCATGGCCAGCAGGGCCCTGTCTCTGCACTGGGGACCGGCGCCCAAGTCGCCTCCACACGTGCAGGGTCGTCACGGTGCTGGGCGCTGTCGGGCTTCTTCCTGGATATGCGTGGTGTGTGGGTGTTGTACGTGTGTGCAAGTGTGTGCTATGTGATGTGTGTGCATGTGTTTGGTGTTTGTGCATGCATGTATGGTGTGTCTGTGTGCCGTGCATGCATGTGTGGCTGCATGCATGCAGGTGGTGGGTGGTGTGTGCACGTGTTGTGTGTGGGTGGTGTGTGCATGTGGGTGCTGTGCTATGTGTGTGCATGTGTGTAGGATATAGGTGGTGTGCAGTGTGTTGCATGTGTGTGGGGTGTGGCGTGTACATGTGTGGTGGTGTGCATGTGTGGCAGAACCAGGCTGGGCACGGTCTAGAACTCTCCTCAGACTGGAGATTGAGGGAGGGGGTGCAGGGGGGCCTGGCTGAGGCAGCCTTGGGGGAGCAGAGGGAGGAACACACTGGGGATCTGAGGGGGAGGGAGGCCCGGGCAGGCCCTGGAGCCTGGAGCAGCTGCAGGGCCACCGTAGGCGCCATGGGCGGGCCCAGCCGGGGGCCTGCGGCCCAGCCACCCTGGACAGGGAGACACAGACGGTGGGGGCCCCGATGTGGGAGCTTGAAGCCAGCTCTCAGGCACATCCCTCAGGGGCACAGGGGGTGCTGTGGGTCCAAGTGGAGGGGCAGACCACCAAGGAATCTGCATGAAGTGGGGGGCCCTGCTTGGCCACGGAGGGCGGCCTGGGAGCCGACCCCCACGGCCTCCAGCTCTGTCCCCCCACGGCCTCCAGCTGTGTCCCTCCACAGGCAAGGGCAGCGATTT